ATATTAAGATTTAATTTATTACATTTTTCAACCAATTACTTTTTAAAAGCTGTGAATCTTCGCTTTTTTCAAATATGATACCCTGCATATTATTGTATGATTTACCTGAAACGAGTTAAGGGACCCTGGAACTGGCGTTCAACAATGCAATGTTTGCAAAAATTCAAAAAGAAAAAATATACTGGGTGTTCCATTTAAAATAATAAATATACTTGTATATAATGGTAGCTGTTTTCGTTTCAAACAGAAATTTCCTAAAAACAACTTCTCTATTTAAAATTTATCGATAAACTAAAATCTTATAGATACATAAAATATTCCCACAGCAGTGACCTACCCTTAAGTGTTCATTATATAGGATTTTTTTTTAATAATTGCTTCAATGCAAAGTCGAGAGTTGGTGCATTTTTGATAAACATTTTAGGTACATGTAGAATGCTTCGAAGGTAAACAGTTCGAAGCATACCGGGTAGTTTGCAATATATAAGTATTGCACAAGAGTAAAGTAATTTTAAAAAATTCAGCAATATGTTATTAAGAAAGGTTATTTACAAATAGAAGCTATGCCCAAATCCCACAACATGGAGCAAGCAAGTTTTTTTTTAAGCGTCTTTAAGAGTTAGTGCATTTTTTGTATTTAAACTAAATACATTATATAAGTTAAACAAAATCGAGTGAAAAATTGACTTTGGATTTTAATATGTTAGGCAATGGCAAAATTCATATTTTTTGGAACGAATAAGGCAAACAGGGTAAGCAAATCCAACCCAAAGTGCAAAATCTTTTATTTTAAACGCTTATTATACAGAGCAATCATCCATCCATATTCAATCGACCACGCTGTACATTGCTTTGTACGTATGTCTTAATTTAACAAAAAGAAATACACGACTAACTAATGTCGCTAGTTTCCTTTATACAGGGTGTCCGACCGGGAACCACCTGTTATGGGAAAACTATAGCCAGCAAAGATGTGAAAACTGGAGAATGTACTAGAGTCGATGAGGTTCATCCGGCTACAATATTTTCTAGATGGCGACACTTCCGCTTTTACGAAAAATAGCTGTCAACTCAGTTTTTTAAACTGAACACCCTATATATTATTTGGTTTTTCAATTACACGAACAATTTTGGATATATTTTACAGTACTTAGTTATAGCACTGTTTTTGTGATATTTAATATTGCCAGTTAGAAGTGACATTTACCAACCGAAGAATATCTCTAAACTTTTCTCATAAGGATTTTTTTATCATTTCAAACAACTGTTTTGTCTGTCTAACACATTTAGTTAGTAATTGCGTAGTTTTAGTAGCCGTTCTATCAACATTTTAAACACAAACACAAATTTGCTAACGTTGTATATTATTGCTTTAGTAACAACTAATTGATTTTACTACTGAGGGCGAATCGTTTGGATCACTTTACAATTTCATATATAAAGAATCAATGCAATTGTATCTTATGAATTCGTTTTTAATGCAAATTAACTAAGGCTTGCGTACACAAAAATAATTTAAATGTTTGGTTCCGCTATAAATTTCGATCTAATTTTGCATTGTCTCTTGACGCTCCAAGATAACACTGGCGGATAAAATATACGTTTATACATTTTCATTTCAAAAGCGGCATCACAAACCGTTCGACCTGAAATATTACACCAAAACATTAAATTTGTTAAATTATTTTCATACTGCACAGGCAAAGCTCAATACTCTTAAATAATTTCAATTTTGTTTTAAAGCCTTAATAAATATAAATAGTTCCAGTTATTAAATTATATAAACGAAATTTGCAGCTGTAATATAATATTCTCTACTCCTGTTGTAGAATGCGTTTTAAATAAGCCGTTATGTAAAGTCCGTCTCGAATATCGATCGGTCAGTAGTATTGGAAATTCGGCACGTCGTCGTCTGTTTTCCCGCCTTTCAGTCTCTGTGTGGTACCCCTTTCATCGATTGCTGAAACGAGGGACCTACTGTTGGCTGACAAAGCGCTTAATGCAACGGCGCCGGTTTGACAAGACTCTCTAGTCTAAAATATGTACCAACCGACCAAGTGTGACTTTACACGACATGCTATCAGCTACTTTGTCGGCAGGGTAAACAAATGCCCGACGTCGACAGTTGATTGAAGGTGAACAACGCATACAAACTTTTACTCAATCCATGATTGTGTGGAATGAACAGTTAAACCTTAAGATGTGTTGCGGCATTTTTAGGGTAAAGAAGAGACAGAATATGTTGGTTATAGTTGAAGTTGAAATTTTTTTTCCGGTACATTCGTCACATTTCCGGTATATGAATCACGGGTTCGGTAACGATCGGATATTTGTAATATTTTTCAATAAAAAATAAAAAATTCTGAGGTTCTGTTAAAATTAATATACTACCTTATGAAAACAAACCGGGTATATTTCAATTTTATGCTAAACCAAAATTTTTTAGGACTTTTAGGACAACTTGCATAATATAAAAAATTAACAAGTCATGCTGCACAAAGTACAGGTTCCGAATTTCTACAGAATAATTATTTATAATGTAATATAATAGGACTATATTTTAATTGTACAAGGACATTTTAAAAATCCACATATAAGTGAATAAGACGATTTAACATTTAGGAAATATAACTCAAAAAACCAAACGGATGGCCTTCCCCCTTATTTTTTCCACAAATGCGGAGCGTAAGACTTATGGCGTAGGTATATTTTTTCAATTCCACTTAGCTTTTGAAAAGCATTAGACAAATATCGAAAAGAAATATTTTTCGGTGGCAGATACATAAATCTACTTTAAGGTGTTTTCAGAAAAGACGTTCTGGGCAAAGTGGCACAATTTAAGGATTCCGTTTTTATGTACTCTGTAAGCGAATTCGCTTATATCATCCATCTCTTTTAAAGTTATCTTTCTTTTCAATAATAAACCAGTGTAAAATTATCGAACGAATTCAGAAGTGCCGCAGACAATGCAAACCATTTGCTGAGAAATCCACCATTTGTTTCAAAAACGGAGGCAATAAAAATCAGAACAAAGTTGCGTCAAAAACACCACCTCCCACCACGAGTTTTTCTGATTTAACTGTTTGTGTTTATTTTAATGTCTTCGTTTGTCAGTTTTGTTTTCCAAAACAGTGTATTGTTTAACCGGTTATGTGATGTCGGCGACCTGCATCTGAAGTAACTATAATCGACTAAAATTGTGCCACATATATGGTACAACGGCACAGCAATAGTGGTTTCTAGGTTAGAGATTTTCGTAGTATTTTGCCCTTATCAGTGCAGAGAGTTTTCAGCCATTGTCCTAAACTAATTATGTGCGGAACTACTGAGAGGAAAATAATAAATACAAATAATAAAATATTCCCAATTGCGTTATAGGATAAAACTATTTTAATTTATTGTATGCAATTTATAACACTGCTCTTCGAATTTGATGAAAGATTAAATAGATAGATAGGAGTAGCTATAGGCTATATATAAATTAATGCCAAATACAGCAATTTGTGTCGTCGATTGTTGAAGTTTTAGTCATCCAACTCTCGGGATAGGTCGACATACAGGGCGGAACAATAGAGTGATTCTATTTCTTCTATTTTTCGAAAGATAAATTTTAAAAATTTTAAAAATTTTAAAAATTTTAAAAACACAGTTTAACGCTTCTCTCGAAATGGTCGCTCAAATTTAGACACGCTTCCACACCTACATCTTGTCATTCAAATTGTTCCTTTATTGTAGAAGCTGCTATAGTAATTGCTTTTTTGATTTTACTGAATATTTAAAACATTAAAACATTTTTTTTTAATTGTGATAAACGTTGAAACAGGACCAGATTAATGCGCCTACATGCCTGAAACTTAAAACTCAAATTAAATCTTAAAAATTAATTTATTTATTTTTGAGCCTAAACCACAACTAGGTACTAAATAAATGAATATATTTGTTAAATGACTCATTCCGTGTAAAACCGCATGACTTGCATTAGCCGACAACACATCGTGCTATTATTATCGGAAAAAAATTGTCGCACTTTTCTGCTTTGGACATTAAACCCCCAGCGGGTTATAAACTTATTTACTCGATATACGTTCTGTTCCCGAGAAAAGCCCATGCTGAATAATTTCACCATGTGTTTTAGTAAAATTGTTTTATTCGAAAGGCTGCTTTATTTGCCCCCACGCCACGGTATCTGTTTAATCGCAGTTTTTTGTAAGGCGATACGAAAACTGTACTACTAGTACTAGACGGGCATACTAATTTTCTCAAAAAAAGCAGAAAGAGCAGAAAAAATGCTTTTCCCTTTTTCCAAGATGGCAGACAAATTTTTTGCTTTAAGCGTTTAAAAACCTGTTGTAACTTCGAAATTTGTTTTTAATTATGCACACTGTTCATAACGTGAGCGGAGATTCTACAGGCCCATAACATTTCTACAGGGTAGTACAGTTTCGAAATGCCGCTCGATAAAAGAAGTGTAAACAGCCCCCCTCCCCTTTTATTTTTATAAAATATAAAATATTTTCCTATGCCTATCCCAGTACCCGTTATGCTTTTTTTCTTTACCCATTCCGATTTGAAACTTGCATTTGTGAAGTGATTATCATAATTCATATTTGTTTTTTATTATTTACATTTATTTATATTTATTTTTTTATAATTATTATTATTTACTTTTATTCGGTAGCATTTTACCTGGATCAATACTACTAACTTGATTTAGTGGATTTTTGGTAAGCAAACTAATTTTCTTGCTATCAAATTTCACCTAAATAAAAACTAAAAAATGACATGTATAATTTTTCTTAATATGGCGTGGGGATGGTCTGCCCGAACTGTTTGTTAAGTTCAGCTGCCTTTAATCATATTTTCGCTCGCCCACAACATAGGACGTTTAAAAAACTCTGTTGTTCCTCTTTAATAACTAGAACTAGAAAGCGTATTTAACCCCACGAGCTGTTTTATGAATGATCCTCGAGACCTGAATTATATATAAAAACTGGTTCCAGGAGTCCTTTGGTCTGAGAAACGATCATAAACTCGAAACAAAATCTGCCGTTTCGGTAATTCCATTTCCATTTTCTAAAAAAAGCTTTAAACTTAAAAAAAAAACATGTTTACATTTCAGATAGTAATGTCACCTCCGATTTGCTCTCATCCCGTGCACGGCAAAACTGCGGAGAAGTTTTTGTACGTCGTTGCCTTCGCCTGTTGCTTTGAAGCCGTGATTTTAGCCGTAGCCGCTAACGATGTGACGTCGTCACTAAATTCGGGGAAATCCTCGGATGACAATCTTCAGGTAAGACGCTTTCACAGCTACGTTGAAAAACAAACGCTTTTCCATTTTGCGCCGCTGTAAATACAGCCCGGGATAAAACTGGATTCACGTTAGATTACCAAGTTGTTTAGTTTTCTTTTTACCTTTTGTTACTCGGTCTCCGTTCGAATGATCCTGAAAAAATAACTCTCGGTAGAGAGTTGAGATTCCGATGGAGACCCAAGAATCGTCCCAGCAAAGCCTAGCTAACCAAAACTAATTTTGGATTCTTAAATTCAGTATGGACATTAGTAATTTAATGTACTGTAATAAACTAATTTACAAATAAAAAATAATATCAATAATATATAATATTAATTTTTCCGGAACCAGATATAAACTAATAAATATTTATCTTTGGATGGGTTGTTCCGGATATGAAACGCGTTTGTGTATCAACGGCATACATACTGCAAAAACTTTGTTTTCAGTGTTGTTATTTTATCCCCCATAATATAATTTTCTAGTCAACATGTTTAAATAACCACATATAAATAATCAAGGGAGAGCTAATAAAACACCCCAAATAAATGTAAACCTGGATAATCATCAAAAATTTATTGCAAAATCAATACGCGCGTATAACATCTATATCTGATATTTGCGACATATTGGGTGTTTCAAAATAAATTTCTGGTAAGCAAAGGTGAATTGGTTGAAGATTTTAAGAAGAAACGTGCTAATAAACCTAAGGTCACCTCCTAAGTTTCAGGCTTCAGATATTTTTAAGAAGCGCGCTCTCTTAAGTCATATTTTATTGTAGACGGTTTCTTAGCGTTTTTACAACAAACCAAATTGTTCCTAAAATGTTTTGCAGACGTTATTATTGCTTGGTACTTCTGAAATTCTTTAAATATTTTAGAAGTTTTTGGATTTCTGTATACCATACCTGCGGTTGACCCCCCTATTGTTATTAGAATTATAGTTTTGTGATTTTTCTAGCTGGATGGGGATTTACCGAAAAGAGACTGGAATCAAAATCTGAAGATGTGGGGCAAAAGGGGATGGAACAATCTTCACACAGGCTGGGGCAAACGTACGCCCGTTTCGTGGGACGAAGAAAACGCCTATTCCCCATCAATTTCCGAAAAACGAATGTGGCAAAATCTGCAGGTAATATAACTTCCTACCTAATCAAACGTGAAATTGAAAAGGCGAAAATCGAAAGTAAACCTACGTGCCCATATTTTCACCAAAATATAATTACTTGCTTCGGTTACTCTTTACTCGAAAACACAAAAAGAAATGTTTTCTGAATAATCCACGGCGGCGTACCGTTTCTTTATTCAGGCCTTGGAGTATCGCGAATGTCACTGTGAAAAATACGAAAATACGGTTAATTCTGATAATTAATTAAATTTATTCATAAATGGACCAAACTACTTTGTTTTTAATTAGTTAATTATCGAAACTAATACCAGTTCTAGTTCGAGCGTTTCAAGACTTTTTGGACGCAAGTACTCGTAAATAAAATTAAAATTTTAAAAATGGACTTAAGTTTTCCGATCAAAAGGGTAAAAATGTATTTTCCACACAGTAATAAAAAGTTCTCCAATACTGCAATATCGATATCATAAATGCCTACCTAGGTAAGTATTTTTAATTAGCGAGAAACTTTAATTGGGTAAAGTTTCCGATTTCCTTTTCGTTATTTAGAGAAACTAGACTAAATATTGCTGAAATAGAAAGACTGAGTTTGTAGGTTAACGTTTGTTGTTGTTAATTGGATTATACAATTTGCAGAACGTCAGATGGCATGATAAAGCCTCATTTCAGTTTCGCAATTTTTTAATTTAGCATACGTTACGTTTTTCAATTGTGCAACACAAGATAAGTACGAAAACAGGTGACAACTAACACTCTAGGTAGTTTTCGGACTGTTGAAACTCGCATTCACCGGTCTCCAGGAAATTACATGTTAAAAATTAAGATTTATTTCGGTTACATTTTTTGGCACTAATATGCAGTTAATCAAACTCTTGACTGGAACCTTCGGCACTGTAGATTCCTCCCTGGGGCGTGCCTAAGTTGACGTTGAACGGTTCCGAGTATATTCCATTCACTTTGACCCTTATTTCCCTGTGTTTCATATATGATATTATCCAACTATTGCTATTACCTCGAAGCCAAAGGCATTCGAGTTTTTTTGCCATAATATTCAGATCTAAGGAATCGAAGGCGCGCGAAAGATCAAAAAACACTCCCACAACTGTCTCACCCATGTCGAGTTTGTCGCAGATATACTGGACAAGGTCATTAATCCCCGTTTCCGTTGAGTAACCAACACGGAAACCATGTTGCACATTCGATATAATGTTTTCTTGCTCCAAAAAATGTGTCATTCTCTCGAACACGGAGTTTTCGAGTACTTTAGAGAACCAACCTGCGATTCTCTAAATATATATACAAGTGGACTTGATAGAGTCTTCATGGTCGCAGGTCTTCGAAGTGTCTATCAGTCCGGATCAAAATTAAAAAATCTCTTGGGTAATCCCAAAGATAAACTAGATACTCTTGAAAAGTCGGGAATTTATGAAATATGTTGTAACGATTGTGACAAGTCATATGTAGGGCAAACCCAAAGATCAATTAATGTTAGATTTAAGGAACATTTAGCTCATTTAAAATTTGGTAGAAGAATAATCAAGTGTAGCTGAACATGTGTTCAACAATAATCATAAGGTAGATATAAGAAATTTAAAATTAGTTAAAGAGGTAAATAATAGTAGAAAATTAGATGCCTACGAAAGCTTAGAAATTGTTAATAAGGCACCGAACAAGGGCAGAGGTTCAATCCCATTTAGCCCATTATACGCGCTGATTGGTTGCGTGAACAGTGCGTAATCCCCTCTCCCACTTCCCGATGTGTATATATACAGAGAGCATTTGTTATTAAGTTTAGTTTTAATCTTCTCCTGAAGATGCCAACATGGTTGGCGAAACGCGCGTCGTGTACGTAAAAATGCAGTTAATGACTATTAAGATTGATTTTAAGCAATGGTGGATAGGTCCGACAACCAAATTTAGCCATCTAAATTCGTCTTTTCATTATTTGGTTAAGTATCACTTGCTTTTCGTTGGAATTTGATTTGATAATAATCATAATGTATCATAGTTGCATCTGCTGCGGCAGCACCCGAGAATAATCAATTAATTAAATTGCTAGATATCGCCCGTCTTGCACCCCCTCCTTTTTGTCAATGTTGTAGTTAGCTTTTAATGGCAATATAATAAAAATCCCTACTTATTATATTTTTTATAAATGGCCATATCGTTTTGATAAGAAATATGAAAAAAAAACACGTAAAGTCATTCGTCTTTTTGTGATGAGGCTGCAAATCCCGATTGCTGGCTCGACGTTTTGCGAAGGTGCAAACATGAAAAGTACAAAAGTAAAGAAAAAACACCCACTAGGTCGAATCCAATAACATGGATGCTACGAAAAAGTAACTGGTTCAGCAAAGTTTAATATAAACCAATTTTTATGTTCGACGGATGCCAAATCTCTTATTCTGAATACAGATTTTATCTGCATTGTTATGCCTTTTACAGACGAAAAGGTTATTGACAGCTCTCCTTTATGAACTTCAGATTTATTCCCAGTTAAAATCTCAGACGTTGCACCCCTCCAGGTAGGAATCGAGAGCTAAATTAAGTTAGAGAAAAGTTGCGCATATTCATACTTAAAATCGTTTTTTTTTTTTAAAGAACCCTCCTCTTTTTAACCGTTACTGTTTCCGACGCCAATTATTATTGAGAATTTTTAATTAGGTAATAACTTTTTACAGGGCGGCTGGGGTAAAAGGTACATTCCATCGGAGAACGAACTCGTACTAAAACAGTTGGAAGCAGCAATGGAAGACCAACGAAGCAATGAAGAAAACGATCTAGACTCACCCATCGAAGGTGACATGGACATGCACGAATTCGACAAGAGAAACTGGAACAAATTCACCGACGGATGGGGCAAAAGGAGCAATAACAATAAGTGGGACAAATTCAGGGGTACGGATCTTTTTTCCACTTAAAATTGTTCAATAACCATCAAAGCAAATTGTACGATTTCATACAAATTCGGAAATTTTCTGCAATTTGATTTATCCGCTGGCTAACATGCGTGTGATAATGGCGAAGGAACGGATCACCGAGTTAATTGAATTAATCCGAATAAAAGAAAACATTACACTTCTTTTTTAGAAAATATTTTTGATTATGCATCAGAATCATCATCTCAGGTCAATAAAAATTTTAATTTAATCTTCGTGTTGTTTCAAACCAACGCCAAAACACTGGAAATAGGTAAAAGGCTCATTTGGTTCAACGTCAATGGAAAGTTCTGACTCGAACGTTTCAAATTTGGTAATTAAATTAAATGGACCGATGATTCCGAACTACTAACTAACTAACTAACGCCAAATTTGAATGGAGTTGATAAACTATTTAAAGCAAACTTAAAACTTTTCGCGCCGGTTCGGCGAAATTTCGGCCGTATTCGACAATTTACTTATGAAATCTACATTGAAATTTGCCAAAATTATTCAACGGTCAAATCAGACAGGTACACCCTTATATTACGTAGTTATAAATAAATGGGACGGAAATATATAGCTAGTGTTAATGTTGAATTAGTGATTTAGTTCCTTAAAGGTTTGAAAATGTAAAATTGAATAATTTGCAAAGGAAATCCCAAAAGTCCGTCCTCTAGAACAAAAAATTAAAAAAATCGTAGTGGTCACTTTTTTAGTGGGTTTGTGTGAGTAAGTTTTAAATCATTAAACATACTGTTACAGAGGTGGATTAAGAAAATTAAAAAAAAAAAAACAAATTCTTTGGATTTAGTAGTTTCTTCTTATATTATACAGGGTGTCCCAATTTTAAGTCACTACTAACAATATAGAAATTTTAAATAGAACACCCTGTGCATTTTTAGGTTCCTAAACTAAACTAATCTTACAATCAATATGTACTGTGTAATATTAACACTCAAGTGTCTCAAGAGGGAAGTTTTTGTTTGCATTTTAATAGTCGAGAAAAAGTTAAGAAAGAAAAGTGTTGTTAAAGCAGTTCCAAAGTGGGACTCGTGGTAAATAAAACAATTCAATGGCGAAGAAACTCGGTTTGAACCCTATAACTTTTTTGTTATTTTCTTTCTTAGCTCATCTCTGATAATTGAATTTTAAGTACAATTTAATAATTGAACTGAGGTGGCTTTTACTTGATGAAAATCCATTTATCAAAATAAATAAGAACTAAAAGTTCAGATTTTCACGAAATTATACATTATGACATGACAATTGTTTCGACAACACCGTGTCTTTATCAAATGTAATATTTACAAAGTACCTGCTACTATATATGCCGAAAAATGACCATAAAACCTTAATTAATATTGTTGGGAGAATTTAAGTTCAATAAAGGAGAGGTATTTAAATCTATTGGGTTGTTCGGAAAGTCATTTCGTTTTTTTGGGGAACATGAAAGACGGTTTTCGTATAATGAATAAATATTTTATTAAAATATATATTGGCCATTCTGGTCCAACACCTTTTGCCATCTTTCTGGCAGTAACATAATTCCGCTCTCATAAAAGTTTTGGCCCTTGCTGGCAAAAAACTGGTTCAGGTGGTTTTTGACATGTTCATTTGAGGTAAAGGTTTTGCCATCCAAAAAATTTTGCGGAGACCGGAACAAATAGTAGTCGAAAGGCGCCAGATCTGGAGAATATGGTGGATGTTGCAGTACGTCCCATTCAACCTGTAAAAGTTTTTGGCGAGTGACCAAACTTGTGTGAGGTCTCGCATTATCCTGGCGGAACACTACACCCTTCCTGTTGATTAATTCGGGCCTCTTCTCTTTAAGTGAATCATTCAATTTGTCCAGTTGATGACAATAGACTTCTGAATTAATCGTTGTATTGTCCGGCAAAAGCTCAAAAAAAACGATTCCTTTGACATCCCACCAAACGGTGAGCGTCACCTTTTTTTGGTGAATGTTGGCTTTTGACACGCTTTGAGCCGGTTCATCTTTTCCGCTCCATGACCTCTTGCGTTTAACATTGTTGTATACAACCCATTTTTCGTCCCCAGTAATAATCCGCTTCAAAAATGGATCATTTTCTTGACGTTTGAGGAGCGAATCACACACGTCAACGCGACGACACAAATTTCGCTCCGTAAGGACATGGGGCACCCACACATCGAGCTTCGAGGTTAAGCCCATGCCTTTCAAATGGCCATAAACAGTCGAATTCGACAAATTTAATCTCTCACCGATCTCTCGTGTGGTTATTCGCCGATTTGCATCTACTAATGCCTTTATCGCATCTTTGTCAGCTTCGACCGGCCTTCCAGACCGTGGTGCATCTTCGACATCAAAATTGCCGGATCGAAATTTTGCAAACCAGTTCTGGCACTGGCGTACTGTTAACACGCCTTCTCCATACACATTCGTCAATTTTTTTCTCGCTTGGACAGCATTTTTACCTTTTCTGAAGTTAAAAAAGTAAAATATGACGAAAATGCTGCTTATTGCTCTCCATATTTAAAAGGGCACCAACCAAAAACTACTGCGTAGAATTAATAGAACTTTTTCACACACAAGCCTTGCAATATCAGCTCTCAAGACATATACTGGTTATGCGGCTTAAGTGTGAAGTTGGTTTCGAAAAAACGTAATTAAGTCCTCTGACGGGAAAAAACGAAATGACTTTCCGAACAACCTTATAATTGTTCGTTAAGCAATACATTTGAATGTCTCATTTTGTTAACCTCCATGGCTTCCATTAAATATCAAATATCAAAATTGTCGTCAAATAAGTGTTTTTCTGTGTTTAAGTGTATAGCATAATTAGAATCTAGACTATTGTTTTTAAACGCTCTTATATGTTCGTTAATGCGTTTCTTGAAGGATCTACCTGTTTGTCCAATATAACTTAAGTTAAGTTAAATTACATAAACAATATATGCCCATTAGACCAGTGGTGTCTTATGTAACAGCCCCAGCAGTTAAATTCTCTACAAAATTAGTAAATATTTTAAAGTTCCACACAGATTTTAAACCAAAATGTGCAATAAAAAAAAATCTTTTGAATTAATCAACAAAATCCCTTCTAACGCAACACTATTGCCTTTAGATGTACAAAACTTATTTCCCAGAATTCCACCTATGGATGTGATAGATTTAGTGGATTTTACCCTAACTCGGAAACAGGTTAACCCATTGGTGAAACCAGATTTATTAGATTGCTTAATAATATCTTTAGACCAAAATTATTTTCAGTTTAATGGGCAGATTTATATCTCTAAAGAAGGTTTGATTATGGGAAACCCACTTAGTCCTTTGTTAGCCGAGATTTTTATGGATAATTTGGAAAATATCATACTAGAACATCCTTTAAGTAAAGGTTTTTATGGTGGTATAGATATGTGGACGATATCTTTGCTTGCTTTGTTGGAACGGACATACAATTGAATTCTTTTTTAAATTACATTAACTCAATACATAATCGTATAAAATTCACTATCGAGATTGAACAGGACAACTCTATTAATTTTTTAGGCTTAACTATTACGAAAGTACAAAACAAATTAGATTTTTCAATATATCATAAACCTTCACACACGGACACAGTCATACATAACAGCTCAAATCACCCTTATACACACAAAATGGCTGCATCTAACTCTTTTATACACAGACTTCTTAATACGCCACTCTCAACAGAAAATTACAACAAAGAACTAATATCATTAAACAAATTGCACTGAACAACGGCTACAATCCGTCCATTATAGATAAAATTATAAATAAAAAATAAATACAGACAACAGTAAACTCTATTTATCCGAAACCAAATACAGAACACGAACAATTTAAAGCAATTACATACATAGGAGAACCTAGCGAAAAAGTTTCAAAACATTTGTCAAAATGTGGTTTAAAAATAGCTTTCAGAACTAACAACACAATAGGAAAATATTTGAAAAACAATAAATCGAAATGTCCAAAATCCCAAAAATCAGGTGTCTACAGGTTAAAATGTGGATCTTGTCGTAAAATTTATATTGGACAAACAGGTAGATCCTTCAAGAAACGCATTAACGAACATAAAAGAGCGTTTAAAAACAGTAGTCTAGATTCTAATTATGCTACACACTTAAACACAGAAAAACACATTTTTGACGACAATTTTGATAGATTACACACAGCCACAAAAAGTAGAAAATTAATTTTATTGGAAGCCATGGAGATTAACCAAATGAGACATTCAAATGTATTGCTTAACGATCAATTAGATTTAAATACCTCTCCTATATCGAACTTAAATTCTCACAGCAACATTAATTAAGGTTTTATGGTCATTTTTCGATATATATAGTAGCAGGTAGTTTGTAAATATTACATTTGATAAAGACACGGTGTTGTCGAAACAATTGTCATGTCATAATATATAATTTCGTGAAAATCTGAACTTTTAGTTCTTATTTATTTTGATAAATGGATTTTCATCAAGTAAAAGCCTCCTAGTTCAATTAATATTTAAAATACTTGGTTGTAATAAGACATTATATGGGTTCAGTTAGATTTAACAACACGAGTTGCTGCAGAAAATTTCGGTTAAATTACCAACTTTTGTAATAAAAGCTATATATAAATGAAATGATACCGAATGAAATCCCAAGCTCAATAAATGTGTTAAATACAGAAAAAGCATTTTTTGATGGTCATTTAATGAATTTTCGCCATAGATAGGTCAAAGCATTAAATATTAACCAGCTCCATTGATCTATTTTTCCAAAGACCTGTTTTTCCGCACAAAACGAAAAAGTTCATTTTTCTCAAAAATTGCTCAAAATTTCGTATTTTATGATTGATAAAAACTACTGAAAATCAAACGAATTATTAGAATTAGATTTAAATACTTCTCCTTTATTGAACTTAAATTCTCGCAACAACATTAATTAAGGTTTCATGGTCATTTTTCGGTATATATAGTAACAGGTAGTTTGTAAATATTACATTTGATAAAGACACGGTGTTGTCGAAACACTTGTCATGTCATAATATATAATTTCGTGAAAATCTGAACTTTTAGTTCTTATTTATTTTTATAATTTAATAGTTTAAAAGTTACCGATACAATGAAGATGTGGCCACCCTGTATATCTCATCCCCTATATGCAATAACGGAATAAAATTCTTTAGAACTCAGGTCTGTGGAAGTATTTTTCATTGTTGAATGATTACAATTTATTATTACATACACATTTACAGATTTATTGTATGTTATTATTTATTCTGACTCTATTTCAGGTTCCTGGGGAAAGCGCGAACCAGCCTGGAACAATTTGAAGGGCATTTGGGGAAAGCGGAGCTTTTCAGAATAACTTAACAGCATGTAATTTTTGTGTTAGTTTTCGATTAAAAACTGAAACGACCATCAATGTGAACAAATATTTTTTTTACCAAAGAGCAATGTTATGTCTCCTTAAAAACAAGTTTGCCTATATCTAAAAATCTGGTACCTTTTCACAGGCCTAGTATTCACGAAGATCTCACGGACATATTTGTACAAAATTAATATTGCGCGGTTCATGACGTACAAAGCAGGAAATTATTGTATATAAGGGCTTAAGGGCTAGGACAAAAATGCAAACTGTAAATATGAAAAGTTCGATGCTCACTTTGTACAAACATATCCGTACCCTATTATGAAATCTGCTCTTCTGCATTATTCCAATGTTGCCAAATTAATATTGAAACAACTTCAAGATCAGAAAAAAACTGCTTATTCAACCGAAATTTTATTAACCAGCATCAATTTTTATTTTCTTGACTTTTACGCCTAAGAAATAAACTAAACTACGTATATTCACAAAATTTTCGATGTTATCAAGAATAGGTCAATTTTTGGTAAGTTTATATAATTTTCGTTACTAGTTGCGGACGTTTATAGTTACGGACAACGTAATTTAATGAAATATTTTTCATTGTACTTCTGGCTATTTAAAGTTTAAGACTAATCTAACATAGATAACATATGGTAACTGTATTGTATTGTAAGCAAAATACATCAATAATTGCATCTGCTCATTTTTAGTTTTTATATGCCAAAAATCGTTGAACTAACAAAAGCGTTAGACTGCATTATCCCTTATCAGGTGCAAAAATAATTTAGTGATCATTGAGGAAACGGATATTTTGCAATTGGTCCTTCTTTTTTATGATTCAAGGCTCTCTGGAGTGATATTAAAATTGTTCTTTTAATATTCTAGCAAATTGGTTTCGTATCTTAAATCTATTATAAAAAACTAATATCAGCGAATCTAATCTAATCTAATATTCTAGCAAATTGGTTTCGTATCTTAAATCTATTATAAGAAACTAATATCAGCGAATCAAATAAATTTCTTAAAGTAAATTTTCGAACATATTTGGCATAACAACGTGTTTAAGATAGTAGTAGCCTTGTTGTGGGGCATTGATTTTCTTTAGTTATCGGTAGATTTAACGCCAAGTGGTGAGGCCACCAATTCTACATGTATTCTGTGTTGCGCATGGCGCATGGATCAGCTAATCAGCGGTGAGGGGGAGGCGAGACGAGAAATATGCGTCGAAGTCGAATGAATGTCTTTCGGAGCTCTGTTCTTTTTTAATTGTAAAATTGAAAAAAATGTACTGTCCATTCAAAATCAGTAAGGAGGCCATAAGCTCGACGAAACAGCAAAATAAATCCAAGACAAGGAAAGAAGTGAATGAAAGTCAATAATGATTTCCACATTAAGAAGAACCGATTTTACCTTGAACTATATCACAAAATATCCCTGTCCATATAAATTCACAGTATGAAAATCCGAACGGGAACATTTTCAATAAAGCACAGAAGCAAATTGTAATCAATCGAAGGCTGAGAATAACCGTCTTCATATTTATTTAAATGTTTATCAATCTTTGCTTTCGCGGCTTAATAATTATTCAAACTTCGCAGTATTAGAACTAAGATTATCGGATATTGACTGAGGGGAAATAATGCAAGAAAAGCTCGAAATTCAATCAAAAGTTGTGCCCCTCTCGATCGGACTTCGCATTTTGCTACATAGATGCCTAATTTTTCTATAGTTTAATCGACTCCGTACGTATCCACGGTTCTTAAATTTCGAAGGTTCCCAGGTCGTCCAACTTTTGCGTGCACGCACTAACAATTCCCACATTATCATTCAGTCCTCAACACTAGGCAACCAAAAAATCACCTTTGTTACCATGAGATTTTATTGGGTCAATTGCGCTTGCGTCGAAAAAGTGGTATCAATATGGTTGTGTTTTTAAAAATTGGTTTGATTTATCAGCTGTTTTGTAGTGAATGTTGACTGGTTTCAGTGTTTTAATGAATTTTATAGCCATGTGCAGATTACCATGGGTGCAATTGCATCTGTATTACAGTGGCATTGCAAATCTTGTAATTTGATTAATCCTACGGAAAAAAGAAAATGCATTAGATGTGGAATTTTGAGGGAGACAACCCCAAAAAGGGATTGTTTAGATAATTCTGAACCCTTTGACTTCAGCAAAAGTAAAAATTGTACCGTTATTAGACGATACAAGGCTACAAATAACTCATTGTTAGATATTGATAGGTAGGTTGATAAATGTTTTTATTGTCCGTCATTTTTTAATAAATCAATAATATATTTTTTTAGTGGTTTAGAGAAAAAGAACTGCACTGCTTTAGTTAAAAATACTCTCGTCAATAGCTTAATTTTAATTAGGCAAAAAAAACTAAAAAATTTAAAATCACATTCCCTTATTCCAAAGTCACCAAGTCTGCCAGACTTATGTTGTTTGTTATTTTGTAAAGAATGCCAACTGTCTTTCAACAATTCAACTTTATTCTATTGCTTGCTGTGTGATAACCAGCTAGAAAGGATGAATGCTATTGAATCACCATGCAAGTTGTGCTCTGTAACTCCAAAATACAGAAACTACGAAATATTAAATTATGAAAGGTGCAAATGTCAGAACAAACCAATAAATCTAGTTTCACTATCGAACATAAAAAGTTTAAGTTGTTCAGTAGCCCAAGACAATAACTGTGATAAACCCATAGACGGTGTTCAACCAACTAACGTAAGAACTACAGCAAGTGGAATCCATAGTGATTCTTCTGGGAGCAGTTTCTGGACATCTAAAAGTACTGTACCCTCTTCTACATGGACATGTAAAAGATGTACACTATTGAATAGTGCTAGTTCTTCTATTTGTGAGGCCTGCGAAGCACATTATTTACCTGATTTGAACAGTAATATTAGCCCAAGTGTAATTATTAAGGTGAGTTAATTATTCCCCCATATACTAGAGGATGTAAGGATAAAATCCCCGTGAATTGTAATATATTGTTAAAAAAGGTTATTCTTTTTTTTTCGCAGCTTTAATTTTTATTAATTTATAAAAACACAGACTTTTAGGATCCCCTCAGGGTGGGAATTTATATATCTTGAATGTTATGTGCATTGTACCAAATATTTTGTTACACCATAAATAATTTGTTTTACAACATTGTTATTACTAAATATTTTAACAATTACAGGTGGACAATTGGGCAGATAATGAAGCTCTCCGAAATCCTACACAAAAACCTTTTTACCGAAGATCTTTCTCGGAACTGCCAGCGTCACCAAATCGCTTACCTAATTTGAATCGTCGAAGTTTAGATAGCGAAATTTTGCAGTTAAATATACCGAAATCAAGTAATTCGATGACTAACATACAATCATCAAGAACCAACTTCGGGCCTCTTAATGTTCCACTAAGAAGTAGAAATTTCAATCGAAGCACAAGTGATATTAGTGACGCCAGTGTAAATAGTACTGTGTATACGTATATAGGCATTACGGAACCCGAAAAGGAAAAACTACATTTTTATGAAAACCATAGTATCGTCAACGCTCACAAGAGAGCAAATGAATTTAGTCCTGAACAGCACGAGAAAATGTAAGTTTTTGTTTCGTTAGGAATTTTATTTTGATGGTTTGATTATTTTTTTTAAACGCACCTCTAGTGTTTTATCAATTACCTTTGCCCTTAAAATTATCGCCGTCTAATCTGTATTTCAACTTTTGGTAGTCTTACAATACTACAAAAGAACAATCCCTTACCCACATCGTGGACAATAAATGAAAGGAGGTGGATTTGCAGACAGTGTTCATTTGCCTACAATGATTTAATTGCGGATAGATGTGACATATGCAAAAGTTTTAGATCACCCCCATCTTTAAATCAACCTTCGACTATCACAGTGACCGAAGAGAGGACAAGCAGTGGTCCTTCTCCTATGTGAGTAATTCTATGTTATGAGGTTTGTGTAATTCACCTTCCTTTTGTTTTGGTTAGTTTTTCAGAACCATTTTTTAATAATAAATATTATATTTTAAAAGGGAAAAGTAGTCCCATAATTTCAGCGGATTTCTTATAAAAAATAATTTCAGACCATTGACGAAGACAAATAAAATTGTTTAAGTTATTTTTGGCACCTTTACTGTAAAAAGATTTTTTTATGTAAACGGAATTTTTGGCAATAAATATTTTCTTTTTATGATAACAAAATAGCAATATACTTCAACAAATTTAAAAAGTTTACAAAATTTCCTTTTATACCATTTTTTAGAATTTAAATTATAGCTATAAAGATTTGTTTTTTATTCTAGTCGCTAACCCACATTTATATCAACTATTTTGCATATCTAAATAATGTTATCAAAGAGATTATCTTAATTGTCATGCGTTTTAGTAGTTTATTTTACCTTATAACGTGGAATTAATGAATAGCAAATAACCATTTATATGTATGGCCACCATGACCTTTTACGCGTAAGTTGTAGTGCCAGACTCTGTTAGGAAAGGCAAACTAGGACTGATAACAATATTTCTAATAAATCTTTTAGTCCAGCGAACTGGATAGACTCCAACGATTTACAAGTTCCCATAGCCACTCTGGACCAAGACCTTGAAGATGATTTTCAGCTATTTCCAGGTAAGTATTTATCATTTAACCGGAATACCCTATAGACATGTTTTCTTCACTTAGCCAGTGATCTACTTTCCACTACATGAAGATGTATTTTAAGGGGTGGATATTTATAAGATTGCAAAATAAACTTTTAGGTATTGAATCGTCGCCTGGTTCGTCAGATGAACAAAAATGGACCTGCAAAAAGTGCACTTTGGTAAACCGTGGTTGTGCGTTAGTCTGTGAGGCGTGTTATGGTTCCAAATTAAAGTCCCTGACAATAAACCATGATATGACCTTAAAGAAAGGCGAATTTTGGACATGTTCCAAGTGCACTTTAAAAAATCCACTCACGTCCACTTCTTGTAAAGTTTGTAAGACCGAAAATTCGTTTGACAGAGAAAGATCTGGTCAGTCAAGGAGTCCATCGCCCTTGCACGGATCAAGACAATTAAATAAAAATGGAAAAGCCGGTAACGTGAAACCATTGCCCGTTAAGGGCAAAATTAACTTGCACACCGATATGGATTTAGGTATGTATCCTGATAAATTAGTCCATAAATACTAGACATAACTTTAAGGTTGTGTTCCCAATACATCCCGACAATGCCAAGTGTGGACATGCATGATTTGTACCTTTGAAAATACCAAATCTCAAGTTATCTGTGATATGTGTCAAAAACTACGTATTGATGCTAGTTCGGTGCCACCAGAAGATCCTCCCAGGCTCAGCCAGGAGGAGCTTAGTAACAAACATTGGAACTATATTGTTAGGTAAAACATCCCGTTTTCTATAGTTAGTAAAACTAAATTGAATGAACGGCATGGCAATCCTCAGGTATTGTAAGTTGAAGAAACAGAGTTACATAGATGATGATTTTCCACCCATGCAGTCCAGTTTATACTACAATCCATCAGAAGTTAAAGAAGGGCATACAGTTAAGTGGAGGAGATTAAGGGACATCATAGTGGAAGAGAACAAAGACTTACCCTGGGCTGTGTTTCGAACCCCACAACCGTCAGATATATCACAAGGTATTTCGTGGTGATTTATTTCAAAGTATTATCTATTTATTCCTTATATTTTAGGCGTATTGGGAAACTGTTGGTTACTGAGTGCCTTAGCTGTATTGTCAGAAAGGGAGGAGCTTTTAAGAGCCATCTTAATCACCAGGAGTCATTGTCCTCAAGGCGCTTACCAAGTGAGGTTGTGTAAGGATGGAGTATGGACGACTGTTTTGGTAGACGATTACTTTCCCTGCGATAAAAGGGGCCACTTGCTATATTCCCAGGTGATTTCCTTTTAATTGACGTGACCGATTCGTTGCAACTGTATAATATTCTTAAGGCGAAAAGGAAACAGCTCTGGGTACCGCTAATAGAGAAGGCTGTAGCTAAAATCCATGGCTGTTACGAAGCACTCGTTTCCGGTAGATCGTTAGAGGGTTTGGCAACGTTAACAGGGGCCCCCTGCGAATCTATACCCTTGCAAGTGTCATCGTTTCCGTCAAATGAAGAAGAATTGGATACGGACCTTATTTGGGCTCAGTGATTACTATAAAATATAGATAGAGAATCCCCCAATTTATCTATTTGCTTTCAGGTTGCTTTCTTCACGTCAAGCGATGTTCTTAATGGGAGCCTCTTGCGGTGGCGGCAACATGAAAGTGGACGAAGTGGAATATAACACAAAAGGGTTAAGGCCAAGGCACGCGTATTCGTTGTTGGACGTGCGCGATTTCGAAGGTTACAGGTTGCTTAAACTGAGAAATCCATGGGGTAAATTGCGTTTTTAACCTATAAATATCTATTTAAAATATCTCTTATATTTTAAGGCCATTTCGTCTGGAAAGGTGACTGGTCGGATAACTCTACGGTCTGGATGAGACATTTACGCGACGAACTAATGCCAGACGGGCCTCAAGACGGAACCTTTTGGATATCGTTTAACGACGTCCTAAAATATTTTGACTGCATCGACATTTGCAAAGTCAGAAGCGGTTGGAACGAAGTGAGACTGAATGGAATTTTGCCGCCCGTGGCCAGTCAGAAACATCTCTCTTGCATATTGTTGACCGTTTTGGAGCCTACCGAGGTTGATTTCACTCTCTTTCAGGTCAATCCGTTTTTTTATATTCATCAACAGTTACACAATTTCTACAATTTTGAAAATATTCGCAATAACTGTAACAATACTACCCAGCGGAGATAATGGTTAAACGAAAATCAATATGGTATAAAAAACAATTATGTAAATATAAAGTAATATACATATAAGTAGCCAAAAAGAATGCGTCAAGTACGCAGCCAAAATATACAATGAATTCTAAAATAGAAAATAAATATGAATATTATAGTCAATATAATATTGTAACATAAATGTTATCATATTTTATATTATAAATTATTATTAAAATATACCGCTATAATGGAGACTATTGGGATCACTGTGAGAGGAGAAAAATACATCTAAAATCTAATCGTATAAAGAAAACCTCTTATAATGGGTCATTATTTGCTCCGAATCCAGAGAAGAGAAGAATTTTTCTCTGAATGGCATCCGTCCGTTTTATATGCACTTCATAGTTGGGACACAAAATGATAGCACCATATTCCGAAACTGATCGAGTATGTGAAACATAAAGGAAGACAATTCAATCTGAATGATAAAAATATTTTGACATTCTCATAAAGAATCCCAACACTTGGTTTGCCCTACTGATCTATAGTGATCTGTGAACCCAAGCATCCTGTGCAGACATATACCAAGATCCTTCACAGTTTCAACCTTACCTAGATTAGCCACTCCGATATTAATGCACTCCTATTTAATTATTGTAGACATATCGGTTGGCCACGAAGGATCTCCCCTCCATAAAGTCATGCTGTGAAAAATAACATTTTTAAAAGCCCTTTCCAGAATTGGTAAAACTATTTTCTTCTTTTGGTTTATGGGAGACTCCACCAAATGTGATAGCCTAAAGAACCTGGAGAAGACAGCATAACAAAAACAGATTTGACACTAGAAACTGGACCGTTTCCTAAAGAACTAAAGGCAGCAAAAATAACGCCAGTACATAAAAAAGCCTCGCCGAAGGATCTTTGTAGTAAAATTTATAGAGAACCAACGCAAGTTTGACAAATGTGAATATGGTTTCCAAAGAAACATCAGTACCTGAGGAGCCTCAGCAGACCTACTAGAGCAAAAAAACATTCGACGTAATCGATACCGATATAATGCTTCATAAGTTTTAAAAAATGAATTTCAGAAGTGTTGCGTGAAAACGTCTATACACACACTCCAAAGACCTCAAACGCTGCACACAAATAAACAAATCAAAAAGTAAAAAAAGGGCGCTTGCTGCTCTGCAGTATATACTGTATATAAGTTATCTATAAATACAAATAAAATGGTCTATATAATCATCAAACAAAAAAATAAAAAACTTGTTCCTGTTAAATTGTACAAAATTATAAATACTTAGGACTAATCTTAACAAATAAACTTGAGTGGGACATACATGTGAATCAAATCATGAAAAAAAATGCTCTTACGGTTGGTGTAATAAAACGGTGTACAGACAATTTAAGCAAAAAATCTAAATTTTTACTTTATAGTAGTTTCATTACACCTTACATAAGGTACTTAATTTCATGCTGGGGAACTCAAAACAAAGCAGTAAAAACCATGTTTAAAATAAACAGTGTATGAAACAACAAAAACATGGAACATAAAAAAATAGTGACTTGTGAAAAAGCAAGATATTCCACAAAGAATGAACGGTAAAAAAATAACTGAGATAAAAAGCAATTGAAACAAATACATAGTCATAATACACGTAAGACTTTAGAACTCATTTTTTAAAAACTTGAAAGTACAAAGATCGCCATTATATAGCTGTATTCAGACTTGTAACACTGTACCAAAAGAGAATTGAGGAAGCAAAAACAACAAAACAATTTTGTCAGAAATTAAAAGTATATTTGCATATTTCTACGTAAATTTAAAAAGACTTACATAAAATACAGTGTGTAGCACTGTTTTGGAGTCAGTTGTAAATAAATAAATAAAAAAAGATTCATTTATTTATTGCAGAAAGGCCAAAGGAAGTCTGAAAAATCTCAGAGGTCTCAGTTAGATTTGTGTGTGGTTCTTTTCAAAGCCCGGTCGGGAACTACCATAGGAAATCTAGTAGAACACAGCAAACGTCAAGTTAGAGGTTTCGTGGGGTGCTGTAAAATGCTGGAACCTGGAGAATATGTTGTGGTACCGCTCGCTTTCAATCACTGGCACACTGGGTTGGACGAAGTTACCGCATACCCAAAGTGAGGCAAACAATCCCGTCCGGTTTTTACCATTTGCCAGCATAATTTCTATTTTAGATACGTCTTGGCTATTCACAGTTCAAAGAAAGTTTTAGCCGAGCACATCACGCCTCCAAATTATATTTTGGCAGACTCCATTATATCGTTAACGTTAGCGAGAGGCCAAAGACACGAGGGCAGAGAAGGTATGACGGCGTATTACTTGACAAAAGGTTGGGCGGGTCTGGTGGTCATGGTCGAGAATCGGCACGAAAACAAGTGGATACACGTCAAATGCGATTGTCAGGAGAGCTACAACGTCGTGTCGACCCGCGGAACTTTGAAAACAGTAGACTCGGTGCCACCTCTAACTCGCCAAGTGCGTGCAACTTTATTTTTCGTTAACTTTCGTTAAAGCGTTTGATTTACTTGTAGGTCATAATTGTTTTGACGCAACTCGAGGGTAGTGGCGGTTTTTCTATAGCACATAGGCTAACTCATAGACTTGCAAATTCTCACACTTTGCATGATTGGGGCCCACAGGGAGTTTGCCACGTTCCTGAATTGGATCACCAGACTACCGGGTTGCATTCACCTCGATTATTCTGAGGTAAGTGTTAATACCTGGAAAATTGACTACCAAAGAAAGATATATATATATATATATATATATATATATATATATATATATATATATATATATATATATATATATATATATATATATATATATACTTAAGAAATGGTTCTTGGGTTTTTTTGGTCCTTTTTTAGTGAAATTAAAGTTCCCGTTACTTGTGAAACATTTTACTTTTTGTGACGTTTCGGCCATCAAGACCTTCTGCAGACATTTAACTTTAACCTACAAAAATGTATTTTTAAATAAAATTATTTATAGCATTGTTTTCCTGGTCATAATTAAAACATAGATAAAAAATTGTATAGGAGTCAGCAAAATGGATTGAAATGATTAAAAATTACTAGTGCAAGTCAATAGAACATACAAAGTGATTAAAAATAGTATAAAAATAGATGCACAACAATAAAACATACATAATTTTTTATATTACGATTACATACCTTAAGCCAAAAATCAACGGTTCACTATATAGTTGTTTGGTAATTTACAGTTTTACATCATTCACAACAGACATATCGAATATGTAAATCGACAAGGCACATTGGTAAGACGAACCAAAACAATAATGCGAAGCACGGATGTACGTTTCTTCACGGTAGGACAACGGAGTTTTTTTTTAAGCGTTTTTTTTTTTGTGGTTTGTGTGAGATTCACGGGTTAATTTATATCTTTATTTAATTAAGTTGTGATAAATTTTGCTGAGATTTTTTGTGTCAGTCTTACAATTTATGGCGTTTGGATTTTTTTTGGATCTCAATCATTTCATAAAATTCCCGTCTTTTTGTGTGGCTTTCTGAGCGTAAAATTTTCACACTTTGAAAGTCAAACGAGTGCTGATTCTCCCTGGCATGGCTCGCAAGAGCAGTGTTATTTTTTTTGTCATATTTGTGGCCGTTTAAGCGACTTTTTAAGTATTGACTAGTTTGTCCGAAGTAGACACCGTTACAATTTTGGCATGGTATTTGATACACAACGTGGCTTTTTTTTCTCGTCAGGGATTTTTTATTTTAATTTACTCAAGTTTTGTTCTAATAGATTATAACCTTTGTGTGCCACAGTAATGTCGTGTTGTTTGAACACATTGCAAAAATTTTCCGATAGCCCTGGAACGTACCGTAATGGGAGATATTGTTTTTGGATATTTTTCTTTTCGGATTTGTTACCAGCATTTTGATTGTAAAATTTATGTATCCGTTTATTGAAAATTTTATTTATTAATACATCCGGATAACAGTTTAATTTTAGGGCTTGTTTTGCTTTTTTAATAGCTTGCTGTCTGTACTCAGGATCGGACAGTTTAATTATTACGGATTTTTTTTGGGTGATGGGATGTTGGGAGTTGAAGCTTACGTACCTAGATGACTAGTGTACCATTTGGTTTTGATCTGGTCTTTGCTGTGGTATAGAGTCAGGTCTAGAAAGTTATTCGATATGTCTGTTGTGAATGTTGTAAAACTGTAAATTACCAAACAACTATACAGTGAACCGTTGATTTTTGGCTTAAGGTATGCAATCGTAATATAAAAAATCATGTATGTTTTATTGTTGTGCATCTATTTTTATACTATTTTTAATCACTTTGTATGTTCTATTGACTTGCACTAGTAATTTTTAATCATTTCAATCCGTTTTGCTGACTCCTATACACCTTTTTATCTATGTTTTAATTATGACCAGGAAAACAATGCTATAAATAATTTTATTTAAAAATACATTTTTGGAGGTTAAAATTAAATGTCTGAAGAAGGTCTTGATGGCCGAAACGTCACAAAAAATAAAATGTTTCACAAGTAACGGAAACTTACAAACGATATATATATATATATATATATATATATATATATATATATATATATATATATACTGTTTGATTTTTTTCTCTTAATTTTAGGGGGTTAATAACACAGTATTTGTATCTTCTTAAGGAGTTTTAGCGTTTAGTTTCAATGCACTGATAGTGTAATTTGAGTATTATGTTGAATTTGATACCTTGGTTTTGTCTGTTTTGTTTGTTGTTAAATGATTTATTAGGCTTTGGCAAAATTATAGAATAAATTTTGGGAAATTATTGTTTACTGGATTATTTCGTCGGGAAACAACGTTTGGGTAATATTTTAAACAATTATTTGTAAAACCAGGTAGGGCTATCGTTAGAAAGCAACGTGTGTTTGGAATTTTGCTGTTAATTTCCTGAATGAATGAATTGCATGATAGGTTGATAATTTATTTTTAATTTGTTTTAATTTTGTTCTCTGGATTAAAGACAAACATGTATTTGATCATGTTTTTTGTACTAAATTTTAAAGAGATACCATCGGTTCTTAGATACTACATATTATAATTATTAGAAATTCGAATGTGATAGTTAATGTAAATGCAATTTTAAATTGTTTCAAGGGCTAGTTTCGAATATTAAATTGAATTATTTTTTTAAGAACTTGTTGAGTTGGCAGATTTATATCCACAGTGTGAATTATTTGTTCATGAACCTGTTCATTTATTTTCATCAGTCACATGTTTTGTCTGAATTTTATAAAATAGTTCAAACCGATTGAAACGCCTATTGAAGTAATATTTTAGTTCCACCATCGCCATCAAGGTCTAGGCGCTCTAGATTGATTTGAAATTTGGTACTGGACTGTAAAAAGTAATACATTTTTTAACTTGGTAGGGGAGCAACTTTCCTTTTTTACATATTGTATATGCTCGGGTTTCTTTAAAAATCGGTGAGGTTCATGAACACATAGTAATACTTTTTTTACTTGAATCTCCACAAATTGTTAATTTAAATTATACATATATTAAAATATGTTAAATGTGACATTACACATTATTATGCACTCCAATTATTTTTAAAAAATACTTGTTTTAATGGGCCTATACTTTACAAACTTTTGTGATAGCAGAAATACAGATTTTCGTTTATAATACTGTCTTTTCGTTAAAGTTTCGCAGCGCAAACTTTTGTGAAAACTAAAACTAACAAAATAGCAAAATTTAATTTCCTTCTGACAACTTATGTTGAAGCGCATACTTAAAAAAACATTTCATTTTGAAAATATATGTGTACAACTTATTTTTCCCAATTGCCCTTTCCCTACATATCAAACTATAATTTTCAAAAAAATATATTTTACGGTAGTATAAGGATTTAGTTAGAAGGGAGGTTGTACCAGCAGTAGGTGATTCTCTTGATTGATTTTTGTAATTAAATGCTTTGTTATTGCTAATTGTTTTACTTTCTTCATCACAAACATCTTATAATTAACCAGTGGTTGATCAGGTCTGAACAGGTAAATCATTCATTATGTTACTTTAGTTTCCATGTTTCCATCTCTTTTTTTTCAGATATCTGCCTATTTGTTGTTATGAAATAAATACAAGAATCTTATAAAGATATGCGATATATGACCTTCAATTCTTAAAGCTTAATTCACTTAATTACAAAACGTTTTAAAAATAATATTAAGTTTTACATTTATTTAGAATTTCACCTGAATTATCTTAGCTTCTGGTGCTATTACCCTAACATAATATTTTATTTACTGTACACACTATAAAAATATCTGCTGCCTCCCTCTGTATCAATTGTGTGACACACACAAGTTGTTCTGTTCAAAGTAATCAATGGCTTTTTAAATTGATGCATGTTTGTGTAATTTTGTATAGCATTGTCTTATTAAATTTTTGTACTGTTGTTATATAAAAGCATATTCACAAAATCTAGGGTTTTCTTGCCCAATGTAAAGCTTATGTTTAGACTGTGTCTAATTTTTGTGGTCTTATATTGTAAATTAATAAAGTAAGCTTTGACATAAATTGATATTATTTTTTTAAAATCAATTTTCAATATATTACGCAGATTATTATCATTGTTATTATTTGGTGATTAAATAAAAAAAGCATTCAACTGTTGGGATTAATTTTAAATCATTCTTATTTGATGAAATGAATTTTCCTTAATTTTATATTTAAATCTTAAAACTAAACTTATGAAATATGAAAAAGTTAAAGTTTTAGTTATTTGTTATTATCACTACTTTGGAAAAATATAACATCATCAGCAGCTACAGCAGTGGTTGCTTTTGGTGTTCCATCTCCATCGCGTATCTCTCCATAGGTGATTCGTCCAGACACATAGACTCTTTGTCCTTTTTTTAAGTAATTTAGAACTGATTCTCTTATACCTAGAATGAATGATATATATTCAAATTTGTTGGGCTTCGTTTCTTTGCAATTATCACCAGAGATTTCTAATACATTAATTTATAAAATATTATAATTCAATGACTAACCTGGTTTAAAGCACACAATTCTATGCCATTCAGTCCTTTGCAGAAATTCGCCAGATTCATAACGGTAATTTGTATGAGTAGCTAATGAAAACACAGCAACAGGGTGCTCATCATTACCTTTTCTCTGTGGATCTGCACCGACCCTACCCAAAAGTTGCACATTATTTATAGCTACAAAAATACATTAAGATATTGAATTAATCGACAAAATTTGTCATAATTACTTTTTTCTAATCTTGGAGGTTCCTGTTGAATGTTGCCAGTTGCCATGTGCCGTGTAAAAATTTGAACATTTTTGGCGAATTTTGTAGTCACTGACGTATTTAAAATTCTCGTTACCAACATTATACTTAATTAAATATTTTAAAATATAACAGAGCAAAGCCGAATCGCTAGGTCCGATAATATTGAAAATAAGGTTAGTTTCATAGATAATGGAGCTTGGTTATTTTTGATGTAGCACAGTACAAATTTGGAAGGAGCGGTGTCAATACAGTTTGTCGGAGATGTGAATTGCAAAGAGCTAGAGAACGCAGAAATTTAAAAAAACAGACTGAAATAAAGGCTTCATTCTACCTGCAAAAATTATTTGGTCAATGTATTACTAATATTTAGTATAAGTGTCATTACGATGGTTCTTTTGACGCCGCCGTATATGTCTATGTGGGATAGATTTTGCACTGCCGATAGAAGAGACAATATAGCTTTTAAAGATATAGTGGCGCTGCTCATGCTGATAATACAGGAACTTATGAAGCAACTATGAAACTAATTTAACAAATTTTGAAAAATTCCATTCAACATGTAGATGCGCGAGATTTAAAATTTCGTTTTTGACCAATGTCCTTGCGACATTCAGCAAACCAACATGACCGATCAGGGATCGTCAATAAGTTTGGAAGCGGCATTTTGAAGCCAGTATATTATCAAAATATCTCGTTAAATATTCTGGGAAAACGAGTTTAAGTTTATTAAGAAAATGGCGCAAAGTGCAGGTTAGTGGGTAAAAAGGACTGTCCTGCGCGGAAAATAATTACGTAGTAGGGCTACTATTTTATCTAATAGGATTGCGCTGGCTTTAAGACGATTATCAGATATACGAAGTGCGAAGATAATTTTCGGAGTTGTAAGGTCTACTTTTGCGGTTTGTCATGTTTTCTTTGGGTACAATTTCACACAAAATCATCATTTTTTAAGGAACCACAGGAATCATGCTAAGTGTAGACAGAAAAACACGTTTTTCTAAGATAACATGCCATCGGCACCCTTTTATCATCCTAGCGACGTGCCGTCGCGTCATTCACACAGAACGATACCGTCGGCGTCCTTTATCGTCGACTCAACCCCGTGTTCCAATATTGTAAACACTATTAGTTTTATATTACTTTTAGAGGCCCACGGAAGGATAAAGTTAGGCTTGGGTCATTCAGTTATTAAAAAGCTTTGAATGTAACAGTACAACTCTTCGCCCTGCATGTAATGTTTAGATCGAACTATTAAATGTATTAAAGACAAGTAGTATTTATTTCATAAAGACTACACATAGTAGCGCGAAGCAGCTTTGTATTTCAAAAAGAAGCTGCTTCGCGTATAAAGCGTTTTCACGTATCGCCGAATTTCAAAGTCACGACAAACTTTAGCGATAACGATTTCCAATGATATTTTTCAAATATTTCGCGCGCCCTTGATGATAGACGAAACCTGAAACTCTCCATACAGTTTATGATATTGTTTAAAGCAAGTTATCCCTTGTTTGCTAGTTTTTCATTTATGGCTAATAATTTACCCGCGAAAATGGCAATTTTCAGGATCTTTAACATCTTTTACCCATTACCGATACACCCACATAATTGAAAAACTGCCAGAAGTAGAGGTTCTGGTTATCCCATATTTCCTGGTCCAAGAATTTTTCTAATAGAGTAAATGGTTTTCGAGAAAATAATTTTTTTCTTAAACAATGCAGTACGAATAACGTCATGGCGTCTAGATTGAGTGCGAGATATAGCGACTGTCATGTAGACTTTTTCAAGTATCTCGAGAAGCATGTATGTTAGTCGAAAACCGTAAATACAAAAATCATAGCTCTTGATGAGGCCTATAAGACTGTTGACCGATTAGCCATATTGATTACAAATGTCTTTTAGATTTTTGTTCATAACTAAAACACCCTGTACATAATCGAAAAAAATGCATGAATCAAAAGTTGAACCCTGCAGACGTTTCGCCAAAATCTCACTTGGCGAAACGTCTGCAGGGTTCAACTTTTGATTCATGCATTTTTTTCGATTATGTACAGGGTGTTTTAGTTATGAACAAAAATATAAAAGACATTTGACAATTTTAAGTGGATAGCTTCAACACTTATGTCTTATGTCTACAAAACAATCGAAAAAAATAAGATGGATGCCGTCTACAGAGAACGGACAGCCATTTTTACATATCTTATGCAAAAAAAAAGCAAAATTTGGAGGCTTTCGAAAAATTCGATTTCATCGATTTTTCGAAAGTAACACGCTGAATTCAAAACAAACATCAATTACATTAAATTAACTAAAATAGATCTTTGCAAAAAAAAAGGACAAATTTACGTTCTGTCTTTTGAAAAGCATTTTATTAATAAATACCTAAAAAATGATAACAATGTCACATTGCATAAAAATATATAAATTATTTTAATAAAGTTGCACTTTGACCATTACAAGTTTCTGTGAAAATATATAAAAGTGTATCCCCCAAAAAACTACTACAAATACACTAATTATAACATTACTAAGCGGCCATTTAACAAAACAGCTTTAGTTTAACAATTTCTAACTAAATAGGAGAGTATTAACAATTAAACATTTAATATCTAACATGAATCTGAAAAGCGATTTAGCATTTAGAATGTACGTGTGACAGTATCATTGCTCTGTTTTCACACAAGGTATTTCAAATTTCCACTGCTGACTGCTTAAACAAAGAATGTTTTAATAATTTGACTGGTTTTGTGACTTAACGAAATTAGTCTTATAGCAAAAATTTTACACATAAACCTTTGCATAATTTAACCACTAATCTGAAGTAAAAATCTCTCCGTTGCGACAATCATATTTAGTTTGCTTAATCAAACATGTGCAATTTTCAATAAAACTAAAAGCCAATTTGTTCTTCACAACACATCAGCTGCAAAAAAGTACTTTTCGCACAAAACCTTACATTAATCTTGCTGATCTAAATCCCGCTCGCTAGGTTGTATTAATACCTTCCTCGAATCCTTGGTTCGATCCGACATCTTCATTTACTCTAATGCCAATGCTGTTGTCTCCATTTTCAAAACCATCACTTTTCGTTTCAGACACCGTTTTTATTACATCCTCAATTAAACTACCGGCAAACTGCTTTAGTTCTTGATTGACACCACCACTTTGAAGATTATCTTTCCTGCGTTGGTTCACAGGTAATGGTAGCGAAGATGGACGGGACTGCTGCAGCTGCGGACTTTGACTTTTTTGAAAAGGGAAATTCTTACCATTCTCTCCCTGGATGACAAAATTTCAAACTTGCGTGATACAAAAAACTATTACTGTACCTGCGGGGTGTGGACAGCAACAATTTCTGTTTGAGTAGCAATTCCATTCTCTTTTAAGTGCCCGCTCATGCCTGCGCTGTGACTAAACACAGTCATCACCTTAACAATGTCCTGCATTGAGACTTGTAATTGCTGAATCTAGAAAAAATAATCGTATTTTAGTACTTAAGATATTACAGATTTCCTACGAGACATTTATCCTTACAATTAAATTAGAACAAAAAATGTTCACATGTTCACAATTATTTAATGATTTATGATAGCTGTTTCGGCAACACCGTGCCTTTATCAAATACAAGCCATGACAACATTCCCACATCTATACATCCTTTTATTTTTATACGCCCTTCGCCCTCCTATGTTCGTTAATGCGTTTCTTAAATGTTCTACCTGTTTGTCCCATATAATGTTGGGCACATTTCAACTTGTAGATTCCAGACTTTCGTAATTTAGTTCTAATTACAGCGCTTTTTATAATCGCGGTCCCCTCCGCCGTAAATTGTTTCGCGGCGGGGTGGGGGACACGGTTGCCGCGACTAGCGGTGCTACCTCGCTATTGGTTCGACTTGATTGCGCCGCGGTGGTCGGATAGAAACAGTCATCGACCACCTGGAATCGAACACTGCTGAAGAAGTGACACAAGATGTGGCCCGCATTCTTAGAAAAGCAAAAACACCAGCTTCAAACATCATCAAGGAGGAAGAACGAGCGCTAATCCGCCTTAGAAAGAACAAGGAAATAACGATTCTACCAGCGGACAAAGGGAACGCCACCGTAGTCATGAATACAGAGGACTACAAAAAAGAGATGCAACAGATACTGGAAGACGACAAAAAGGTATCAAGGGACCCAACAACTTATCTGGAAAAAAACACCAAAGCAAATATCAAAGAAGTTATCCAGGATGAGCAGCTGCAAAAGAAACTTATACCTCGAGAAAAGTCAAGCAGGTGTCCCAAACTTTACGGTTTACCAAAAATCCACAAGAACGACGTACCACTGAGACCAATCGTAAGCGCCTTCAATTCCCCAACACAGAAGTTGGAGAAGTATCTAGCTAACATACTGCAACCTATCGTGGAAGCCAAGGCATCTTATGTAAAGAACTCCGAACACTTTTTACAACTGATAAAGGAAATCAACATCGATCCACAAGATGTCTCGGCTAGCTTCGATGTAAAATCTCTGTACCCGAGTATACCTATTGACGAGGCTTTGAACCTGATTGCAATGAACGTCATACAGCTAGCTGAGCACTGCCTAAAGAACACGTATGATGGTCAGCTCTATAGACAGACAGATGGCGCCCCAATGGGGTCATCACTTTCGCCAGCAATAGGAAACCTGTTCATGGCCTATTTCGAGGCTCGAGCGATCCGAGAAAGTCAACTCAAGCCGAAGCTCTGGATCCGATACGTCGACGACATTTTTATCATATGGTCCCACGGGGAGGATCATTTTCTAACTTACTTATATACTTATATATATATATATATATATATATATATATATATATATATATATATATATATATATATATATATATATATATATATATATATACATATATATATATATATATATATATATATATATATATATATATATATATATATATATATATATATATATATATATATATATATAACACTGTGAATCAATACGTGAGAATATATATATATATATATATATATATATATATATATATATATATATATATATATATATATATATACAGGGTTTTTCACTTAAAACTCCGCACGCCAATAAGTCCAAAACGAAAAGAAATATTTAATTTATGTAAAAAGTAGTCAAAGTGTGGGGTCAAGTAGATATTTCCTAAAGTTTAAAAAATTCGACGCCTGCAAAGAGCTGGGCGTCGCGACGCGTCGAAAAATTATTCGATTGCAGAGACTTTGGAAATACGCGCATACAAAAGTACATATTATTTAAAAACGTTTTTGTTATTTACTCAAACTTATTTACTTTACCCGTTTCTAAGTTATACCGATTTAAAGTAAACATTTCTTGATTAATAAAAAATGTGATTAACGCTTATTTTTACAAGTATGCCATGAATGTTAGTTACTATGGCAACCATTGTTATCGCAGTTGTTTTAAGTGCAATTACAAACGTAAGTTGTTATTGCTGTATCAAAAAATTGTCACATTTTGTCACAAGAAATATCCAAATTTGTTCGGTTTAAAAAAAACTAAGAATTATTATGTGAAAATGGTGCAATTTAGCAATGAGGAAAAAGTAGACATGTTGCTGGTGTTTGGAGAATGCAGATGCAATTGTAGAGAAGCAAAAAAAACGCACGGCGTTATCCGCATAGAAGAGTCCCCGATGCAAAAACCTTTTCAAGTTTATGTAAAAACTTAAGAGAATATGGCAGCTTCATAAAACCTAAAAGAGATAGGAACAGGACGGCTACAAATGATGAAAATACATCTGCTGTAACTCAGCAGGTTGATAATAACCCCAAGATATCCCTATCAGAGATAAAAGAAAATACCGGTGTTAATATAAGTTCTTCGTGGAGAATTCTACATAGAAACTCTTTTCACCCGTACAAAAGTAAACTAGTTCATAAACTAGAACCAGGCGATTATGCTAGAAGAATGTATTTCTTAGCGACATTGTCCGATTTGTATAGGCAAGATGCAAATTTTCTCTCGAAAATTTTATGGAGCGACGAAAGTCGATTTCAAAATAATGGAATCGTTAATAGACACAACTGTCGTTTTTGGTCCGAAAACCATCCTCGTTGGATTACAGAAAGAGGTAACCAAAGAATTTTTAGTATCAATGTTTGGTGCGGCATATTAAATGGATTCCTTATTGGACCTTACTTTTACGAAGGAACTTTAAATGCAGATCGCTATTTAAGATTTCTTCAAACTACACTTCCGCAACTATTAGAAGAAGTGCCTCTTGACACTAGAATGAATATGTGGCTACAGCAGGATGGAGCGCCTGCACATAATGTCCAAATAGTAACGAGGTATTTGAACCGAGAATATCCCAATAGATGGTTTGGTACTAGTGGACCGGTAAGGTGGCCGGCGAGGTCCCCGGACATTACACCACCAGATTATTTTCTTTGGGGCTACCTAAAAAACGTTATCTATGAAGAACCTATCGAAGATATGGCTGATCTCATTAACAAAATTAGTGCAGCGTGTGCCGCTATCACAAGGAGGACTCTCCTACAAGTGACCCAAGCTCATCTGTTAAAAGTTTTTGATAGTTGTGTTCGAGCAGATGGACATAATTTTGAACAAAATTTTTGAAATGTCTTATTATGTAGTTAATTGCAATAATAATTTTGGTTATTAACTTGTAGGTATTTTACTGTTTTTTCATTTATTTATCATGTTATCAGAACTAAATCGATAAAAAATAATAAATAAAATCATACTAAAATAGTTGAAATCTATTGTTTGTAATTGCACTTAAAACAACTGCGATAACAATGGCATTCATGGCATACTTGTAAAAATAAGCGTTAATCGCATTTTTTATTAATCAAGAAATTTTTTAAATTGGTATAACTTAGAAACGGGTAAAGTAAATAAGTTTGAGTAAATAACAAAAAAGTTTTTAGATAATATGTACTTTTGTATGCGCGTATTTCCAAAGTCTCTGCAATCGAATAATTTTTCGACGCGTCGCGACGCCCAGCTCTTTGCAGGCGTCGAATTTTTTAAACTTTAGGAAATGTCTACTTGACCCCACACTTTGACTACTTTTTACAGAAATTAAATATTTCTTTTCGTTTTGGACTTATTGGCGTGCGGAGTTTTAAGTGAAAAACCCTGTATATATATATATATATATATATATATATATATATATATATATATATATATATATATATATATATATATATATATATATGCCGGAACAGCTGTTCTAAATCATAAATGTTAAATGGGTTTTTATTAAGTAGAATCCACCTCAGCCCAATTCCTTATATTCATATATAGTCTTAATTTCAAATATCTAGAAAAAAAATATTGGCACCCATGAAAAGTTGAAATTAAATAAATTAAATAAACATTTCCAATGGCCTAAAAGCATGGCGAAATCGTAACAATCAGTCTTGACTAAACTAGGAATAGGTAATAAACCGATGTACAGAGGATTGTTACCTGATTTTGTAACAGAGAGCATGTCTGGGCCAGGCCCTTGATCACCTCTGCATTCGTTTCAGACAGATTTGTCATGTTTATATTGCCGGGCGGGTTTGCTTCACTACTTCCCATCTGAAGTGAGGATATCTTTTTCCACAGAGCGCTAATCGCTTCAGTTTGTAACATTTGGATTTTTCTTTCACTTTCTAATGCCGCCTTGGTAGTTTCCATATCTGAAGCTAGTTTTCTAAAATCAATAAACATGACCAGAAATTTGTTGCATATAAAAAGTTACATGAAGTACACTTACTGAATATATTGACTTGCCCTCTGATTTTGGAGTGTTCGAAACATTTCCTGAACCTCTTTGTCTTTGTTCCTGGTATAATATCCCCTCCAAACTTTCTGTATACATATAGCAGCCCGTTCAACTTTTTCTTCATTGCTACTACTGTTTAGTATTTCCGAATCTCTTTGTTGCTTTCTTTCCTGGACCTTCATTTGGATCATGTGTAACTTTGAATCGCATATTTCAGATTCATCTTCGCTACTTGGGGATTTTCTACGCAATATAGAACTTTTTTTAGACACTTCTTGTTTGCTAAAAGCAAAAATAAAGGTTTGATAATACCCTCAATAAAATAAGTATAAAGCAGGAAAGACACATACTTTGAATTCAAATTGGCGATTTTCTTTTGTCTGCAAGGAGAAGGTGAACCTCCAACTTTTCTTGAAAAGTCGTTATTAGTCTGATTTCTGGTAGTTGCGGCCGAAGAAGCCCGAACGGATTTTGGTGACCGAACTACAGGTAAATCTTTACCGGAACTCACTCTGTTCATTGGCATACTATGTTGAGTCGAAATGGTTTTTCCTATAAGCGAAGGTGGCTTATAGTCTGGACTCATTAGATTTTCTGGCACTGGCACCATCTTAGAAAGAGCTTGAAGAGGACTGTTTACGGCCTCAATTTCTAAAACACATTTTTCTAAATGGCAAATTTTCACCATTGCTGGATAAAATGAAATCGGTTAATGTAAAATAATATTGACATTTCCACGGGCTTTCCGCACAACAGGAAAGTGAAAGTTCTACGTTATAATTTCGCTTACTTGTTTTTTGTAAATTTTGATAGATATTAATTACAAAGCGTATCACATTACTTGTCATTTGTCTTCTGGGGCTGGCCCCTGTAAGTGGTGGTAGAACGTGTAAGCGAATGATTGAAAAACATATAAAAGTAAACTCCATGAAACTAGTTACATAAGAAATGCATAATTATAACATAAACCATAAACTCACCCGAATATTTGTCAGGTGTATTGCAATAATTATTGACTGATTCCTGCATACTCTTTGACATGCCTTGAGACATTATACTTTGTCTTAGCAAAGTGGGATCTAAACTTTGTGACATGATAGACTGGCTATAATTGTCACCACCAACTGAACCATAGTAACTTGTGACCATTCGATCTGGAGACTTATTTCTCTTGTTTTGTCTGAGAGCTATAAGAAATATTAATTAAGTTGGCTTGTTGAGTAACCGCCCCTAAAACTATCTTACTATTAATCCGCGGAGAATTTTTATTTTGCTGTAATTTCTTTTTGGTTGCAGGCGAGGGTTGCGGAGTATCTGTAATAATAAAATTAATTATAAATCATTCAATATTGATTTTCAATCGGTAGGCATACTGTTTGATGATTGTTCCCTTAGTTGCTGCTGGTGGTGTTGTGCCTTGCTTAATATTAGCCTCAGTTTTCGATCTTCCTCGGTTTCCAAAGTCTCGCCTGTTAAAGGGCACACGGCAGCTAAATACTGAGTCAACTCTTTTTGATCTCCAATTCTAAAATGCCTACCTCTGCCTTGAGAATAAAGCCACTCGGCCCGCAAACTGAAAATGTCCGGGAAATTATTTGCGATTTCTAATTAGAAATGAATATCACAATCATACCTTTCGATTGCATCTACAACATAGTCGTCTATAACATTGACATTTAAGCACCAGTTTATTACAAATGGACGGTAATCGAAACCACTAATATCAGGTTAAGAAAATTACACAGCGAACCACAGTTTAAATCAAAACAAAATTATTTACATAGTTCAAATGTGCTTTGGTCATATTCATATATATATTAATTGTAAAAATATTAAAATTGTTTCCCACAAATTTAGGGCAAACTCTTTAATATCATCTATGATTTTATTTTGGTACACCAGTTAGTTAGTATTGCCTGCATTGAAAAGTCAAATTTGAATGAATTCCCAAAACCCAAAAGAAGAATGTGAATAAATAACACCAGAAAAAATTCATATCAAAGGATACATGTTGCCTCCTGTCATATTAACACAAGGATTATTACAAATAGAAATTTTTGTTAAATTAACGAGATGTGACAATCTTGATATTTCATTTAAATCGGAAATATTATTGTTAGCTAAAGTTAGTGTTGTTAAGCTGGCTGGTAAAAAGCGATCACATTGTCCCAAATGGTTAATCTTATTCTTATTTAAAAAAAGTTCCTAAAAATATTCTGTATTAGTTAGCACAGAAAGTAAAATAGGTGTTAATAATTAGGTACCTTGAGATTTTTAAGAAAAGAGAGATCGCTAATATGGGTTATACTGTTTTCTGATAAATCCAAATATTCCATACATATGTTAGTATTTAAATGTTCGATGGTCTAAAATAAATGTTATGTTAGGGTATGCGATATTAGTGGGTTTGTTGTTAATCACCTTGATGCTATTCCCAGCAAGGCACAACCACTTTAAACCAGTAAGATCTTTTAAACCTTCAATCATCAAAATTCCATTATAAGCCAAGTTTAGAGTGTGTAAATTATGCAGTCTGCACACCCCATACATTCGAAGCAACTGATTACGGCAAGCTGATAGCTATAACATCCAGTAAGTTGTTAAACTGCCAATTAATTGCTACGTTCATACCTTTTGAAGTTTTATGTAAGAGTCGATATTATCTAAACGTTGTAACTCATTGTCATCCAGTATAAGTTCCACCACTTCCAATTCCTTTGGGGAGGGTTTATTTAGCTTTTTTAATTTCTGGTGAGAATAATCCAAAATTTCTAAAGGTTTTTCTAAAATTTATAGGTCAGCTTCTACTTGAAGAAGCATGAATGGCTAACTTCTTACCCATGTTAAGCTAAATATCCACGAGCTGAGTACTGCATCAAGCATAAACCTATTCCCAAAATTCTTTAACCTATACATAAAATTTCTGAATTAACTGCCATCAAAATGCCAAACACTTCGGACAATTTTAGTATTTTTCAATACTATTTTAATATTTTTTAAAGTATGTTTACATTATGGGGGAATCTGTAGTTTACATCTACACCACAAAACACAGAATGCTAAGCTACAAAAGTCAAACTTAGTAATATTCCGTTGGATTTCCCGGATTGTGGCAGGATAAAAACACACCAGGCTTAAAGTATTGGGACTTCTCCCCGGTCTAAACTAAGCTGTAGGAGTTAGTGTTGTGTCAATCGTTCATTTTACGAGGACCGAATCAATCAGTGACCGATTTTGAAAAGGACCGAATCATGTCAATCAATATTCATTTCGATACTTTTTGATGCCAACATAACGGCAATAACCACTGAATCCGAACAGTTGGAACGACCGATTCAGATTCATTTGAATTTGAATTATTGTTGTGTCTATATGTTGTGTTTTCTGTTCTAGTTAGTATAATATTTAGCTGTGTTCTGCTTTTTATTGAATCATGATTTTATCAAAATAGGTGCTTGTATTGGGTTTTACCAGTAATACATTACTTTGTTTAAATTAAATACCTGTGTGGAAATAAATATTTCATTCAATATTCAATTCAACACATAAGCAAATCTACCATCTACAACGATGTCATATCTCAATACCATAGAATAATTATAACAACATTCCCATTCCTTTTCCGTGGCCAGTCATGCAAATCTTAAACCATTCAAATTGTATTTGGTCACTTCAAACCGGTCGAGGCGGCAGCGAGAGCGAACAAGATGATCGAATCGTTGCGAACAAGCGGGATTCGGTCGTTCGATACTATGAAGTGATTGTGGATTTTTCTTTGTGAAGCAAATTCCGCATTACAGAAACTAAAATAAAACACTTACTCTAATACTCATTGATTAAATTCAAGCAACCATACACCATCACTTCCTTCCTTAGTTCACTTACTGGATGAAAAAAAGGAAAAGGAAGATGGTAGAGCCATTTAATTTCTCGTTTTGTGTTCGGAGTACGTTTACCTTAGATATTGTTATAACAATAATTCATCTCCTGGCAACATTTTTAATATTGATATTAAGCGGGGCTAGCACATCCGTCTAAAAAAACGTAAAATCGAGTTATTTTATCATCCTGTAGGTATATCCTTGAGCCATAAGTGAGTGTTAATAATTGTATATAATTGCATCTCGTCAAAATACTTGGCAGTTAGTGTTTGTGTTCAAGTGTTTAATCGTTCGGATTCTTTTTCCTTTCTCAAATCATTTACGGTCAGTAAAAAAGCATCAAATTATAAAAATTATCTCTTATTAGTGAACCTGAATCGAGTGCGCAAACAAAAACTTGACTATTGTTCTACAAAAATTATTTTCTATTGTGGTTTGTTTTTCGAAAGTAATTTTATTTTAATAAGGTGTGTGTGCCTATGTTATAAATATATCAAATACTAAGCGTGTATAATGTTGATTTTATGAACTATTGTTGAGATAAAGTTGAAATTTTTCAAAACTGCTTGTTTAGGTTATGTTGACCACGTCCGCGTTATATAGTCATCCGACCAGAAAATTTAACTTGAAAAGTTCTTTTAATTTAGTGTCGATAAAATGATCAAAAGCATATTTCAATTCACTTTTAAGTAGTTTTATTGCGTGAATACATTTACAATGATTTTAATTGTGCAATGAGGTGATTCTTATTCTGAACTCGTCACGATTAACGAAATTTTAATTTGTTGTATATACACGGCAAAGAAAAAAAAAGACTCTGGTATACTCAAAAGTGCATTTTATTTGCTTCTGCAATTTACAAAATACATTTTTTTGCTGAATCATAGTTCCCTCTGGTATTGGCTAAGCGATCAGCCAAAATTAAACTGTCTCTCGCGTTCCGAAAATGTCAAAAATAAGCGAATTTCGCCTTCATGAGAACGTAGCTTTACTTTCAATGTTTTAAGGAAAATGAATATACATGGTATTATTTCAAATATAAGCAAACAGAAATTTACGAAGCATCGTACTTACTTCATATTAGGAACTTAGTCAATTTATTAGTAAAATTATTGGACACGTACACAATAAAAGATTTGATTTTCGGCCCCTTGTTTTGTATAACTTTCTTAGACTTCTAAAAATCGAAATTACTTTGTAACGAAAATTGACTGATGTGAACTATGTGATGTTTTAAATGAGAGAAGTTCTAGGAGAACGACCAGTCAGGTAGATATAATCTCATACTCTTTTTTTTGGGTCGACATGGAAATCATAAATTTCAATTCAGGGAGACTTTTCGGTTGAGGGCCCCGCAACCGGCACTAGCTGCAAATATCTTTCTGCCTTTTGACGTTGAGCACTCGCTGTTTTGTAGAGATTAAATGTACCTGTTATTATTATTATTATTATTCTAGATAGTATTCCATATCATCTTCCAGTTCTGATTTCACATTGAGCTCCACTTTTTACGTTGTATTGGACGAGTTTGTATATTTTGGAACAAAACACAATTTTCTGTTTGGCATTTTTAATTCCGATAAAGTAAGTTCACAGAATTTAACAGTAAATCCGTACCCGCTTAAACTAGATACTCTAAACCCAACACCGATGACTACAACATTATTGTGGACATCGTAAAGCCAGCCGGCCAACCAGTCTCCTGTGTCTGGCTACTGACGTCACGCGGCCAAGCCTCGCGCGAAGGTATGGTTTTCTAGCATCGCGCCAACCCTTTATTTGTAAATGTTTGCAGGGGATGTAAATATAAATATTTTGTCCTCATTTTTTTATCGTTTTTTAAGCACACAATCTAGCGCTTTCTGTTAAAATAAAAAAATAACCAACCTACCTATTATGTTGAACTATAGTCGGAAGATAAGTGCAGGAAACAGCAATTTACAGGATATTCGAAAAGTCATGATTTAACATTTATTGGCAATGCTCTTGATTTTAATCATATAATAATAGAAAACAAGAATAAATTTGTACTGAATATCTCAAAAGGTACATTTTTGTGCAATTTCACGTGCGAAGTTAATGACAAAATTACTTTGAACCGCTACTAAAAAAATCGTATTATATGTTTTAATATACATAAATATCAATATACATACTCGAGCAAAGAAGTCTTGTTTTTGGTGTCAGGCTTGGAAATGGTTGCACAATTGATTTTGTTTTAACTATTTTACCCAATCTGTTAAAAAAAAAAAACTGATGAGGGAGGATTAGATTTATTATTATTGAAATATTAATAACTTTGATGGGGTTATCGGAGTGCTAACTAGCTAGATGTCATTTTTTGCTCCTTAGTCTACGTTACAAACATTAAGGAAGTGCTGTGTTAGGTATTTTTTCTAATCGAAGATATATGCAAAAACAATAATAATTACGAACATTCCATTTTCTAAAGTTGTGCCCTCTAGCGCCCGCTTAAGCAACTTACAAATAATTTCCAACAATTCCTCATGGCGCCTTTAAAAATGCTTTTTCCCCAGGTCATGATTTCCGATATACAGCCGTGAACTCTTTTTAGTGAGACATACGATATATCGTGGGAACTTAAGAGTCGCACCAAAGTCCAGGTCGCACGGTTTCTAAGAATCCCGTCCTCGTGCATCCTCATATAGTCGCTATTGCAGGATAATACCTGAATCGGTTAGCTGGTTGATGGCTAAGTCGGAACATGGAAAGGCTAAGAAAATAGTTGAGAAAGTAGCGAAAATAAACAAAGTCACACTATCGACTACACTTATCGATTCGTTTTAAGAAGGCAAATACAATCACGTAAGACGATCAGACGTTAATAAACTTTTGCAGCACCCCACAACGCAATCGATGCAATAGAAACATGAGAGAAAAATTTTCAATAATACAGCACCTTTTTTAGGAAGAAAATTCTTCGGAAAGAGAGAATATGTTCCCAGTAATTAAGAAAACGTTTAAATCGCGAAAGATATTAATAGGAAGTAAACTTTCCGTGGTCGTTAATTATAACGTACTATTTTATCACTGACGTGCACAAGTAGAGAAAGCTTTACCACAAGACATCTTAATGACGATTAATCCACATCATATAGCTATATTTCGAAACGAAACACACTTAACTTGTTTTTACTTGAACATTTAAAGAGGTCTTGGCTTATTTTGAGAAAATACTGCCTCATCCAAACAGAAAACTACCGAGTTGACGAACTGCCAGCGGCCATATTGGGTGTTGAACACCACTAGGTCTTATTGGTTGCCAACGATATTTGAAATGATGGCGTACGTACGTGCTGGATAGCCCGTCTCAACATATTTTTTTCATGGTGGCTTCAAAAGTTCCTGTATTATCAGCATAAACAGGGTCTCTATATATCTAGTAGCTTTATGTGTAACGCTTCTGTTTCTGTCTTTCTCTAATAGAGTCAGAAGGAAATTAATCCTTCTGTGATTGAACAATAAAGAGTATTCAGAGTATTCCTTAAACACTGTTTTTTTTATTGGATCTCGTTTATTTATTTAATTGCTCACAGATGGGGGAGAGCTGATTGCATTTTAAAAATTGAGATACGAGTTTTTATACGAACCTTTAGACTCGGTTTGAGTTCTAAGTACTCAATAATATTTCGTGCGTACGTACGTACATATTATTTTTACAGGGCGGTAAACGCATTCGTATTTTATGGGTTGTCAATAAACGCAACCACCTTAAGCGCAGACAAATACGTAAATTTTGCTGTGGTCAGCCTGATAGAAATACCCGGTTATAGTCTCGCATGGCTCTGTATACAAAAACTAGGACGAAATCCTGTCGCTGTTACTTTCCGGAATAACATGCACGCTAACGATCTTCGTTACCGGTAAGTGCTAAATTTAGTAAATTAATCAAAATTATAATTTAAGCGAGTGGTAAAAATAACCAACCCATCGCGCTCTCTCTTTCCCTTCAAATCAAATCTGGAAACATTCATTCATCTGTGGTTTCCATGAATTTGGTCTGTGACGCGGGTTACAAAAGTGATGCAAATTTTGCAATAGAAAAAGACGGCTAGCTAATGGAGATAATTGCCTTTCTCTCGTTCATTTATATAAATGGGAGAATAACCCATTTTCCGGAACACGTTTCTCATACATTCTAATTGTATGATGTGTTGCATTTAGTAACGTTTCCGGATTATCTCTTAACCGATCGACTGCCTCTGAAATGCTTTGCCGAAGTTCCACGATATTATTACAAGGAGTTCTGTGCACGTGATTTTTTATGTCCATAAAGGAAAAAATCCATTAAAGTTAAGTCGGGGCTGTTGGCTGGCCAATCCATAGTTTTGCCGTTCACTATCCAGCCCCTGGGATATTCCATGTTACGAAAATTTTTATCTTTCTCAACATTGTGAGGAGGGCCACCGTCTTGGTGCCATATAATCAGCGCTATATATATATATATATATATATATATATATATATATATATATATATATATATATATATATATATATATATATATATATATATATATATATATATATATATATATATATATATATATATATATATATATATATATATATATATATATATATATATAGGGGTAAATCTTCTATATATTGTTCTAATGCGTGCTCTTAGAGTTGCAAATAATGATCTCCAGTTAACTTTTGTTCTATAAATACACCATACATTAATTGGTTGATACCCCTGGGTTTTTATTTCGTGTATTTGTCTAGGATTATTTAAAGGCCAATATCGCGAATTTTGTCTATTGCAACCCCCTCTTGTAGTGAACGAACTTTCATCAGTCCATAAAATGTTTTTCAATAAATTATTATTCTCTTTATGTGTATTTAAAAAACCAAAAAAAACTGCATCCTCCTTTGACATTGTTCTGCACTTAGTTTTTGAGTTTTAAGAAATTTAAATGCATTACAATTATATTATTTCAAAACTGAGTGGACTGATCCCAAGAAATACCTGTCTTTTCATAAACTCGATGTGCTTCATAGAATCCTAATATGTTTGCCTCATGTTTTTCATTTAAAACATAATTCCGGTATAACTTTGTGGCGTTTAATACGTTACCGTTTTCTGCAAATTTCTTTGCCAGCCTTGGTAATATCTGTTTTGAAGGAGCTCGGCGCTCTGGATAAAGTCGAATATACTGACGAGTGGCACTTTTATTATTCAGAAAGTATACTTGGAGCATATCACTCCTTCCACGGATGTTAAATTCGCGAAAAACGATTTTAACAATAATGACTTGGACAATAATTCAACCATCAACGTTGTTTCTAATATGTCAAACATAAACATATTTTTATTTGTCAATCAAGTCACTCTTTCAAATTTTATAAAAATTATTATAAAGTGTGTTACATCTATTAAACACAGGATGTTCCATTTAAAAATGTATGATGTAGGCTTATAAAATTGCTAGTGTTTTGTTTTATACGTCACTTTGAAAAAAAAATGACTACTAACCCCACATTTTGTTTTTTTGTTTACCTTGATATCTCTAAAAACAAAAAAGTTACAGTCCATAATGAAATTAAATTTCTTTAGAAATGATTGGAGATTCTAAGAATAATTTTTATTTTAAGAGAAGTCAGTGGCGTACCACCAACCAGATATGTGAAAAAAAAATGTTGTGCACTAAATAATGCTTCTTGATACCATAGTACATGTGTACCACATTTCATTAAAATATATTTTATTTTTGAAAACTTTACCAGTCTGTATCCCCTTAATTATTAAAATTCAATTAGAAAATACCTTGTATAAGGCGAATGGCTTAAAAGTAAAGTAAAAGTAAAACCCTACTTTGTAACACTTGGTGATTTATTTTTTAATTTTCTTCAACAATTTGCTATGAACTAATAGCACTTACATAAAATCTAAAAAATAACAAACCAAAATCATTTTACAATATGTACAACTAGATTTTAGTAGAATTCATCATGAGGAACAACAACGTACAGAGAACTAAATCAAAATGCCTCTTCTAGATCACAAAGTACAGAAAATTTGCTTCTCTTAAATTCGAATAATCACACTGTTGTGCAAATATTTAAGAACACGAATTTCATCAAACAAAAGTACTAATAATAATACATTTTTCTATGATTGCATTTCTCACCAAAAGAAGCAAAATTTCTCATCTACAATGCTTTAAAGTCAACAAGGTGCGCCAGAAATACATTACCATGAGATCATTCTTTTAAAACTTTCACAATAATTCTACATTTCGTGCGGTGTAAGACTTAACAGTAATTTCATTTCCGTTATAGTGTGTAAAAGTTTAGAAATAAGTGCAAGAGAGTTGTCCCTTAATCAAAGTTTTTTTAACATGCATCAAGAGAAAAAAAATATTGAACGTTTTGTAGAAGATCAAGAATACGAGAATTAAAAAATTACTGATTCACCTAAAAAAATAAAATCATTTAGAAAATATATATATATATATATATATATATATATATATATATATATATATATATATATATATATATATATATATATATATTTTTTTTTTTTTTCATATATCCTAGTATATTACATAATATACCTTCAAGACACGATTAAACGGGACAAATTACATTCTAACAATGCCCCAAGGTAATTGGCGATATACAGAGTACACTAGAAACAAATAAAATGAACACAAGATAGGAAGACAAGGGCAATATACTGTTAGCGGGAATTCTTAACCGGAAAAACATTATAGAATGAACACACCCTGTATATCAAGTCCAATCCCAAAGCACTTAAGTTATTAACTAAAAATTGTACAGGAACACAAACGAAATAAATTTTCATTTCATAGGTCGCAACTTTTGCTTATTGTGAAACTTTTGAAAGTTACAAAACTATTCTGCAAATGTAAAGTATGAACGTCTTAAGTACTGAGTTAAGAGTTTTCAAAAATTGAAGTACTATTTTTAAAGCATTGCAAACGTTTTAATATCTGAGAAACTTCTAAGGCTCAAATTAATCTTTCTCTAAAATATTTTGACAAACTGATGAGTCCAGTACTTCATCCGCTTATTAGAAAGAGACCACAAACAAGTTTATTTTCATTAGGTTGATGGCTTAGATTTTTTTCTACGCTATCTGAAAGAAATTAAGAACATTTTTCGCCGATTTTGAGGATAACCTACAATTCTTAATAGACCTGATCTTTTTTGCCATGTTGCTTAAGTTTTGGATCGACAAATAGGATACTACAGTTCTATTTTTAATATCTCAACCTGTAAATTATATAAATTTAAAAATAAAAATAAAATAAAATAATTTTTCCATTCCCGTCTGCGGGAAGCACCACGTCAGTTTTATTTCCCAGGGATCCGAGTCACTTCGGACATTACCTTGAATTTGACGTTTGTCAGTTCTGACGGTCATGTCACTGAATGTATTCGTGTTGTTTTGCGAAAATGTACCCAAAAACTAAAGTTCGTAGAGAAAATATAGTATCAAACACCTTCCATAAACTTTTTAAGCTACTCGTTTATTAAACAAACACTCGCTCCGATTGCGATGTTCAATTACATCGAATTAAGACTCAAGTCAATACACAAGAATGTATGAACTCATCAGTAATCACTTAGACATAATATAAAGCTTGCTGGAAATTTTAAAACTTCTTGGGTCATTCGAGTCAAATTCTTCAAAAAGGTTACTTACTTTAGAAAGTTCCTGAAAATACAGTCACTTCCCTCAATAGTCAACAGAACGTACAAAATATCCACATCAAAGTGTACATTCGTCTAAATATTTATGGAAAAATAGATTGCCCCGAATAAAAAAAAGGCTTTTTAAAGACGGTACAACAATATACAAGTTGTTCATAATATATTTAAATTACAATGGACTTGTAAGTGAAGCTCTACTGGAATTTAATACGACTAGGATTTTAAGAAGTAAACATAACATTAACTTACATTTAGTTAAATAAAAAGTGAAACAAAGTTCTTGATATCAAAGGAAACAGAACTGCTTGATATAAATTTAACCACTCGTTCAACATGCAAACATGTAACATCGCTTCATTTTAGCATAATTGTTAAGCATGAACACCTTGTATATTCTCACTTACTTACATGGTTACAATCCTAGGAATATGATACAAAAAAAAAGCTTTTCCGAGGTTCATCACATAAATTACAAAGGGAACATAATAAATAAAGTTTAACTAGAAAAATAAATCAGTCACTATAGTATCTCTTAACATCACATTCGCTAACCACATGAGTGTTTAAAACTTAGAAATTGATTCTCGATTTTCTTTTTTTACATCACATTAATATAGACAATGTCAATTTCTGTGTCCATTTCCTTAAATCAAAATGTCAATAATCTGACTAAAGTTTATTGTCGCTATCTGAAACAAGACAAAAGAGGGAGGAATTAGTTATAGTACAGAGTGTAAAGTTATCATGTGTTTCCTGGAATATCTCACTGATATGATGGTAAAGCAAATTTGACTTTTGATGAGTTTTTGTGAATTTTCTTCTCAAATATTAAAAACAAATACCCAGATGCTCGGCAAAACTGTCTTTACCGCAATCTCAGTATCGTTTTATGATAATGTTAATTATTATTCACATATCCCAAAAAAAAAAGGAAATTAATGACTGGTGATAATGGAGAAGCCATAGCTGTTCCCGACGTTCCTGATCTTTTTAAGAAACAAATTTTTACTAGGCAAGCATTTTTCAATTAAAATGAGAAGGTTTGGTTCCAGATCCAGAAATGAAAGTAATTAAGTACCTAAACAAACTATCAGTTTTCCCTGTAAAGGGTTTTAATATAGAAGCTAGATATTTTGCTAGAGAACCATTGGTTTGTGAATCTAAGAGAGTCCACAGAGACCAGGAATTTTAGAGTCCTAAGGAGTACCAGACTTTTTTACGGGTTCTGACAAAAAAGAAGCCTTAATAACACATTTAGGACAACAGCGGCAAGTGTGAGGTTGCTTTCGCGCTCATTGTCTTTGGAAGGTTGTGGTGAAGTGTATTTTGCGTTCCATAGATGACATCCGTCTGAAAGAATTTCCTGATATTTGACATTGACTTATATTAATGACCAACGCAGCATTTCCTTTTTCTCCTATTAGAATTACAAAGTTGGGATTAGATTTTAGAGATTTTGGAGCAATGTGTCTCGGGAATATTAGATTTAGGGGTTCGGATTTTTTAAGGGTTTTTGTGGTTTCCACATTTCGACTATTGAAATGACTTTCTCTTTTGGAATAATCTGTGGGACAAGGACGAAGTTGGAACCTTTCGCAAGAACTGATTTTTCCGTCTGGGAAAGTTGGTGCGATGATACATTTACCACAGTGTTTGATGCTTTATAAAAAAAAATATTTAGATGCAGATCAACAATTTAAGAAAATATATTCACATATTCATTGATGATAAAATATGATAAAGCTTCAGTAAAAATATTGTATTTGCAACATTCGTTAAAAGTCTTTAGTAAATGTAAAAGACATTTCAGAAAAGTCAAAGGTACCTACTAGTTGCGTCCTCACTGGGATCTGTTTTGGTTTCACCTAACTCTTCTCTTTTATCATTATTATTTGCGGATTCTTGACTCTCTTCAGTTAACCTTAAAGCAACCTACAACGGGTAGATAATTATTTATTTATTTGTTTAGATATACAAGGTATTACAAAAATTGCTGACTTGGATTTGGGGGCTGTGAGAAATAGAAACATTGCCAGAAACTTATTCCTGATATTGCGTCCATATAATACGATATATATATATATATATATATATATATATATATATATATATATATATATATATATATATAAGTGCTACGGTTCATCAAATATTCTATGTCTCGCAGCCTTATGTAACTAATCAAAAATATAACTCACTTACTTCTAAATCTTTTAAAACTTCTGTCTCTTTGGGATCTATCAGGGTGAACCGGTTTTGTAACGCCGTTAAATGAGCGAAGGTCAGGTTCAAGTGGGCGTGCAAGCCCAACATTACCACTTCTTTGAAATGGATCGCGTATAAATGCGCCACCACGTGAAATAACAGCCGCACTATTTTTCTGACTATCGATTCAAACGATGAAGGAAATTCATTTGCTGACAAAATCAAAAATTAGCTTAAAATATTAAACAACCAAGCGACTTACCATATTTCGTAGGAAATATATTTTCATCACTTATAGTCTTCTGGATAAACGTCATAACATAATCTATATATTGCGGGGCGGCAACTTTGGTTTTTTTCCCTTTTTCGTCAAACCACAAATATGTTCTAGTAAATGATATTCAAATTTTGAACAATCTATACATTTATAACTGAACCGCTAATCTCATACCTTTGTCCAGGCCCTGTCATATCAGGGCATGTAGTTGTTGTACAAAATTCGCTAACTGTTCCATATACTAAATTTACATGATCAAATAGAGCCATGGCTGGAATGTAAACAACATATCCATACATACATGTCGGAGATTGTACGAAATAATCGAAATAATATTATAATAATAAAATAGAAATAGAAACCTGGTGGGCGGGTTCTGATGGCGAGCGAGGCGACATCGTATTAGACTTTTCGGACATATTGAAAGAATGCACAACACAGTGCTTAATCAAATGAATAATCTAATAAACTAATTGATTATCAAAGGGAATCCAACGATCCGCGACCTGCTAGATCAACTACAAAATAGCCTATCAAAAATAAACCATACGAGCTGCTTAAAATTCGACCTAACCAGTGCTTTTATAAAGCCAAACTATCTTCGCCGGTTCGCGTTCCGTTTCACTTCGGAAAAAATACGAAAGTGGGTCCACAATATTACGAATGACAGAATTATAATTGCTTAGGTTAGACCGAGTCAAAAATAAACATTCCAAACACCCAAAACGAAATATGGGAAAATATAGAATACTTAAAACTAAGGGCGCCGCCACGACCATTCTGACTAGTGCACGTCCTCGGGCACCTGGTGGTCATCTAGACCTCGAAAGCTTTACCTTCACTCGTCCATCCTGACTAACCGAGAAAAAAAAAAACGCGATGATGGGATTCTTCGTTACTGTTATTATTTTCATTCACCAATATACAAAAAATTACTCGGTAAACCAAACTAGACAATACTGTCTCTAGCTTTGGTAACACACGCCCGTGCCAAAACAATGATTATCAGGATAACCACCTTCGGCGCCACACGCCTCTCCAATTCGGCAACACATGCCTCTCCACCAATAGAATGCTTATCGGGATCAACACCTACGGGGACACTCACAGTCCTCTCCAATAAAGAAATGCATACCGGCGACACACGCCACATCTGGTCTCACCATTTACCTTCACGTAAACTAACCAGGCAACAACACATGCCTCCACCACATAGGTCCTGTTAAGTAAGATAACAGAAATCTATGCCACCAATTTTTGCTTGGCCTGCAATGCTCCAGATCAGATTAGGCACACCAATAAGCTGCACTTACAGCTGTGTCTAATAACTTGACAACGGCCATTTTTTTTAAAACTGCCGTAATTTCAAATGGAACTCGACATTTGTCCACCTTATCGCTAGTTTAAACTCCCCATATAACAACTTTCAGAAGGTAATGAAGAATTCTACACAGTCTTATTGGTGTAACAATTCTGATTTGCTAAATAAGAATTCTGCTGAATTAAGCTCAGTATTAAGTGATGATGTGATGTGATAACTCTTTCAGCAGTCCTGATCCCACTCCTGATGTCGGAGATCGTAAAACAAATAATAATAAAAATAAAATAGAAATAGAAACCCAGTGGGCGGGTTCTGATGGAGACATAGGGTTAGACTTCTCGGACATATTAAAAAAATGCACAACACAGTGCTTCAAACAAATGAATAATCTAATCACTTAATTGATTACTAAAGGGAATCCAATGATCCGCGACCCGTTAGATCATCTACAAAATAGCCTATCAAAAATAAACCATCTGAGCAGAATCCGACTCAACCATTGCTTTTATAAAGCGACACTATCTTCGCGGGTTCGCGTTCCACTTCATGGGTCCAAAACATCACGAATGACAGAATTATAGTTGTTTAGGTTAGACGGATAATGCAGTGAAAAATAAATATTCCAAACACCCAATACGAAATATGGAAAAATATGGACTACTTAACTAATACACATCTATCTATCTATGCAATTTTTATATTAATTATCTTTATTTGGTTTTAACACCATTCATATTTGCATTCTTAATATACCAAGCACAACTTAGTTGGTATATTAAAAATACCTATGACCCACACGAAGCCATAACGCGCGTTAGATAATAACTTATTAATAAGTTACTTACTATGCGATGCAAGCCATTCATTATAATCAAGACCGGCCGGTAAATCCACTAATAACCTAATGTCCATATCAGGCAGTTTTCGTTCAAGAACAGTAGATTCTAAATATAGCTTAGAATCCCCTGAAGAACTAGAATCACCTTCCTTTTCCTTACGCCTTGCTTTCCTGAAATCATAACATAATAAACATTAATAATTAGAATATAATAAAAACGAAGTTGGAGACTCCCTTTTAGCTTTTACTTAATTCAACTATAGAAGGGCAAATTGGAGAATTTAATGAGAATATTAATACTATCTATGAAAACAATTGACGGGTACAAATTCTACGTGAAACTGTCTAAAATAACAAACCTGCAAAAACATGTTGTAATAAATGGTTCTTCTAAAATAAAATCTTTATTGTTATCAATAAATTTAGATTTATGTGAGATGACTCTTGTTAACCACATGTTTGCCCAGCGGTTGCGAGCGAAGGTTAAATTTAGAAAACATAAGATTGAAGTTAATTAAAGGCCAAAGATGAAGCCCCATAAAATTAAATGGAAGCCCATTATTGGATTTTGTGTACCTTGTGTGGGAAGAAAACGACATGGATTTTCATTAAAAAAAAACAATGCAGTTTAAGAGCACCTTCCTTTAAAAATATGAACCAACTCTCATACACTTGAGTAGAACAAATTTTCATCTTTTTGAATAATATATGAATAAAGTAACAATCTATCTATATGTTTTGGATATTAAGAAAAAGTTTATTTCATTGTGTTATAACCTTTAATTTAATAATTTTGTAAACCAGGCTGGTAGGTGGTTCATAAATATGCAAAACATTATCCAACAATAAATCAAATCATGTTCTTAATTTATAACAGCAATAAATCCAACGAATTAAGAATATTGTTGGCTCCCAATTAATAATTCAACTTGGGATCTAACTACATATTTTAGAACGAGATATTCTCATATATCCATTCTTAAGTAATTTTCTTGGTTCCTAGGATATTGCACATCACTTACCCTATAAACCAATCGACGGTGTCGCGAAGATAATCCGGTAATCGATCCAGTTTGTCTGCGGCTCAAAACGCTTTAAAAAATAATAAAGTATAAGAAATAACACGATCTTGAAAAAGACACAATTTTTATAATTTTCCTCAGCTGATTACCAAATTTTGATATATAAACACTTTTAATAAGAATATTCCAACAAAGATTTTAATGCCTCAGAGGTGTTTCCAACAGAGTATTGTTTGTAATTTGTATTTGGAAATTTTAATTCACTATTAATTATTGATAACGCAATTTTAAAACGAAACAAATCACACGAAGTGACATAAATTCTCTGTCAAACCTCCATACTGTTTTCCCACAGCATCATCATCATAACATTTGTAGTTGGGATGTGAAAATTTTATGGTCTCTGGTAATTTGCAGTGTGGCCACATATGTTTTCTGTTCATGTTGGCCACTAGTACTTGACAATTTATGCAAATTTATAGCGCAGCGTAAGCACGTTAAGCACAATGCAATTTCTACATGTATTTCTTCGTATACATATTGCAACGTGCAATCAGGAAAGATGAATATTAAAACTGAAAATATATGTATTTATAGTATTAATAAAGAAAACCATTTAGCTGCACTTTATCGAAACAATCTAACCTTCGGATGAGGAAATCGATTCGGATGTAGTCTTCGGTTCATTGTCTAGGAAAAGGCAACAAGCTAATTAACTATATGCCATAGAATAGTTTATTTGAAAATCTAAGTATTCTGAAGTTAATGAAGTTGCGTGATTTGCACAGCAGCACTTGGCCACAACCGGCACGTTGTGCCCTGTCTTGAACGGAATGCTCGTTCCTTCATCGCAAGTCTATTGATTGCACATGAAAGTTTCACCTTCAAAATATTGTCATAAATATTTGCCAGTGAATAATTTGATTGAGGTAAATTACAAACTAATAATAATAATAATAATAATAATAATAATAATAATAATAATAACATTTATTCAATTTAAATTTTACAATAACGTAATCTATAAAATTGAATTAAGTGGAATAAATGTTTTGTTTCACTGAAGCATTGCGAAATGTTATGCGTGACACACCAATATACTTACATATGTAAGCAAAAATAAAAATAAAAATAAAACGAGGATAAAAACATTAACTCACTAGGCATGTGAATATAAATAATTTAGGATTTAGGTAAAAAAAACTATGCTTGATTAAATATATTTTGGCATCTTTTTTAAATTTCGTAAAGATGGTTTGTTCTCTTATATATGCTGGTAGCATGTTATATAACCTAGGTGAGAAATACGTATAAGATCGTGGTCCGTGGGTTTTTGTTCTAACTGTGGGATAGACGTCCTTGTTTTGTCTGTTCCGGGTCTGATAAGTGTGATTAGCATTAAGAACAAGAATTTTTCCTTTTGGGATGTATTTTAATATACTAAAGCAATATAGCTGACGTATATCGAGAATTTAATTCTCCTCAAACAGTAGGTCCGATGGGTAAGTTTTTTGTTTGCTATAAATTATTTTTAGAAACCACTTTGGCAACACATTTAGCCTTTTCAGGTGATTTTCAGAGACCCCGCCCAACCCAGGATGCCACATAGGAGAAGTGAGTTTGTACTAATGTCGGTGGTGAACCTGGCCAATACGTCTTTGATGTCGACGCCATCTTTGCCACTTCTCTGTCCATTACGGCCTCTAGGCCATCGGCTTTTTCCGCGTTCACCTCGTACATCATCTTCATCTTGCCGGAAGTGAACACGGGCGTCAACTTCCGACGCAACTGACGCCAAGGTTCGCCTTGCATGTTGAACAGGTTAGCGTCCAGGATGTCCAGGTGTTGTAACTCCTCGGAATGTGCTGTGAAATGCTCGAAGTCTGACGTCAGTATGAGCTTGACTATCGAAGGATTGATGACTATGAAGACCGACTTGCACATCAGTTACACTCCTCCATACTTGGCGTTCTTCCTCTTCAATTTGGTGTAGATGTCGAGGAACACGTCTTGTCTGGACTCGTAATTTTTTAGGATTGCTTTCAAGTCTCCGTATACGGGTTCAGGATCGAGCTGGGGCACTCCGCGCCTTTCCCAGTAGCCGTGTAAATAATCGGAGTATAATTTAAACAGCAAATATACGCCGCTTAGCACTACGGTTGCTACTAGTAACGTAGACATTTTTGACTGGTCTCTCGCGCGATAAATACCGCACTCCGCCTGATAAAAATAATACGGAGGCCCCCGTTAAGGATCGTTCGCATTCGAGCTCAATGTAGTAGAATAGCTATGTGAATTCAACAGCAATGTAAGGTGCATACTGGTCCGCTAAAGGCCTGCAAGCAAAGTTCTTGAAACGATTATACGATTATATGAACATAAGAAAGTGCTTTGCCATTCTCGAACATCTTCTTCTTTTTTAGCCTGTACCAAATTCACTTTGGGACATACGAATCTTCAAGTTCCTTCTAGCATTTTCTTCCGTTGTAGGCTGTTTGTATCCAATTTTAAATCATCCGTCCATCTCATTGGCGTTCTTCCCCTGGGTCTTCGAACTGCATATGGCCTCCGGCTGATGTTTGCCATTTGTTAGTTTCTCCCCTGGCTACATGTCCTCTGCATTTCCATTTCAGCCTTAATACTTTGCGCACCACGTCGGTTACCCTTGTTCTTTGTCTTATCCATGTATTGGTCCCATTGCATGTTGCGTGACTTTTAGAATCATCATGTTCTTCTTTGTGACGATCCATGTTTGTACTGCGATTTTTTTGTCACAGGTAGATGTATTTCCTCGTTTTTCCATTTATAACTTTTATATAATTTTCGGCATTTTTATGAAATTTGGTGTACGTCTTTTAATTTTTGAGAGGCGATTTTTGACACGAAAGCATTATTTTTATTTTTACCAGTGGCGTTTGTACGTGGTGTGGACTGAAAATTTTTAAAGAAAAAAATAGCGCGCCACTGCTTTTTTTGAGAACAAAAAATATTTTTAAAATCTTCATTCAGTTGGAAGCAAATTTGGTGCACGGACTAGCTTTCGCTTAAAAAAATAAATGAATAAAAAAAATTAACTACTAACAGTAACTGTAAACTAAAGAATCCTTAATACAATACTCTCCTAGAAAAAAATAAATTAGAGCAACTGCGGGAAATAACCCCCTCCCCCAACCCCCCGACTTCGTTACATGCATTTGCACGCCTTGTTAGGAACTGGCGAACCCTTTCTAAAATACCAAGGATGTTCCTAATAACTGTACAAGAGTCTTCTATCCGATTTCTTAGATTTTCCTCACAGATTTTAAACCAAAATTTGCAATAACAAATTCTTTTCAATTAATCAACAAAATTAAAAATATTAAAATCCCTTTTAACGCAACACTATTATCTTTTGATGTACAAACTTATTTCCCAGTATTACACCTATGGATGTGATAGATTTAGTAGATTTCACCCTCACTCGGAAACAGGTTAACCCATTGATGAAACAAGATTTATTACATTGCTTAATAGTATCTTTAGACCAAAATTATTTTGAATTTAATGGACCTCTTCTCTTCTATCTAGTAATTTCCACATTAAAGATATTAAGCGTTCCGTCACAAAATACACTTCACCACAACCTTCCAAGAGCAATGAAACCGAAAGCGATCCCATAATTGCCACCGTTGTCCTTCCTTGTATTCAAAACATCACTTGTCTAAAAACCTCTCAACATCTTCGATCCGTCAAATTCTTGCATGTAATCAATTCTTCTACTAACGAAAAATCCGAGAGTCTATAGAAATCTATAAGCAACCTAACAATCTTAATTGCGACTCAGGATTCTACCTATCAGCAATATGGGAATCAGTCATCCGAGGCGGTGTTTATGCGCCTCATTTAGCTCCGTCCCCTTCAAACAATATATAAGCAGGTACAGAGTAAAATGCGAGCCAGTTTCAATCAAGCTCTGAAGAAGCCAACAGGCGAAACCCTAACTAGTTAGAATCAACAAAAACCAACGCAGGAGAAATCCAGATATTTTATAAAAAGTAACCCGTATGTTCCATCTAAGATTATTATCATTTAAAGTTCAACTTATTTTGTTTAATTAAATTAAATTAATTTGAAAATGGCTTCAAACTCTACGATTTTTTTATTTTTATAACGGTAAGACATAGGGAAAACCAAACAAAGGCCACTTTATTTCCATTTAAACTAAGCGAGACGTAACAACGTCTACGAAGTCGATGTTGCCAATTGCGGTATCCAAATTCGTCACGAAGCATTGGCGATATCTACCCATAGTCCACCTTCCACCGCACTGATGAACGTTCCCCTTGGATACGCCAATGGTGTCCGCGTTTTCGGGTTCAAACTAAAATTGTATCTCCGGAGTAGGGTCGCGATGCCTACTTTGCTTTGTAGCATTCCAAATCTCATACCTGCGACAGATAGATTGCAATTATCCCCCGTACTAGTACCAGCTAGAAGCAGAAACGACAGTACGGAAGGTTTAAGTAAGACCTAAACAAGATGGTAAAGTGTATAACGTAGAATATTAAGCTTAATGTGTTTCTATAACATAATTCTATACTTTAAACTTTACTGCGCTTAAGTCATGCTTAAATCTCTAATGCCCTTAGTTCTTCTTCAGGTTCTTATTATTCTTAAGCTATCATCTATTATTTCCTAGAACAGCTTCGTTTAAATACTTCCTTATTTACAGTTGATTTGGGTATCGCACAACTTTCCTCAGACGTTGCAAAAGAGGAGTTGAAAACAATTACATAAAGTAATATCCGAATGGACGTTTGCATAATATGTTCAATAATTAACAAGCAATAAATGAAATAGTTTTCTACAGTGAAATAAAAAGAAAAAGAAAACAAACAGTTGGTACTTACAAAAGGTACTTTCTATGAAGACGTGTGAACAAGTTTAAGCTTTTAAATATAGTCACAATTTAAAATTATTTTTTAAACATACGGGGTTGCTCAAAAAATTGTGACGAATGAAACATACATTTTTTGGGTGGAAGCCCCTACTTTTAAATGATGTAAAATCCATCAGAAAAAGTAATAATATATATGTAGCATCTAATTTAAATTCCGTCGCATATGAGCATTTTCTTTCTTGTGATACCTTTTAATACGTATTCGTTGTTTGTTATTGCTTATATATTTGTTATTTATCTAACATTATTAACTATTATTGTTAATTAATTAATTATACTAAGATAATTTTATAATTTTATATTGGTATTATACTGACAATATCCAACACTTGTAACTTAAGTCTTATAATCTTTATCTTTTTATATATTTTACATAACCTTCGAATGAAGTCGATATTAAATATGTGTATTCTACCTTCAAAAAAACTGGCAGCATTTTAATTTTTATTCAACTTTGCAAACTAAAATTTTAAAAATAATAATATATCTTTATCACGCTACATAAAAATACGAATCAGAAATTTTAAATAAAAAAAATTAAACAGAAACTAAGAGCTAAGCATGCAAATCAAACTTTAGACAATGCATGACGCCTTAAATGTCTTTTAAATTTATTAGGAGTACCACAGCTTTTCATTTTTTGCGGTAAATTGTTAAAATGGTTTAGGCCATGGGTGGGCAAAAGCCGGCCCGCGGGCCGGATCCGGCCCTTTTGCTAATTTTATCCGGCCCGTTGAAAAATTCCGCACGCAATTTTTTTTAAACTCTTTTATGAGATTTTGTTGACATCAACATTATTAGTGTGCGTACTGTATATATAATAGGCGTTATAAAATGGGCGGTCGGCTGACTACACTAGTGTGGACGATGCCGCGAGCTTGAAACAATCCTCGCGCGATTCTCATGCGGGTCGCTCGCGACGATCGCTCTCAGGGCGGTTTTTTCGTAGAACACAAAGGAGATGGCGCTAGGTTCGAAATGCATGTGTGGACGTCATATGCTGCACTCCTCTCACTTTTAGAGGGACGACAGGTCGCACCACGCGTATTGTTAATTCTGATTTAGCACTGATCGCATACCCTTTTTTGTTCGAGTCTAATATTAGTTTGCAAATATAAAATTCAAAAAGTGGACTTTTTGTAAGTAAAATTTTAAAACATTGGTTTTATTTTATTGTATTAATTAAATTATTTATTTGTAGACCTTTGTAAAATGAGTCAATCTAAAAAAAGAAAAGTTGATTTCGAATGCAGAAACTTCAATGAAGCTTGGACGGTAAAATATCTTTTTACAAACATTAATAAGAAAGCAATTTGTTTAGTTTGTCAGGAAACAATTGCTGTTTTCAAATTCAAAAACTTAGCAAAAAACTTGAATAAGCAACAAAATATTTTTACCAAACAAAATAATATAGAGAAATCTACCACAAAAGCAAGTTATGTCGTCGCACACAAAATTGCTAAGTTCTGTAAGCCGTTTTCTGAAGCAGAAGCAGAAGAAGCATGGTACAAGTGTCGGAGATATGTTGTCCTGAAAAGAAACATATTTTTGAAAATGTAAGCCTTTCGAGAAGAACAATAGTACGACGGATTGAAAATATTTCAGGAAACTTACTTGACCAGCTAAGAACAAAAATTGCTGATTTTACCTGTTGTTCTCTGGATTTAGATGAGTCCTGCGATATTACTGATACAAGTCAATTATTAATATTTATTCGCGGCATTAACAAGAAATGTGAAATTAGCGAGGAACTTCTTAGTGTGCATCCGATGAAAGATACAACTACTGGTGAAGACTTCTTTCTCGCTTTTGAAGACTGTTTAGTTAAAGTAAGTTTAACTTGGAATAAAATAGTAAGCGTCCCCTCATTGCAAGCACGGCGAGAATCATTGAAAAATACAGATTTTTTTAAATATAGTGCAATAACACAAGACCTGCATTCTGAATTCCAAAGAAGATTTCAAGATTTCAAAGCTATTGAAAAACCTTTATTAAGTATGTTCAAAAATACCTTGTTTTATTTGGTTCGACATATATTTGTGAAAGAACTTTTTCTTTAATGGTTTCCACGAAAAATAAATATCGATCACAAATTACTGACGAAAATCTACACTCGGTATTAAGGATTGCTACAAGTGATTTGGAACTCAATTTTGAAGAAATAATGGCAGATGAACATTCGAGATTTCACGTTTCGCATTAACTTTAAATATTTATTTTAACGTTTGATGTTTTTCTTTTCTTTTTTGAATTCTATTTACGGGAGACATTTTGAAAATTTCATTTTGGCCCGCGCTTTAAAGTATTTGCCCACCCCTGGTTTAGGCCCTTATGTAATATAGAGTTTTGTACATCAAGAGTATAACATTCTCTAGGCATAAAATTACCACGACTTCTTGTATTGTAAGAATGAATATCTCCTAAATAGGTAACATTTTCACAAACATAATCAGGAACACACTGCTGCTTAATTTTAAAAATCAATACTTAAACATAACTCTTTGTTTTTTACGGCCAAGGAATGAAGTACACGTGTATAGTTATTAATAAAAAGTGTTGAAGGATTTTAACAGGAATTCAAAACAAAATTTGAGAAATATTTGTTGCGCTCATTTGGGCCACCCTGTATATTTTAAAATAAGTTTAACTTGTATCTCCGTTGTCTTATGAGTTGTTGAAGTGTTTAAATCCAGTGGAGTAGTTTTTTAGTTATGAAGCAAACATATATGTTTTTAAATGGAACACACTGTGTATTATTTTTTATATTAATTGAAAATTATTTAAGCTTTTTAAGGTTGTTTTGAAAATTAAGCTAAAAAAAAAAAAATTGGGGCCGTAATGCTGTAATAACATTTTTGCGATTACCCAAGCATATCCTGGGTCCTTCGCCAAAAGGTAGATAGGTGTAATCTACTATGTTGGATTTGTTCTGGTCGTCAAACCTTTCCGGGATGAATTTGTCCGGATCGGGGAAAAAATCCGGATCCGTCTGCAGTCCCAGTACAGAAATTTCTATTATCGTTCCTTTTTCTATTTCCACGTGGGTACCGGGTATTGTGTAGTTCTTGGTGCACATCCTCGGCAGAACTGCTACTGGTGGATGAAGCCTCAGCGCTTCTACAAACACAGTTGAAAATATGCACGCCATTATTATTTCTTAATATATCGAACTATTTACAAATCAATCAATCAACAAGGATATCCTAGATAATCTTTGTATGGAAATCGCAGTGCTAATACGAGATAATTGTATAAAAAGAACAGGTGGATATGATTGATATTTGATAAGGCTCGATATTTTCAAAATAAAGGTACTTTTCCATTGCTTCACAATTTTCGACGAGCCGGGCTCAAAAAAACTTGCATCTGTTGGATGTATTTGAGTTTGTATGGGTCTTTGTTATGCCTTTAAGACAAAGGCAAAATGTGTAAACTTTATTGACAATTTATTCATAGTTATTCATATTTATCATATTCAAAGGCTCTTCTGGCATTTTTTTACATTCTCTTCCGCAGCTGTTGCAGATAATCTTGGTCTAGTCAGGAACAGTTTATTTTTTAAATATCTCAATAAAAAGGTTTAATGCGTCTAAATCTGGAGGGGTAAAGTCTGTTCATAGATATAAGAAAGTGACTAACTAATTGGAATTAAGGAAAGACCCGGCCAAGCTGTAAGAATGAAATATGGCCGAACAGGTCCGTGTTTTGCTTAGAATTTAATTATTTGGGGTTTTTATGTTTAAATCTAAAATAAAATTACAAATTATTTTTATTACCAACTTAAATTACTTAAAATTATTCACATAATATATCAGTATCACTATCGTTATCATCGCCTGTTCTAGTTATTATTTGTTCTATATCATTTGCAATATGGACATGCGATTGTTCTGCTTTTTCTATATGTTTAACAGAATTTGCCCACCTTTGTGGAGGTATGTTAAAAACTTCGGTTTTTATAAGTTTGAGGACATTGGAGTTGACACGGGGAAAAACATTGTTACGACGAATGGCAGATTTTAGTTGGTGCCAAACAGATTCAATGGGATTAAATATACAGTGGTCAGGTGGAAACCTTAAAACTGTATGCCCTAGATTTTTTGCATAATTATCACAGACGTATTCCTTTTGTAGGTTCAAGTTTTGTAGAACCTCCATTAATTGCTTTTTGATATAATCTTTGTGAACATAAATGTCGTTATTATACATGTAGTTTTGGATTGTTGCTTTCAAATGACTTTCAAATAAATCAGCGGTGGTGTCTTCATTGTAATCCAGAGAAGAACCTTTAATATTTTTCGCAGACAGAGAAAGTCCATTTGGAATCCAACCACTTCCATAAGGTAGTTCTGCCACATTTAACGCCGGCTTCATCTTTTTTAAGCCTCCTAATTAAGATATCTAATGTAGGCACGCTTTGTTCCTCGTATAACTGGCAAATTTTACGCATTTTATATCTTGATCACTTTCATCTATACTCGAGAAAATGTCAGCATCGCTTCTTTTTTTCCTGGCTGAAGTAGGCTTATTCACAATTTTCCATACTGTTGATGTTGGAATTTTCGTCAATGTGGCCGTTTCGTCTAAAGATGCTTGCTTGCTGGCACCATGTTCAATGAGAGTCAAATAAACATTGTTTATAACTTGGTTGTGTTTTCTACATTTGGGCGGGAGCATCTCCTGAGATGCAGCAGACTCGCACGAAATAAGAATGAGTACTAATAAACTTAAACTAAGCAGTATACCAAACCAAAGAATATTAAACACAACGAAAACTAACCACAATTTCACCTGAATTTAAATTCCGAAACCTTAGGTAATAATCTTGTTGCATAGTGACCACCCTTGGATAATCCCATTGAAAAGCAATCGGTCACTTTCGTATATCTATGAACAGACCATACCATCTTGCTGGAAGTCTAGGTTATTGATGCTGTGCTTCAAAAGTTAAAAGAATGCAGTAGTAGAGCCTATGGTCAAAGGCTCTTCTGACATTTTATAAGATTTCTGGGTTTATTCTCCTGTATCCATCAACTGTTCTTTCACTCTGCTGTGGCAGAGCCCTTGGTTTGGTTAAGAAGAGTTTATTTTTTAAATGCCCCCTAAAAAAATTTAATAGGTTTAAATGTGGAAATCACTTCATGTAGGTTATTGATGTTATGCTTCAAAAGTTATAATAGAAGAAACAAAATTATTTTTTTTTTCAAACTTTTTTTTATAAGTAGCGACCACCTTCTTTCTGGGATTATTCTTCTGCACCCATCTGCTGTTCTTTCACACAGCTGTTGCAGAGATCTTGACCTAGTTATGGACAATTTACTATTTAAGCGACCCCATAAAAAAATTGTTTAAATCTGAAAGTAATCCGAACCATTCATATCTATTATTTAAAAATTCACTCACAAAAACAGCGTAGGTCTTTATTGTTGTTATGTTGGGGATAATTTTCAATCGCTTCAGTTATTAGTGGCCATCGATTTCGTTTATGAATATATTTCTTCGTTAACATTATCTGGGATAAAAAGTGGCCCCGTTATGAGGTTGCCGTGAATTGGGAATCCACGTGACCTTGGTTTTTGTTCCATACTGAACCAGTGGCTTCAAGTTCTGTGTTGGATGGTATAAATCATTGTCAGTGTTTATTTTTGTCATATGATTTTCGAGAAAATATGTAGCATATAGGGAAATTGAGTAAGTCGGCAGTTTGTTTTACAAAAATTTCTCCAAAATCTGAAATCGGGTGTAAAATATGAATTTCCAGCAAAAGTAAAGTACACCATTATTTATATATCTATATATCTACAATTAACTCGAAAAAGTGAACATCACTGAAGCCTTATCAGTTATCAGAAATATTCAACTGGGATTTTCATATATTAGAATTGATAATTTACGTATAGCGTTTAATAAAATTCCGTATCGTGGTAGAATAGAAAACGATATTTTATCATCAAAATGCAATTATTAGAAAAAACTTCCAGTCGTTTTAAAGATTATTTACATTTTTGTTTCTTCTCTTTCATTAATATTAAGCACAAATATAATCGAACAAAAGATAAGAGAATAATTATGCTATCTACAGGGTATTCAATAAAAAAATGCGAAAAACTTAAGAGGATGATTACTTGATAACAAATGGTAGTTAACCAAATCGGAAAATTCTATAACCAAGAGATGTCGAAGATCACTGTTATTTCAATTATTTACAGGGTTTTTCAGTTATAGACAAAAATTTAAAAAACCCTAGAAATTCGTAAACTAATTAATTAATTTCTTCAAAAATATGGCTGTTTGGTGCATACAGTTCTGCAGGCAGCTTTGTCTACATATAATTATATATATATATATATATATATATATATATATATATATATATATATATATATATATATATATATATATATATATATATATATATATATCCGTGAATCAATACGTGAGAATATATATATATATATATATATATATATATATATATATATATATATATATATATATATATATATATATATATATATCCGTGAATCAATACGTGAGAATATATATATATATATATATATATATATATATATATATATATATATATATATATATATATATATATATATATATATATATATATATATATATATATACATATATGTGACGACACTATACTTCGTTCGTTTATTGAACTCCGACTGGAATCCTGCGGATATTTCGCCAAGGTCTCACTTGGCATCTTCAATGCTCGCGATCCGAAAACACCTTGAGTGTTCGAAGTATTTTCGGAGTGCGAGCATTAGCAATGTACAGGGTGTGTCTGTAATTTGCAAAAAAAAAAGTAAAACATTGTTACTTTCGAGAAATCGATTAAATCGAATTATAGCTATTATTTGTACTAATTTGAATATTTAGCAAAGTTTGCTGAAACGTTGAAGTTCAGCGAAACTTGAAAGACACTTTGTACAGGGTGTATGCACAATAAAATTACGATTTTGTAAAAGTTCCATAGTGGTCCGCAGGAGCAGGATAGAAAACCATTGCGTCTTTTTATCACACGAAACCGCGAAGTTCTTTCCTTTTGTAATAAAAAGTTGTTTCGCCCTAGGCGCTACCAACTTACCCCGCCCCGCGACGATTTTTCTAAAGCAATCTTGTTATTTATGTTTTTTATTGGCTTATGTTTCTCATGGACTGCTAAAAAATTCGAGAATTATGATTGAAAAAAAAAATGTTTTTTTCTTTCCGGATTATGTCCGTACCAATGGGATTCTTTTAGGACATTGTTCAGCAAATTTAAGTCTAATAGTTTCTAATATTTACCTCGAATTACGCTTTCGGTGTATTTCATATCAGTAACGGCTTCGTAGGTCAACTTCCCTCCGTGGTTCCTCAAAACGCGGTCCACGTCCTCCCTTATTTTCAATTGCGTTTCGGGACTATGAGTGAGCTCGTACAGAACGTATGTCATGGTGGTAGCGGCTGTCTCGAATCCTGCTAGGAACAAGAACAGACAATGGCCGATCACCTCCAACTCCGTGAGGCTATCCGCACCCATTCCCTCCTCCGTTTTGAGGAGTTTCTTGTCGTCGCTCAAACATCCCCGGTTCTTCAGCTGAATCATGAGGTGCATAAAGTCTTTCTTGAAGACGTCGTGCTTCTCCCGGTATTCGATGGTGTCTTTTACCATTTTACGGAAGAAATCCTCAACTGTTTTGGAGCTCGGTGGCACATTGGAGCTTCCGCCCGCTAGAGCTTCCCACACCACTCGAAGCAAGCTTTTGGTGTCTGTAATGGGAGTGAAAGGGACTTCCCCGTGCTTTCGAATTTCCGCGCTAGGATCGTTCAAAGTGTTATATTCGATGCCGAACGCACAGCATCCGATAATGTCGGTGGTGAACCTGGCCAATACGTCTTTGATGTCGACGCCATCTTTGCCCACTTCTCGGTCCACTACGGCCTCCATTCCCTCTGCTTTTTCCGCGATCACCTCGAACATCATCTTCATCTTGCCGGAAGTGAACACGGGCGTCAACTTCTTTCGCAACTGACGCCAATGTTCGCCTTGCATGTTGAACAGGTTAGCGTTCAGGATGTCCAGGTGTTGTAACTCCTCGGAATGTGCTGTGAAATGCTCGAAGTCTGATGTCAGTATGAGCTTGACTATCGAAGGATCAATGGGTACGAAGACCGGCTTGTACATGAGATACACTCCTCCGTACTTGGCGTTCTTTCGCTTGAATTTGGTGTAGATGTCGAGGAACACGTCTTGTCTGGACTCGTAATTTTTTAGGATTGCTTTCAAGTCTCCGTATACGGATTCAGGATGGAGCTGGGGCACTCCGCGCCTTTCCCAGTAGCCGTGTAAATAATCGGAGTATAATTTAAACAGCAAATATACGCCGCTTAGCACTACGGTTGCTACTAGTAACGCAGACATTTTTGACTGATCTGTCGCGCGGAAGCGAGAGATGATAAATACGGCAATCGGCCTGATAAAATTAATATGAAGGCCCCGTTAAGGATCGTTCGCATTCGAGCTCGGTTTAAACTGTAGTAGAATAGCTATGTGCGTTCAACAGCAATGTAAGGTTCATCCTGGTCCGCTAAAGGCCTGCAAGCAAAAATGTTGAAACGATTATACGATTATATGAACGGAAGAAAGTACTTTGCCTTTCTTTAACATCTTCTTCTTTTTAGCGGGTACCAAGTCCATTTTCGGACACACGCCTCTTCAAGTTAGTTCTTGCATTTTCTTTTTGTATCCAATTTTAAATCATCCGTCCATCTTATTGGCGTTCTTCCCCTGGGTCTTCGAAATGCGTATGGCCTCCGACTGATGTTTGCCATTAGTTAGATTCTCCCCTGGCTACATGTCCTGCGTATTTCCATTTCAGCCTTAAGGCTTTGCGCACCACGTTACCCTTGTTCTTTGTCTTATCCATGTATTGGTCCCATTGCATGTTGCGCGACTTTTAGAATCATCATCAAAAATAGCACGCCACTGCTTTTTTTGAGAACAAAAAATATTTTTAAAATCTTCATTCAGTTGGAAGCAAATTTGGTGCACGGACTAGCTTTCGCTTAAAAAAATAAATGAATAAAAAAAATTAACTACTAACAGTAACTGTAAACAAAAGAATCCTTAATACAATACTCTCCTAGAAAAAAATAAATTAGAGCAACTGCGGGAAATAACCCCCTCCCCCAACCCCCCGACTTCGTTACATGCATTTGTACGCCTTGTTAGGAACTGGCGAACCCTTTCTAAAATACCAAGGATGTTCCTAATAACTGTACAAGAGTCTTCTATCCGATTTCTTAGATCTTCCTCACAGATTTAAACCAAAATTTGCAATAACAAATTCTTTTCAATTAATCAACAAAATTAAAGATATTAAAATCCCTTTTAACGCAACACTATTATCTTTTGATGTACAAACTTATTTCCCAGTATTACACCTATGGATGTGATAGATTTAGTAGATTTCACCCTCACTCGGAAACAGGTTAACCCATTGATGAAACAAGATTTATTACATTGCTTAATAGTATCTTTAGACCAAAATTATTTTGAATTTAATGGACCTCTTCTCTTCTATCTAGTAATTTCCACATTAAAGATATTAAGCGTTCCGTCACAAAATACACTTCACCACAACCTTCCAAGAGCAATGAAACCGAAAGCGATCCCATACTTGCCACCTTTGTCCTTCCTTATATTCAAAACATCACTTGTCTAAAAACCTCTCAACATCTTCGATCCGTCAAATTCTTGCATGTAATCAATTCTTCTACTAACGAAAAATCCGAGAGTCTATAGAAATCTATAAGCAACCTAACAATCTTAATCGCGACTCAGGATGCTACCTATCAGCAATATGGGAATCAGTCATCCGAGGCGGTGTTTATGCGCCTCATTTAGCTCCGTCCCCTTCAAACAATATATAAGCAGGTACAGAGTAAAATGCGAGCCAGTTTCAATCAAGCTCTGAAGAAGCCAACAGGCGAAACCATAACTAGTTAGAATCAACAAAAACCAACGCAGGAGAAATCCAGATATTTTATAAAAAGTAACCCGTATGTTCCATCTAAGAATATTATCATTTAAAGTTCAACTTATTTTGTTTAATTAAATTAAATTAATTTGAAAATGGCTTCAAACTCTACGATTTTTTTATTTTTATAACGGTAAGACATAGGGAAAACCAAACAAAGGCCACTTTATTTCCATTTAAACTAAGCGAGACGTAACAACGTCTACGAAGTCGATGTTGCCAATTGCGGTATCCAAATTCGTCACGAAGCATTGGCGATATCTACCCATAGTCCACCTTCCACCGCACTGATGAACGTTCCCCTTGGATACGCCAATGGTGTCCGCGTTTTCGGGTTCAAACTAAAATTGTATCTCCGGAGTAGGGTCGCGATGCCGACTTTGCTTTGTAGCATTCCAAATCTCATACCTGCGACAGATAGATTGCAATTATCCCCCGTACTAGTAGCAGCTAGAAGCAGAAACGACAGTACGGAAGGTTTAAGTAAGACCTAAACAAGATGGTAAAGTGTATAACGTAGAATATTAAGCTTAATGTGTTTCTATAACATAATTCTATACTTTAAACTTTACTGCGCTTAAGTCCTGCTTAAATCTCTAATGCCCTTAGTTCTTCTTCAGGTTCTTTTTATTCTTAAGCTATCATCTATTATTTCCTAGAACAGCTTCGTTTAAATACTTCCTTATTTACAGTTGATTTGGGTATCGCACAACTTTCCTCAGACGTTGCAAAAGAGGAGTTGAAAACAATTACATAAAGTAATATCCGAATGGACGTTTGCATAATATGTTCAATAATTAACAAGCAATAAATGAAATAGTTTTTTACAGTCAAATAAAAAGAAAAAGAAAACAGACAATTGCTACTTACAAAAGGTACTTTCTATGAAGACGTGTGAACAAGTTTAAGCTTTTAAATATAGTCACAATTTAAATCATTTTAAATGATGTAAAATCCATCAGAAAAAGTAATAATATATATGTAGCATCTAATTTAAATTACGTCGCATATAAGCATTTTCTTTCTTGTGATACCTTTTAATACGTATTCGTTGTTTGTTATTGCTTATATATTTGTTATTTATCTAACATTATTAACTATTATTGTTAATTAATTAATTATACTAAGATAATTTTATAATTTTATATTGGTATTATACTGACAATCTTGACAAAATATATAAAAATATCTTTTTATATATTTTACATAAGCTTCGAATGAAGTCGATGTTAAATATGAGTGTTCTACCTTCAAAAAAACTGGCAGTATTTTAATTTTTACTCAACTTTGCAAACTAAAATTTAAAAAATAATAATAGATCTTTATTAAGCATTACGCTACATAAAAATACGAATCATAAATTTTAAATAAAAAAAATGAAACAGAAACTAAGAGCTAAGCACACAAATCAAACTTTGGACAATGCATGACGCCTTAAATGTCTTTTAAATTTATTAGGAGTATCGCAGCTTTTCATTTTTTGCGGTAAATTGTTAAAATGGTTTAGGCCCTTATGTGATATAGAAGTTTTGTACATCAAGAGTATAACATTCTGTCGGCATAAAATTACCACGACTTCTTGTATTGTAAGAATGAATATCTCCTAAATAATAATCAGGAACACACTGCTGCTTAATTTTAAAAGTCAATACATAAACATTAAACATAACTCTTTGTTTTTTACGTGCAAGAAATGAAGCACACTCAACATGCTTTGAATTGGCGTGTGTATAGTTATTAATAAAAAGTGTTGAAGGATTTTAACAGGAATTCAAAACAAAATTTGAAAAATATTTGTTATATTCGTCGCGCTCATTTGGGCTACCCTGTATATTTTTAAATAATTTTAACTTGTATCTCCGTTGTCTTATGAGTTGTTGAAGTGTTTAAATCCAGTGGAGTAGTTTTTTAGTTATGAAGCAAACATATATGTTTTTAAATGGAACATCCTGTATATTATTTTTATATTAATTGAAAATTATTTAAGCTTTTCAGAAATATAGATTAGTATAAGGTTGTTTTGAAAATTAAGCTCAAAATTTATTTTTTTTCATAACTTAAAAGCAGTATATTTTAAAATTCGTTAGGAAACTACTATTGGTAATAAATTTTAACTTATTATATATTAATTATTACGAAATAACATTATATCTAAAGAATATAAACATAATATTATTCCTAAAACGATTTTTTTTTTAAACTCTTCAATAACTTAAAAGACGACGGGGATGGGGGGGGGGGAAGGTCCCAAAATTTTTTTGGATGTCACCCTCTATCTCAAAAACCGAGGGGTCAATGACGATTTCGTTGATTGAGTCTTTCATTTCACAAAAAAACAGCACAGCGTCGCGTAACTCGCAACTTTCTATCTTAAAAAATAACCGAGATCCATCATAAAAATGCCCAAAATTAGGTACCCTGCATATAGACGCAAGGACAGGCTGAGGCTAAATTTCTTTTATCATAATTATCCTACCCGAAAAAGTTAGATCTATGTTTGTATAATAAATTGCCATCAAATGTTACAAAAATAAAATGGGGTCGCTTTATCTTAATCATGTGAAAATACAAGTTATAATTTAAAAACTTGAACGTAGGATGACATCCAAGACATCCGACAATAAATATACCGTCGAAACTCTATATAACGAAATTGAAGGGACTGCTTAGGGACATTTTATATAAATATTTAAGAACTACATTTAATGTTTCAAATAATCGGTCATTTTCTTTTGAATTTTTTTAGTATGCCAATACGCATCCCCTACTTTGGCTTGTATTCTCACCATTTGGTGTGTTTTTATACATACCTATTAGGACGACCAGATTCTCGGTAATTAGATTATTAGTGTAATGAATTCTGAGTAGATAAGAGACAAGTCGGCCTACATTCCTTACTTTGTTACCTGATGTGCCCTTTTTTCTTTCGGTATAAAGAGTGGATTAATACATAGGTTTGTATGGAGACCTAAATTACAACAAATTTGGATCGTAATACTGAGAAAAATAATAAAATATTTGTGTTGCCTAAAATGTTTATTTATTTTAATACGTATTTGTTAGATCTGATGATGCCCTAGGAGGACGAAACATGTTACTTACTGACCTAACGTACATACAGATACTGTTTTCCTTTGAAAATATTACTATGTATATTTGAGTATGCAAAGTTTTAATTATTTTTACGCGGTACGAAATTTGAAGACCTTCAATTTGAGGAAAGCTTTTACCATGTGAACTTCAACTCAACTTCAACTTCAACTTCAGAAAATGCAGCAGTGTTTAATTCTAAGTTTAAGTTTATGAGATGATTCCCATAGATAAAAAATTATTTTTTTTATTAAGATACCAACCAAGAATTATTGAGACACTGTTTACGGTGAAAAAAAAAACAAACTGGGGTCGTAATGCTGTAATAAAATTTTTGCAATTACCCAAGCATATCCTGGGTCCTTCGCCAAAAGGTAGATAGGTGTAATCTACTATGTTGGATTTGTTCTGGTCGTCAAACCTTTCCGGGATGAATTTGTCCGGATCGGGGAAAAAATCGGGATCCGTCTGCAGTCCCAGTACAGAAATTTCTATCATCGTTCCTTTTTCTATTTCCACGTGGGTACCGGGTATTGTGTAGTTCTTGGTGCACATCCTCGGCAGAACTGCTACTGGTGGATGAAGCCTCAGCGCTTCTACAAACACAGTTGAAAATATGCACGCCATTATTATTTCTTAATATATCGAACTATTTACAAATCAATCAATCAACAAGGATATCCTAGATAATCTTTGTATGGAAATCGTAGTGGTAATACGAGATAATTATATAAAAAGAACAGGTGATATGATCGATATTTGATAAGGCTCGATATTTTCAAAATAAAGGTACTTTTCCATTGCTTCACAATTTTCGACGAGCCGGGCTCAAAAAAACTTGCATCTGTTGGATGTATTTGAGTTTGTATGGGTCTTTGTTATGCCTTTAAGGCAAAGGCAAAATGTGTAAACTTTATTGACAATTTATTCATAGTTATTCATATTTATCATATTCAAAGGCTCTTCTGACATTTTTCTAGTGCAGTCAGGAACAGTTTATTTTTTAAATATCCCAATAAAAAAGTTTAATGCGTCTAAATCTGGAGGGGTAAAGGCTGTTCATAGATATAAGAGAGTGACTAACTGATACGAATTAAGGAAAGACCCGGGCAAGCTGTAAGAATAAAATATGACCGAAAAGGTCTGTACTTTGCTTAGAATTTAATTATTTGGGGTTTTGTTAAGAAAGATAATAAAGAAATATTTATTTATTTATGTATTTATGTTTAAATCTGAAATAAAATTATAAATTATTTTTATTAATTACTTAAATTCCTTAAAATTATTTACGTAATATCACTATCGCTATCATCGCCTGTTCTAATTATTATTTGTTTTATATTATTTGCAATATGGATATACGATTGTTCTGCTTTTTCTATATGTTTAACAGAATTTGCCCAACTTTGTGGAGGGATGTTAAAAACCTTGAAACTGTATGCCCTAGATTTTTTGCATAATTATCACAGACGTATTCCTTTGTAGGTTCAAGCTTTGTGGAACCTCAATTAATTGCTTTTTGGTATAATCTTCGTGAAAATAAATGTCGTTATTATACATGCAGTTTTGGATTGTTGCTTTTGTGTCACATGTGGAAGGCGTTTTAGTCAACTGTCTACTGTGATAACTTGCATTGTCCATTACAATGACGCTGTTAGGAGGAATGTTTGAAACTAGTTTGTTTTTAAAACAACTTTCAAATAAAACAGCGGTGGTGTCTTCATGATAATCCAGAGAAGAATCTTTAATATTTTTCGCAGACAGAGAAAGTCCATTTGGAATCCAACCATCTTTAGAGCCAGCATGCAAAATAGTTATTCTTTTACCTCTTTTTGATGGCGCGTTTGTTTTACAATTATCAGTTGAGTCTACCCAACCCTTTTCCGGGGTATCATAAGTGTCGAACCAGGTTTCATTCAAGTGAATAATTGGCCTTTGTTGTTCCCTGTAAATCCCAATTTTTTCTAGATATTCCAGTCGCCATTTCCGAATTCTAAAAGATTCCATTAAAACTTGCCTTTTGTCATTTTTTTTAAAATCTAAACCCCATGTGTTGAATACACTTCCATAAGGTAGTTCTGCCCCATTTAACACAGGTTTCATCTTTTTCAAGCCTCCTAATTAAGATATCTAATGTAGGCACGCTTTGTTCCTCGTATAACTGGTAAATTTTACGCCGTATTATATCTTGATCACTTTCATCTACACTCGAGGAAATGCAGCATCACTTCTTTTTTTCCTCGCTGAAATGGGATTATTCACAATTTTCCATACAGTTGATGTTGGAATTTTCGTCAATGTGGCCGCTTCTTCTAAAAATGCAATAGAATAGTGTTTTCTACATTTGGGCGGGAGCATCTCCTGGGATACACTAGACTCGCACATATTCGCACACGATTCAACACACGCTGTATTACACACAAAATACGAATGATTACTAATAAACTTAAACTAGGTAATATACTAGACCAAAGAATATTAAACACAGGTAGGTATAAAATTATTTTCTATTACGGACCACAATTTTATCTGAATTTAAATTCCGAAACTTTAGGTAATAATCTTGTGGGTCATTTTCTTATATCTATGAACAGACCATACCCTCTTGCTGGAAGTCTAGGTTATTAATGTTGTGCTTCAAAAGTTAAAAGAATGCAGTAATAGAGCCTATGGTCAAAGGCTATTCTGACATTTTGTAAGAGATTTCTGGGATTATTCTCCTGTATTCATCAACTGTTCTTTCACTCTGCTGTTGCAGAGTTCTTGGTTTGGTTAAGAAGAGCTTGAGTTTAATGGGCTTAAATGTGGAAATCAATTCATGTAGGTTATTGATGTTCTGCTTCAAAAGTTATAATAGAAGAAACAAAAATCTTTTTTTTTTCAAACTTTTTTTTATAAGTAGCGATCACCTTCTTTCCGGGATTATTCTTCTGTACCCATCTGCTGTTCTTTCTCGCAGCTGTTGCAGACGTCTTGGTCTAGTTATGGACAATTTACTATTTAAGTGACCCCATAAAAAAAATGTTTAAATCTGGAACCATTCATATCTATTATTTAAAAATTCCCTCACAAAAACAGCGTAGGTCTTTATTGTTGTTATGTTGGAGATCATTTTCAATCGCTTCACTTATTAGCGGACATCGATTTCGTTTATGAATATATTTCGGCGTCAACATTATCTGGGATGAAAAGTGACCCCATTATGAGGTTGCCAAGTGTCTTTGTCAGTATCATCTTCGCTTAGTCAATGAAAAAACTGAATTGGGATTCCACGTGACCTTGGTTTTTATTCCATACTGAACCAGTGGCTTCAAGTTCTGTGTTGGATGGTATAAATCACTGTCAGTGTTTATTTTTGTCATATAATTTTCGAGAAACCGCGAAACGCCTTTTTTTTTTTAAATAATAAGTTGCTTCGCACTCCGCCTTACGAACTTGCCCGCCCAGCGTCGATTTTTCGAAAGCAATCTTGTTTTTTATTGGCGTCTACAGAGAAACGGAGATCGAAAGGACATTGAAAAGAAACTTTTTTTTTTCCCGGATTATTTCTGTACCGATGGGGGTCTCCTAGGACATTGTTCGAAAGCAACTAGGAACTAGAAATTTAAGTCAAATAGTTCCTGTTTCGACAAACTACCCTGTATATTTACCTCGAATTACTTTTTCGGTGTATTTCATATCCGCAACGGCGTCGTAGGTCAACTTCCCTCCGTGGTTCCTCAAAACGCGGTCCACCTCCTCCCTTATTTTCAATTGGGTTTCGGGTCTTTGAGTGAGCTCGTACAGAGCGTACGCCGTGGTGGTAGCGGCTGTTTCGAATCCCGCCAGGAAGAAGAACAGACATTGAGCGATCACCTCAAACTCCGTGAGGCTATCCGCACCCATACCCTCCTCCGTTTTGAGGAGTTTCCCGTCGTCGCTCAAATATCCCCGGTTCTTCAGCTGGATCATGAGGTGCATGAAGTCCTTCTTGAAGACGTTGTTCTTCTCCCGGTATTCGATGGTGTCTTTTACCATTTTAGTGAAGAAATCCTCCACTATTTTGGCGCCCGGCGGAACACTGGAGCTTTCGTCCGCTAGAGCTTCCGCCACCACTCGAAACAAGCTTTTGGTGTCGGTAATGGGAGTGAAAAGGACTTCCCCGTACTTTCTAATTTCCGCGTTAGGATCGATCAAAGTGTTACATTCGATGCCGAAGGCGCAGCTTCCGATAATGTCGGTGGTGAACCTGGCCAATATGTCTTTGATGTCGACGCCATCTTTGCCCACTTCTCGGTCCACTGCAGCCTCTAGGCCGTCGGCTTTTTCCACCACTACCTGAAACATCATCTTCATCTTGCCGGAAGTGAACACGGGCGTCAACTTCCTTCGCAACTGACGCCAAGGTTCGCCTTGCAGGTTGAACAGGTTAGCGCTCAGGATGTTCTCGTGTTGCAACTCCTTGGAATGCGCTGTGAAATGCTCAAAGTCTGATGTCAGTATGAGCTTGACTATCGAAGGATCGATTGGTACGAAGACCGGCTTGTACATGAGATACACTCCTCCGTACTTGGCGTTCTTTCGCTTGAATTTGGTGTAGATGTCGAGGAACACGTCTTGTCTGGTCTCGTAATTTTTTAGGAGTCCCTTCAAGTCTCCGTATACGGGTTCAGGATCGAGCTGGGGCACTCCGCGCCTTTCCCAATAGCCGTGTAAATAATCGGAGCATAATTTAAACAGCAAATATACGCCGCTTAGCACTACGGTTGCTACTAGCAACGCAGACATTTTCGACTAGTCTCTCGCGCGGGAGCGTCAGATAATAAATACGGCTGATAAATATAATACGGAGGCTACATTAAGGTGGCTCGCATTCATCGGACTGAATTAGACGCGACAGGATAGAACAATTTATAGTGAAATAAGAACGTGTGGATTTGGGACACGTCAATGATCTTGTATAGGGTGGCCCAAATTGGAGGGGCCTCAAAACGCATGTTACTGGCTTGATTTTCGAGGGAAGTCAAAAACTGAAAACCGCATCGTGATATGTCAAGACGTTTTTGAGCTACCGGGTGATTCTCAAAAATGTGCGGTAGGTTGCCTTCATGCCGAACATCTCTGGAAATATAGATTTAAAGCCGTCTGTCGATTTTCGTTACTTTCAATATAACATTTTATCATATCGCACTTTCCAAACATTTCTATAGCTTGACGACGACGCTCGTTTTGACAGTGGGACTTGTGCATCATGGCAATTGTTTTTATCTGATCATAGTTACCTAAATAGATAGCGTAAAACTGCATAGGCCAGAGTTAAGCACAGCCTACTATGGTAGTTCTTAAAAATTGCAGATATCTTTTTAACTATTGAACTGAGGTAGCTTTTACTTGATGAAAATCCATATATCAAAATAAATAAGAACTAAAAGTTCAGATTTTCAAGAAATTATATATTTTTACATGACAATTGTTTGGACAACATCGTGTCATTATCAAATGTAATATTTGCAAACTACCTGCTACTTTACATATACCGAAAAATGACCATAAAACCTTAATTAATGTTGTTGCGAGCATTTAAATCAATAACGGAGAGGTATTTAAATGTAATTGATCGTTTGTGGCTGTAAGTAAATATCAAAATTGTCGTCAAAAATGTGTTTTTCCGTGTTTAAGTGTGTAGCATAATTAGAATCTTTTTTTGTTGTTTTTAAACGATCTTTTATGTTCGTTAATGCGTTTCTTGAAGGATCTACCTGTTTGTCCAATATAAATTTTAGGACAAGATCCGCATTTCAACCTGTAGACACCTGATTGTTGAGATTTTGGGCATTTGGTTTTATTGTTTTTTAAAAAATATTCCTATTGTGTTGTTAGTTCTGAAAGCTATTTTTAAACCACATTTTGACAAATATTTTGAAACTTTCTCACTAGGTTCTCCTATGTTTGTAATTGTTTTAAATTGTTCTTGTTCGGTATTAGGTTTCGGATAAATAGAGTTTACTGTTGTCTGGATTTATTTTTTATTTATAATTTTATCTATAATGGAAGGATTGTAGCCGTTGTTCAGTGCAATTTGTTTAATGCTATTAAGTTCTTTGTTGTAATTTTCTGTTGAGAGTGGCGTATTAAGAAGAAGTAAAAGAGTCAAATGCAGCCATTTTGTATGTACAAGGGTGATTTGAGGTGGTATGTATGACTGTATCCGTGTGTGAAGGTTTATGATAAATGGAAAAATTGTTTTGCGTTTTCTTAATAGTTAAGTCTAAAAAATTAATAGAGCTATCCTGTTCAATCTCGATAGTGAATTTTATACGATTATGTAATGAGTTAATGTAATTCAAAAAGGAATTCAATTGTCTGTCCGTTCCAACAAAACAAGCAAAGACATCATCCACGTATTTATACCACCATAGAAAACTTTTACTTAAAGGATGTTCTAGTATGATATTTTCCAAATTAGCCATAAAAATCTCGGCTAACGAAGGACTAAGTGGGTTTGCCATAATCAAACATTCCTTAGGGATGTAAATGTGTCTATTAAATTCAAAATTATTTTGGTCTAAAGATACTATTAAGCAATCTAATAAATCTTGTTTCAACAATGGGTTAACCTGTTTCCGAGGTAGGGTTTTGTACATCAAAAGACAATGGTGTGGGATTTTGATATCTTTAATTTTGTTGATTAATTCAAACGAATTTTTTGCTGCAAATTTTGGTTTAAAATCTGTATGGAACTTTAAAATATTTACTAATTTTATTGAGAGTTTAACTGCTGGAGCTGTTAAATAAGACACGACTGGTTGTTATTAGCTACATGTTTGTTTAAATTAGAATCGTTAATGTCCTTAATTGCTAATTCACAATCGATCTTTAAACAGTTTAATTCTCTATTAATGTACGAGTGGTGTAAGTTAAAGTTGAAACTTTTTCCAGAAATTCAACTTCATTTTTATAAAATATTATGTCTGTGAAATGTCTATTCGAACTCTATAATCAGATGTGTCAAATTCTAGGGGATTAAGTCTATGAGACAATTCAGAGTCTATTACCTTTACATAAACGTTGTTTGTATCCCGTTTTCTGTACTCGTGTCTTCGTTCTTAGTTCATCCATTTCGCCTGGCCTTGGATCTGGGCTTTCCTTACCGCGGAACTTTTGTTGTTGGTTTTTAATTTTATAAACTTGAGAAAAACCTTATTTTGCAGACATTTGTTAAAAAACCAAATGTTTTGGGAACATATTCGGCAACGTAGAAGCAATTTGAAATACCAAATAGCCAAGAAACCAATTTCCGCTTCTTTCAAAAATTGACCTAAGGTGGCTTTTACTTGATGAAAATCGATTTATCAAAATAAATAAGAACTAAAAGTTCAGATTCTCAATATTACATTTGGTACAGACACGCTGTTACCAAAACAATTATGTAAAAATACATAATTTCGTGAAAATCTGGACTTTTAGTTCTTTTCTTTTTAACTACTTCATAAAAATAGTGTATGGGACATTGTTTGACAGGAAATTTTATTGGAAAACTATTTTTTAAAAAATTGGGGTATTTTATTTTTAAAAAATGTAACTTTGTGTTATATCTCGTGAATTAAAGTCTTTAAGACAAAATCGGTGAAACGGGAAGATTTGCCCTTAAAAAATCTTCAACAAATGTTTTTAATATAAATATCTATCTTTACATAGGGTTTGTAGAAACGCTTTGACAAATCATGATGCGGTCTTAGTTTTCGACTTCTCTCTTTTGGACTAACTATGCCGCAACTGGTTAAATCCATAGAGGTTTCTCGAAAACGGGTATGGTCTGTTCATACATATAAGAAAGTGACCAATTGCTTTAGAATGGGATTATCCTAAAGATTATTACCTAAAGTTTTGGGAATTTAAATTCAGGTAAAAAAAAATATTTTATATAATAATTTATTAGTAATCATTCTTATTTCGTGTGTAATACAGCGTGTGTTGAATCGTGTGCGAATTATGCAAAAGATGTGCGAGTCTAGTGTATCTCAGGAGATGCTCCCGCCCAAATGTAGAAAATACTATTTTATTGAGACTAAGGAAGTTATGGACAATGTTTATTTGACTCTTATTGAACGTGGTGCCAGCAAGCAAGCATCTTAGGAAGAAACGGACACATTGACGAAAATTCCAACATCAACTGTATGGAAAATCCCATCTCAGCGAGGAGAAAAAGAAGCGATGGTGACATTTTCTCGAGTGTAGATGAAAGTGATCAAGTTATAATACGACGTAAAATTTACCAGTTATACGAGGAACAAAGAGTGCCTGCATTAGATATCTTGATTAGGAGGCTTGAAAAAGATGAAACCGGTGTTAAATGTGGCAGAACTATCTTATGGAAGTGTATTCAACACATGGGTTTTAGATTTTAAAAAATTGACCAAAGGCAAGTTTGGTTAGAATATCTAGAAAAAATTAGGATTTACAGAGAACAACAAAGGCCAATTATTTACTTGGATGAAACCTGGTTCGACACTTATGATACCCCGGAAAAGGGTTGGGTTGACTCAACTGATAAGTGTAAAACAAACGCGCCATCAAAAAGAGGTAAAAGAATAACTATTTTGCATGCTGGCTCTAAAGATGGTTGGATTCCAAATGGACTTTCTCAGTCTGCGAAAAATATTAAAGATTCTTCTCTGGATTACCATGAAGGCACCACCGCTGATTTATTTTAAAGTTGGTTTAAAAACAAATTAGTTCCAAATATTCCTCCTAATAGCGTCATTGTAATGGGCAATGCAAGTTATCCCAGTAGACAGTTGACTAAAACCCCTTCCACATGTAACACAAAAGCAACAATCCAAAACTGCATGTATAATAACGACATTTATTTTCACGAAGATTATACCAAAAAGCAATTAATTGAGGTTTTACAAAGCTTGAACCTACAAAAGGAATACATCTGTGATAATTATGCAAAAAATCTAGGGCATACAGTTTTAAGGCTTCCACCTTACCAGTGTATATTTAATCCCATTGAACATGTTTCGTTGTAACAAAGTTTTTCCCCGTGTTAACTCCAATGTCCTCAAACTTATAGAAAGAGAAGTTTTTAACATCCCTCCACAAAGTTGAGCAAATTCTGTTAAACATATAGAAAAAGCAGAACAATCGTATATCCATATTGCAAATAATATACTGATATATTATGTGAATAATTTTAAGTAATTTAAGTAGGTAATAAAAATAATTTGTAATTTTATTTTAGATTTAAACATAAATACATACATAAATAAATAAATATTGTTTAGTATCTTTCCTAATAAAACCCCAAATAATTAAATTCTAAGCAAAGTACGGACACGTTCGGCCATATTTCATTCTTACAGCTTGCCCGGGCTTTTCCTTAATTCGTATCAGTTAGTCACTTTCTTATATCTATGAATAGACTTTACCCTTTCCGTTTCAAATAGGACAGTGTAGTGACTTAGGAAAAAACGTAAATGTCTCAACTTTGCTTAGGTAACCGTTGGATCAGTCCTGATTAGAAACACCAGTTTTTCGAATTTCATTCATTTCGAAACGCCCTGTATATTTACCTTGAATGACACGTTCGGTGCATTTCATAACCGCAACGGCGTCGTAGGTCAACTTTCCTCCGTGGTTCCTCAAAACCCGGTCCACTTCCTCCCTTATTTTCACCTGAGCTTCGGGGTTTTGAGTGAGCTCGTAGATGGCGTACGCCATGGTGGTAGCTGAGGTCTCATATCCGGCCAGGAAAGAGAACAGGCATTGGTCGGCCACCTCAAACTCCGTGAGGCTGTCCGCCCCCATTCCCTCCTCCGTTTTGAGGAGTTTCCTGTCGGCGCTCAAATATCCTCTATTCTTCAGATGGATCATGAGGTGCATGAAGTCCTTCTTGAAGATATTGTTCTTCTCGCGGTATTCGATGGTGTCTTTCACGATTCCAGTGAAGAAATCCTGCAACACTTTGGCGTCCGCAGAGACGCGCGAGCTTTCGCCCGCTAGAGCTTCCGGCACGACTTGAAGCAAGCTTTTAGTGTCGGTACTGGACGTGAAGATAAACTCCTCGTACTCTCGAAAGTCCGTATCGTGCTCGTTCAAGGTGTTACATTCGAATCCGAATACCTCGCCGATACGTCTTTGATGTCGACGCTATCTTGGTCCACCTCTCGGTCCACTAAAGCCGCGAGGTCGTCGGCCTTTTCCACCACTACCTCAAACATCATCCTCAATTTACTGGAGGAGAACACGGGCGTCAACTTCCGACGCAGCTGACGCCAAGGTTCGCCTTGCATGTTGATCAGGTTCGCACTCAGGATGTTCTGGTGGTGGAACTCCTCGAAATGCGCCGTGAAATGCTCGAAGTCTGTCGTCAGTATGAGCTCGACTATCGAAGGATCGATGGGTACGAAAACCGGCTATACAGCTGTCAAATTTTAAGTTGATCCCTTCAAATTTCGGACCCTTGTCGTATTTCATAGCCATGTCCAAAAAACAGTCGAAAATCGCGAAAAAAGATGGATACCGGCGTCGGATCAGGGCCATTTCTTATAAGCCTATGTGCCTCGTGGAGGATTAAAAAGTAGGGATATTTCAATTTTGTAGCTCCAACGGTTCGAAAGTTATTCAGGAAAAACCAAAAGACGAGAACGGAGAACGGACAAAGATATACCAAAAATATTTTTCCACTGTGATCATTTCTGTAGCAACGGCGATCCCATAGGACCTACCGTTATCGAGATATAAAATTTTTATACGAGCGCAGATACTTTCGAAAATTCGATTCCATCGATTTTCGAAAGTGCTAACTTAGTCGTGACAAAACCAGAGACTCACACAGCATTGTTCTATGTTTTAACGTTAAATACGCCTTTTGTAAACATTTAGAAATATGCTCTGAAAATGTCAAATACTTGTCCATTATCATTCCTAAGTTTCTCACCAAGTCACAAAACTTAATTTTTTTATTATTAATCTCCACAGCATGGCAACCCAATAAAAATCTCTCCCTCTCACCCTTTCGGTCAAAAATGATTACTGCGGATTTGCTAGCATTTAATTGTAAATGCTCATAAACTATGGTCATGTCATGCAGTTTAGGGCTGCAACGGCTTGCTTAGATTCACCGGGAAAAAAAGTAAGGTAAATTTGTGTATCGCCTGCATAATAATGATGACAACTTGACAACAGAAATTTTCTAAAACGGGAGCCATATACAATTAAGAAAGGCGGTCCTAAAATTGATCCCTGAGGTATACCTTTAGTAACATTTATGAATGAAGAACATTATATGTTACCGCTTGAGATCGGTGTTGTAGGTATGAAGCTAAAAGATTCTTCTGACAAACCAACAAAATTTAACTTTGAAATAAAAATTTGATGATTAAGGTATCAAACGCTTTCGAATAGTCTAAAAGGGTTAGTAGTGTCAGCTTGTCTTCATCTGTAGACCTAAATAAATCATCGGTTATATGTAGTTGAGCTATAGTACAACTATGTCCAGCTTTACATCCTGATTGAGTAACGGGGATAACCTTGTTATTACCTAAGTGAAACTGCATCTGCTCAGATATAACCTTTTCGAAGATTTTTGAAAAGTTAGTAAAATACTGATGGGGCGAATATTGCCTAAGGTTGTTGGATTTCCAATTTGAGGCAAAATATGGGGAATACATAAATTGATTGTGGAAATATAAATCAGTTTCAGCTACAGGGGTAAAAGAAAAAGTACGTGGGATTGAACTATTTCCTCTATTTGTAAATCGGGAACAGACTTTATAAAGTGAAGTGTAAAGTGTAAAGTATTTATATCCTCAACATTACATATATTTGCAGGTAAATCACTGTTTACCCCCTTTAATAGTCCTTATGCCTGCCCATACATTCTTTTGATGACAGCGTTCAGAAACAGAAAAAATAGTGTAAATACAAAAGTTTGAAGATTTTTGCTCTATTATCTTATGCAAATGTCAGAAAAAACAACCGACCATCGCAAGCTGTCAGCAAGCTGTCACAATGACAGCAACATCTTTCTTTAAAAAATGGAATGCCCTATATACTATCAGCTTAAATCGTAGACCTTTTTTTCCTGATTTCAAAAACAGTTTATTGACATTTCATTTAGCCGTTTTCGAGATATTTCAGTTTAAAAATAATTATTATTCGATTTCTGGACAAAATGGTCAAGTCAACCTTGATAGCAACCATATTATCTATGTATGCAATTGTTTTAACAATGTTCTATTTTTGATAACTAATCATATATACATATATATATATATATATATATATATATATATATATATATATATATATATATATATATATATATATATATATATATATATATATATATATATATATATATATATATATATATATATATATATATATATATATATATATATATATATATATATATATATATATATATATATATATATATATATATATATATATATATATATATGTATATATATATATATATATATATATATATATATATATATATATATATATATATATATATATATATATATATATATATATATATATATAGGGTTTTTTACAGCTGTCGCTGTCTCCCTTCTCTCAACCTACGCCTCCATCCATCTCTGTCTTGTCATTCATCTGCGATACCTCTTTTTTCCATAGATTCATCTACCTATGGGGCTCCATTCTGTTATCTTGTGTATCCACCTATTCCTGTCCGTTCTTCTTACATGCCCATACCATACCAATCTCTTATCTTCAATCAATGTTAAGGTATCTTTCTTGACGCCCATTCGCTGCCTGATCTCCTCGTTTGTTACTTTGTCTATTCTCGAAATTCTACAACTTCTCCTCCAGTATTCCATTTCAGTGGCCTGTATTTTACTTTAGTATTTTTTGTTGATCACCCAGTTTTCCGCGCCGTATGTCATTACGCTCTGTACTATGGTGTTAAATATATGTGATTTGGTGTGTCGAGTGATGTGTCTATCCCAGAGTATTGGATTTAGTTGTCTGATACAGTTTCGCGTCTGGCCTAGTCTACTGTTCATTTCTTCCTCTGTTGTCCCTTTTTGAGATATTATGAAACCTAAGTATTTGAAATTTTTGGTTCTCTTTATTTGATGATAACTAATCAAAATAATACAATTATGTTATTCAAGCGGACGTAATATATCCGGGTAGATGAGTTCCTTCAATTAAAAATGTAAGTAAACAATTTGAGGACCGAAATAGGATATATTACTATTACTATTACTATTACGATACTTGTCATCATAACTTTGAGATCTACTTTTATAATTTTTATATTTCATATTTTTTAGGAAATCCTGAATATTCTATACTTGACGTTAAAAAGTTATCCGGAAAGTTCTATAGTAAAATTCAACGAATGCTAAAATATCATAAAGTTTCACCCGTATAAGTTCCTACCAGTGCAAAATTTAACCGATGAACATTATAACCCATTTGAAATATCTTAAGTTATTTAACTTACTCTGCAGATCTTTAGTTTTGATTAGTTTTCAAAAGTAGGACATTGCTAAAACAATTACAAACATAGATAATATGGTTGCTATCAAGGCAGACTTGTCCATGGCTAATGAGTTAATCATACCGGCCCCTTCAAAAAGATGTATTACAACTTTGCTATAGAATGTACAGGGGAGCCGATATTTGGGAGCTACAAATTTTACATTACGAATATCTCCATTTTTATCAATATAAAACTGGGACAAGATTAAACAGGACAGGTATATAATGCCAATAATCAGACAAATCAATTCACTTTGTTAAAAGATACTTTAGAAATTGAGTATATACTTATGCCCAAAATGAGCTTAACCTATTTGAACCAAGTATTTTGTTAACGTTCTTATAGATTTCACGGTGAAGGACCGGGGGGTAAAGAAACAAGGGTAACAAATAAAAGCATCCGGATTGTCGATTTTAATATATACTTGCAAAACGTTCACTTAAAATGTGTCGTACGGCTTGGTAGCGTAAGTCTCGTAAAGTTCGTTCCAGAACGCGTACATTTCGTTCTTCGGTGGCTCGTTCCTGATGATCAGATCATTGCTTATCTCCAAAAATCTGAACTGACCAGGCTGAACGGTGGGCCAAATTATATTCTGAAGAACCTCGTCTTGTACGGGCGTTGGATTTCTAAAATAACGAGATTAACTAAACAATACGGGATTTCCGGGAGAATCTATTAGTAGAAAGGGATCAATAGAATTGCCTGCGAGACCTCCAGATATTACTCCACCGGACTTTTTCCTCTGGGAATGTTTAATATCGAAAGTCCGCAAAATTTAGACCATTTAAAATTAAAATATACTGAGTAATGTTTTGGTAGGGACAAAAACACTTGGCACAACGCCTTGAAAGAGACGCAAAGACTGAATATAGAGATTATGGTGATGACTCTAGCTAACGCGACATCGAAAACTACAGAGTATATTCGAACATGGCGTGGGAAGTATTGTTAGAAGAGACATTTCCAGTTACGTCACCAATTTTGTCCCTTTAAACGAAAGGATCATGCTCCTGAAGCTGAATGCGGCACTCCTTATATTGATTTTAATGCCAAGGAAGGGAAGACATTGGACCTTATGGACTTGGTGTTAGAAATAAAAGAGGAGAAAAGCTAGTAATAGCGAATAGCTTTTATAAGTTACCAGCTAGACGACTGGATACCTGGGCATCTCCCACGGATGATGGAGAAGACACCATCATTCGAAACTAGATAAAATGTATTTTGGTAAATCGGAGATATAAAAACAGCTTTACAGAAAGTTTCGAACGAAGTTCAAGGTTATGCAAAAAACTAAACAACCGAAATATAATCTTAGGATACTTAAAAATAACACAGTAAGAGAGCAAATAAGAGAGGAGATCAATTGTAAGTACAGACAAAATGAGGAGTCGATTATTACCACTGAAGAACAAATAAACAAAGAAGAAAGCAAAAGAACAATCTCACAATACACAAAAGCATTGAGAGAGAAATACAGAGTACGAGAGTAAGAAAAGTTGCAGGAATACTCAGTAAGAAAATTGAAGAAAGAAGATGTATTGTAGATAGAGAACACATCAAGCAGACTTGGAAAAAGTCCATAGAAGAATTATTATCTGAAAAAAGAGAGGCTAGAGCCGCTATTATCACACTAAAAGAATTTATAGTACTACCAAAGAAACAGGGAGCCGAAACATGTGGTGACCAACGAACCATTGTCTAAAGGTGATCCATAAAATCATCCATCAGTGAATATAATAAATGTGCGAAGAAAGAGTAACTAAGAGTAATGCCCATCAAAATGCCTTAGATAAAATGAAGCACGAAAAGATGATGGAGGTTTTAAGAGACATGGTAATGGATGATAAAGATCTGAGAATTACAATCAGTATAGTAAACCGACGCAATCAACAACAATGTTATATTTACCGATAGCATGAACAGCTCACTAGAAGCAATCAACAGACCCCAATCGGGAACCATAATTAATGAGCATTCACTCGCAAGAAATTAGAATTGTAATAGAGAAAGCAAAGGAAGCCTTCAGTCAAATGGCAAAATTATTTAAAGGTCAGAGTCTCAACATGGGCATCAAAATCAGACTCCTTAAGTGCTATATTTTTTTCTATACTCTTCTATGGAATGAAGTCCTGACCAGAGGCAACCAAAAAAGGCAAAAAGAAAGCGAGAGAAGCCTTCAATCAAATGTTAAAATTGTTTAAAGGTCACAGTCGCAACATGGGCATCAAAATCAGACTCCTTAGGTGCTATATTTGTTTCTATACACGTCTATGTAATGGAGTCATGAGCAAATATATGATACGAAATATGACTTTACAGAAGACTAAACGGGTGAAAAGATTGACCAACAAAAAAGTACTGGAGCCCAATGTAAAAGCATTTAGATTTACTGTAAAAAAATCAGTGTCATAAATAAAACTTAAACGAATGAAAGCGAGAAAGTACGTACAGTTCCCTGGCGAAATTTGTCCACAATGTCATGAATCTGTCGTGCACTCTGACGTCAGCCTCCGGGAAAACGCTCAGGTCGGTATTGTCGGGAATTTCCTGACTAAACCACCTGTTGAAGATGTAGTTCTGCTCGTCGCCGTGGGCCACACCGGTCGAACCTGATTTCGGAAATCGAATTGACGTCAATACATTTTTTTTCCCTTGTAAGCTGGTTTCGCTTACCGTTCAGTACCCTGTGGTTATTGTTCATCTCGCCGTGATATGTAAATTCGTAGAAATACACCGGAACGTAGGGAGCTTGCAATTCCGCTTGCTTTATGATGGACTTGTCGAAGTCTTGGTTGGAGTGGAACTTGAATTAAAAATTGCAAAGAATTTTGTAAATAATTTATATATATATATATATATATATATATATATATATATATATATATATATATATATATATATATATATATATATATATATATATATATATATATATATATATATATATATATATATATATATATATATATATATATATATATATATATATATATATATATATATATATATATATTCACGTATTGATTCACGGATGGAAAAATGTGATGACACTATATTCCGGGATATCATCCGTTCGCTTATTGAACTCCGTATATATATATATATATATACATATATATATATATATATATATATATATATATATATATATATATATATATATATATATATATATATATATATATATATATATATATATATATATATATATATATATATATATATATATATATATATATATATATATATATATATATATATATATATATATATATATATATATATATATATATATATATATATATATATATATATATATATATATATAATTTTCTGTAACATGGTTTTCATATAACAATAACTCATCTTAATCTCCTTAGTTGAAAAACTGAAGTTCAAGTTAAACCGTTAACAATAACATCCCTTTAGAGATAAAATGGTTTGGATAAAACTGGAAGAGAATTCAAATAAACAAATGATCTTGGAGGTTAAGTTATCTAACCGTTAACAGTTTTAGTTAAGCACTGAAGAAGCGAAGAGGATGATTGGCGAAACGTTAGCAAGTTCGACAGTTCGAAAGACCTTCCGTGCTCCAGCTGCTGCGCAAACCAAACAGCTGGCAAATTAGACAATTAGAAAAATTACAAGACATAGAAGAATTTTACAAACAAATAGATCAAAGCCTCAAACTAACGAAATCTAATTAAATCGACATAGTCTTAATGCCAAAGGTTAATGAATCTGATCATTGCCATCTGGCGAAAGCTAAAACGAAATATACAAAAGAAAAGATTCTACGTGAAACTGGTCCAAAATACCGATATTCAGAATGATGAACTGAACGTTATAACTTCCACCATTGATATTGTTGATTGTTGGTATAATAATATAATATAAATAAATAAAATAGTATTGTAAAAGTTAAAATAAATCTCGATGCATTGAAAATAGATATATAACATACTTAATACAAGTTGTAGGTTTTTCAGAAAAAAAATATTGCAAAAACCATTAGGTTTAGGTATGTATTATTATTAATTAAATATGTTGAATAATTTCGAGACGAATTCATTACTACTATCGGCGAATTTTAATTTCAATGGCATTTTCTAGCCATCTGCTTCCTCCAATATCCTTTTTGCCCAGCTACCTCCGTGCCAAGGTCGGCTACTTACGTTGATCCCTCGGGGTTTGTTATATTCCCACGCGATGTCTGGAGTGTAGTTCTGTTTAATCAAATCCCCGACCTTCTGTTTGACAGCTTCGTCTGCAATGTGCATGTCGAAGGGGACCATCAGCTTGTGATCGTTGTCGTACTCTTTGAGGGTTCTATGCAGGACTCCTGCGAAAATATTCATTGAATTAATTTTTTTCTTCTTTTTAATTTATTTATTTATTGGTTTCTGTTACTCGGCATAAATTGCGTAATTGTGAATTTGTGATTCCAGTTATTGTATTGGGAACAGTAGAAAATTATACGGAGATACGTTTGTTTTATAATTTTATTTATTCAAATTTTTTACCTTGTTTAGTTAGCTTTGCGCCTACACCTTAAACCTTTAAAAGAAGTAACATCATGTCTTTACTATTTAAAAAAATCCTAATATTACCAATAAGTGACCTAATATTTGCAGTTTTAAATTCACCAAGAATTTATAGGGGTGTTATGTTAACCCTCGAATATCTCAAAAATTAAGTAATATTTAAATATAAGATAAATTACAAGTTTACCTTATTTTTTGTGCTAGAATTGATATCTGAATGAAAATATGGAGTGTTCCCTATGAAAATCTTGAGATTTTGTTAATCGAATTCGCCAAATTCACCCTGTATAAGCTGAAGCGGATCTGTTAAACTGATTGAGTGGTGCATCATCTCCTTAGTCACATAACCTCAATTTCTGCATAAACTATGCAAAATTTTAACCGGGGATTTCAAAAACGTCGAAATATATAGGGTGTTCTATTTAAAATAACAAAGTTTATGTCGGGGGACACTCTGTATCACCAAAATATTTTAAATTTTCAGTAGAGCCAAAGAAACTTTTTTTCGTATTAAAGTCGAGTATTACTATATCATTATTACTTACGGTTCAGCATAAAAATCGATTCCTCCGAATTGATGCCGATCAAAGTGGGGACCCTGATGAATTCGCCATTTTCGAAACTCTCGTACATACGTCTAGTAAGGAAGGCGCCGCCATGTTCTGGCTCCAGAACAGGCGTATAATAGAAACCTTTGGAGAGCTGAAAGTTGCCTGTGGTACTCTGGAACCAACGAAAGTGAAAGGTTGGGTGTGATACATCCAATTCAAGATAATAACATTTCGAATAGAAAATTGAGACCAAATTCCGAGAGGAGATCTTCGGTTATTTCAATAATACTGAGGAAAAAAGAGAAATACTACTAGAAATAAAATTTTCATGTTGGTGGCAACTAAATGTCAAATTAGAATTACGTATTTTTGTCCTGGCAACAATTGAAATTTCTTTTCATTTCTTAAAAAATTAGTTTTTTTAATTAGAAAAAAAAATTTTTTGATGGTCATTTGTGACCACTCTGTATAATGTATTTTCGCCAAACATTTTTTTCCTCAGTGTCCTGCTTATTGAGATAGAAAATGTAAAAGATGGAACAGATCAAAAATAAATGAAAAAGGCTGTCAAAAGGTAAACGAACAATTTAACGTTACAAATCATGTATTAATGGATGATAGGTTAGATATTATTGAGTTTAATAATAAAACTAAACAATACTTCTACTACCTATTGCAAAATGGTTATGAATCTATGAGGAATACTTTTACATATTGCATTGGGAATTGTGATGATGTTTTCGTTTCCGTTTATGGCAATAATATAAAGTACAAACTTCAAAAAAAATCTGAAATCAATAAGAACACATTCTCGAAATTATTTGTGTCTGAAAATTGGCAACAAATTGCAGAACACCTAATAATGAAATTTTTATAAAGAGAACTCAAGATATCAATAAGCTATCACGTATAAATGTAGGCATAAAAGTCAAAAATCAACAAAATCTAAAAATAACGAGATAGCTGTAGAAAAATCTTCACTGGGCGGGGCAAGTTCGTAGCGCGTAAAAAAAAATGAAATGTATTTCAAATATACTTGTTTACAGTTACAGTTTAAATGTGGACACGCACTTTTACTTCTCTGCTAAATTTGAAGTTGATATCTGCAAATTTCGGACACTTTTTTTATTTTTTTAGAATACTTCCCGACCCCCCAGCCCCCCATTTTCAATAGGTTCCATCACGCGGCAAAGCTGCATATATGTGCCAAATATGAAGTCGATTACTTCAAATTTCGGACACTTATCCTGTTTCATAGCAATGTCCAAAAAACAGTCGAAAATCGCGAAAAAAAGATGGATACTGGCTTCGGATCAGGGCCATTTCTTATAGCCCCAACGGTTCCAAAGTTATTCAGGAAAAACCAAAAGACGAGAACGGAGAACGGACAGACAAAAAAAAATTTTTTTTTCGACGGTGATCATTTCTCTATCAACGGCGATCCCATAAGACCTACCTTTACCGAGATAAAAAATTTGCAGACGAGTGCAGATACTTTCGAAAAATTCGAGGAGAAATGGTTAAAAACGAGCAGTGAGGGCTGCTAAAAATAGGCATGAAGATAGACAATCGCTCTAGCTCTAAGAAAAATTTATTTTTATCAGGTTATGCAACTTAGTTAATAAACACAACACATTAACTTTCATTCATTTTTTATTTATCTATGAAACTTAACTCTCAGCTTAGCAACAGTTGTGGTATTTTTAGACTACACTGAAGCTTTTGATACAGTTCATCACTATATACTAGTGTCCAAATTGAAGAATATGGGAATAAGGGATGTAAGTTTGATCTTGAAAGTAAGTAATCTGAAAGATTGACGCCAAGGTGTAAGGGTAATTGGCATTAAAAGTCAGCCAGTTAAAACAAATGTTGTAGTAATTCTGGGCTCAATACTTGAACCGATATTGTTCATCTTATACATAAATGATTTGTTGGTTTTGCAAGATACTGCAGTATACTTAGACCAGGAATGTAGTTATTTTACAACCGACCCGCGACTCACTTTGCCTACTGTTTATTGCTCCAAATCGAGTAGACACTTAACCGTAACCATTCCAGGATCGTACTAGGAATTTATCCACCTACGCAAACAAGCAAGTCTTGAAACATGTACATACAAAAATTAGTACAAAGTAACAATTTATTACGTCCTATTTCATTACATTTTTACATAGTATTATTAATAAAATACAAAATAATTAATATAATAATAACAAAGTAGCAGTCACTTAAAAAATCATCGCTATCGCGTCACCTAGTTCAATGATCAAGTCATTACTCGTTTCTTACTGATATTTTTGCTACCTTTTGCCGAATTACGTTTATGGTACTATCACTAAATTTTGACGCAGTGTCATTCCTTCTTATACACCGCACCAATGCTCTATCAAACATAAAACCGTCCATTTACGTTTTAAAGAAAAATCTCAAGTTTTTGCAGAATAAAAATCTGTTGGGATAGGTTTTACCAGAGTCCTGCGAAGGTCTGCGGTTAAGGTACTGTAAAATACTTAAAACATCGAAGTAATAAATGCACTATACTTTTGGTCGTGTTATACCAATAACAGCAAAACCATGACCCGAACTATCAACAACCAAATAAACTGAAAAGAGTTGCCAGTAGTATATATCTAGGAATACTTTTCCATGGTGTTGTACGCAATCATAGGCTGGGGAGGTCTCTACATTTCATCGTTTGACCCGCCGGGTCTGCTTCAGAAGCGTATTCTATAAAGTATTGGAGTAAAAGAACAAGATGCAGATAGACCACGAAGTATCAACAAGCGTTTGCAGCGAATTCGGTAGTGTATCACTATAGTGAATTAAAAATTAAATACATACAAAATCAAATGAACAAAGAAGCTATGCGTATTATCCAGTAAAATATTTTAATGAATTACCTAATGAACGGAAAGATCTCAATGTCGACAATAAAGTAAAAAAAAACTTTTAAAAAAGTTAAAGAAAACAATACAAGTGTTACACAATCGAATGAATAAAATGTAAAAAAAAAATAAAAAAGTCTATAACTAACCACTAGTAGTAGTTGTGAGTTAATTTAGGGCAGTATTTTCCCCACTATAAGTCCTTTACTGTAAAATGATTTCTTTTGGAAAAGGATGTTTTTTCAATAAATATTATTATTACTTTACCATCTGCATAATACATCCAGCATCTTCAGCTCGTAACCTTACGACAGTAATATGCGTTTTAAGACACACATGTCAAAATATAACTCTGGCAATGCCGTTTACGGGCCTCGCATTGACTTTAATGACAAACGTAGAATTCAAGCAGTGCGAAATTCCTGTCTCCGGCTTATTTGTGGAATTCGACGTAGATATCATATATCATATGAGCTTTGCGATAACCGCGATGCTCGGTTAAATATGTCAAATGAAAGATATCTTTTTGCATCCTTGTTTTTTCCACAAAATGTCACCAATCAGCAAGGAGCAGGAAAAACATGCATTTTTTCAATAATATTTACTGTATTTTATTACCAAATCCAAGTTTATTAGGTACTTTATCGCCGCCTTCTTATATATAAATAGATTTATAGAATTACCTACGATATCAGGTATTCCCAGTAAAAGCAAAAGGCTATTTGTTAAATTGATAAATAATACAAATTAAGTTAGAACAAAAAAAATTCAGATTATCACAGTTTTTAATTCTTTATGACAGCTGTGTTGGCTTTATCAAATACAATATATGACTATGCTCCGATACTTATATGTAAAAACAGGTAGTAACTGATTTTTAATTACGGGTATAGGTTTATAAATTTCAATTTAACAACGGAGACGCATTTAAATCAAATTGGTCGTTAAGTTTAGTTTATTGCTTTTTCAACGAGTTGGGCATTTCTGAATTTAATTGAATGGCATAGTTAGAATCCGAACTTCTATTTTTACAGGCCCTTTTATGTTCGTTAATGCTCTACATGTTTGTCCGATATAAATTTTGGGACAAGGTCCACATTTCAACTTGTAGACTAATATTCATGAACCCTCAACCTCCAATATTATATTCTTGAATTAAATTACGCAAATTACGCAAAAAAAAATTATATAATATGACATGACAATTGTTTCGACAACACCGTGTCTTTATCAAATGTAATATTTACCAACTACCTGCTACTATATATATCGAAAAATGACCATAAAATGTTAATTAATGTTGTGAGAATTTAAAGGAGAGGTATTTAAATCTAATTTGTAAGTATAAACAAAAGTTTAACTTTTTTTCCACTACACAGGGTGTTTTATAATTGAATATCAATATTTTTTGGGTCCGTTTTAAGAAGAAAACTGCATATGAACATATGTTCAAAGCTTCTTTACTTCTGAGATACAGACAAAAATAAAATATATATATATTTTTTTATCAAGAGGCACTATTTGTTAGTCATTCATGGTACGCCACTTATTCTCTTAAAATAAAAATTGTTCTTACAATCTTTTTTCAATCCAAAAATAAATCAAAAAAATAAAAGCCTCTTCTCTGCATGATCATATCGTTAATATGTAGAAAATTATTATCATCATTATATCTTAATTAAGTATTAATCGATCTGTTTTATTAAAATACTTCAAAAAATAGAAGTACGAATATGAAGTACGTAAATTCTGCATGTATCCTTCAAGGTAGAGGACACTTTCAACAACTTGTTCCAGTTTTTTTCAAAAAGGTTGTTACTACTTATTAACGGACAATTTTGTTGTTAAAAAATATTAATAGTGGGTAGTGTTTTTATTTGCCTTAACCTTTAACCTTTTCGTACTTACCAGCTTTTTGGTAACGTTAACTGAAGCTTGATCGAGCTCGGTAGCTGAGACGCTCTGCAGAAACGCTAATAAGGCAGTTGAATTTCTGGATTCTTTGAAGTCTGCGTTTAGATATCCGGCCGTCATGTAAGTGATATTAATCTGGTCCCTTTGGTACGCCCATGGACTCAACGCGGAACCGCTTTCACAAATCGCTGCCCTGTATAAGCCTGGAATAACAGAACACCGAATTGTTGAAAGTGGTTTTATTTTTACTTGTAATTGAAAACGGCTTTCAATTATAAGTTATGATGTAGTTTCGTGTCAAGTAATTAAGAGTTACCAACTCGACACAACTCAATCTTAAAGACCATTTAAAAGAGACCCCTTTATTTTATTATTTTTTATTTATTTATATTTTGTTTTATTGAATTAGTTGTTAAAGATTTTAAAATTTTGTATTTTTGGGAAAAAACAAAAATTGAGTACTGTTAATATAGAAAACATAAAAAGTTTCGGAATTTAAATTCAGGTAAAATTGTGGTCCGTAATACAAAATAAATTTTATACCTGCCTGTATTTAATATTCTTTGGTTTGGTATACTACTTAGTTTAAGTTTATTAGTGTGTAATACAGCGTGTGTTGAATCGTGTGCGAATTATGCAAAATATGTGCGAGTCTAGTGTATCTCAGGAGATGCTCCCGTCCAAATGTAGAAAACACTATTCGATTGAGACTAAGGAAGTTATAATCAATGTTTATTTGACTCTCATTGAACGTGGTGCCAGCAAGCAAGCATCTTTAGAAGAGACGGCCACAATTGACGAAAATTCCAAGATCGAATGTATGGAAAATTGTGAATAATCCCATTTCAGCGAGGAAAAAAAGAAGCGATGCTGACATTTTCTCGAGGGAAGATGAAAGTGATCAAGATATAAAACGGCGTGAAATTTACGAGGAACAAAGCGTGCCTACATTAGATATCTTAATTAGGAGGCTTGAAAAAGATGAAACCGGTGTTAAATATGGCAAAACTACCTTATGGAAGTGTATTCAACACATGGGGTTTAGACTTAAAACAATTGACAAAAGGCAAGTTTGGCTAGTGGAATATCTAGAACAAATTAGGATTTACAAAGAACAACAGAGGCCAATTATTTACTTGGATGAAACCTGGTTCGACACTTATGATACCCCGGAAAAGGGTTGGGTTGACTCAACTGATAAATATAAAACAAACGCGCCATCAAAAAAAGGTAAAAGAATAACTATTTTGCATGCTGGTTCTAAAGATGGTTTTATTCCAAATGGACTTTCTCTGTCTGCGAAAAATATTAAAGATTCTTCTCTGGATTACCATGAAGACACCGCCGCTGATTTATTTGAAAGTTGGTTTAAGAACAAGCTAGTTCCAAATGTTCCTCCTAAAAGCGCCATTGTAATGGACAATTCAAGTTTTCACAGTAGACGGTTGACTAAAACCCCTTCCTCATGTGACACAAAAGCAACAATCCAAAACTAAATGTATAATAAAGATATTTATTTTCGCGAAGATTATACCAAAAAGCAATTAACTGAGGTTCTACAAAGCTCGAAACTACCTGTGATAATCATGCAAAAAATCTAGGGCATACAGTTTTCCACCACCTTACCACTGTATATTTAATCTCATTGAACATGTTTGGCGCCAACTGAAATCTGCCATTCGTCGTAACAATGTTTTTCCCCGTGTTAACTCCAATGTCCTCGAACTTATAGAAACCGAAGTTTTTAACATCCCTCCACAAAGATGGGCAAATTCTGTTAAACATATAGAAAAAGCAGAACGATCGTATATCCATATTGCAAATAATATAGAACAAATAATAATTAGAACAGGCGATGATAGCGATAGTGATACTGATATATTACGTGAATAATTTAAAGTAATTTAAGTAGGTAATAAAAATAATTTGTAATTTTATTTTAGATTTAAACATAAATAAATAAATATTGTTTAGTATCTTTCCTAACAAAACCCCAAATAATTAAATTCTAAGCAAAGTACGGACCTGTTCGGCCATATTTCATTCTTACAGCTTGCCCGGGTCTTTCCTTAATTCGCATCAGTTAGTCACTTTCTTATATCTATGAGCAGACTTTACCCAGTTCGGTTTTAGAAACGGTTACAGAACTCGCATTATTTGCGTACAATATCCTCATACAACGCTGTCTCGATGTCAATCAGGAAGTTTACGCCTGCTTCATAGATTACAACAATTCGTTTGATAAAGTGAGGCATAACCAGTTAATAGAAGTGCTAAATCAGAAAAACCTGGATCATTGTCAACCTTTACTTTAATCAGGAGGCTTATCTGGGTACAAATATCACCCGTACCGTCGATTACTGTTCCGAAATCAAGATCCGCATTTGTCAAAATGAAAAAGATGCTCTGTAGCCGCGACCCGAGCCTAGATCTCACAGTACGCATGTATTCCCAGTGCTGTACTATGACGTAGAAACTTGAACACTGAACAGAGTGTATGAAAGAAAAATAGAGGCATTTGAGATGTGGACCTATAGAATAATGCACAGAAATGATTATCAGGATGAACAAGGAGTTAGAGGTTTTGAAAGAAGTGAAAAGGAGAAAGATCGTCTATCTGGGGCACATAATGCGGGGTCCAAAGTATGAGCTGCATCACTTGACAATCCAGGGGAAGATTGTGGGCAGAAGATTAATTGGAAGAAGAATATCCTGGCCGCGGAATCTGCGAGTATGGTTTAACATGTCTTCCGCAGATCTTTTCAGAGCAGCGGTTTTTCCAAGTTCAGGATTGCCATGATGCTAGTAAACTTCCGGAGGCGATATGAAGTAGAAAACACTCTCTAATAATTTTCACACAAAATGTACTTCGCCACAACCTTGCAATAGCAATGAAACAGAAAGCAATCCCACACAAAACGTCACTGACAACATATCAAAAGTCAAAACCAGATTTCCCACTAGTCCAAAAATCAACAAAAACCGACGCAGGAAGAATCCAGAAGTTTTATAAAAAATATCAAAAGACTCGTAACCATATGACTTTCGGACATACCCACTGATTTGGGACTCAAGAGCAAATACGAAACCGAGGCAGCTCCCGCACTTTGACCGAAGATGGTGACTTTGTTGGGATCTCCTCCGAAATACTGCACGTTCCGCTGCACCCACTGCAGCGCCAGTACTTGATCCTTCATGCCGTTATTGCCCGGTACCACTTCATCTCCGGTTGAGATGAAACCTGCAACGCTTACCATAGAGAAAATCCGACACCACAGCACACGTATTACCAAACGGTCCGACTCTGTAGTTGATTGCAATCATGATCGTGTTGTAGTCGATGAAGAAATTCGGCCCCACTCCCCATTCCAATATGCCGGTGCCTTCGACGAAACCACCGCCATGGATGAACACCAAGACCGGCAGTTTGGCATTTGGATCGTTGACCTGTACACCAAATGATCGTTTAAAGGTTTCGTTTTTGAGTAACAACGTTAACGGTTACCGCCGGAGTAAAAAGGTTCAACATTAAGCAGTCCTCGGTTTCGAGGTCGCTGTCCAAAGTGACCTGGTAACATATGCCTTTTTCGTATGTTGCATCGAAGACGTCGTCCCAAGGCTCGACAGCCTTTGGAGGCTGCAATTAAGTATGACTTCTTTTAGTATTTTTCAATTTTCGAGTAGTAAACAGTCAGGTTTTAAAATGTTTCAAATTTTTATTTCGGAATTACTAATTCTGCTTTTGAGATTGCAGCATCTCTTTATTTGCCTCCTAAATTGATGATTTATAATTTTAGAAGTAGAAACGATATTCCTATTTTAAAAACAACGACAAAACGTATAGTACGACCAAGAATATAGTGCATTTATTGCTTTGACGTTTAGACCTTCGGACAACAGATGTTTATTCTGAGACGGACCGTAACGAATATTTGTAGAAACTTGAACTTTTTATTTCAAACGTAAATGGACCGTTTGAAATTTGATTAAGCATTGATGCTGAGGGGTATTTTCGAATAAGTAGAAGCGTTTATTTTAACATCAGGTGACATCAGAGTTTAATATAAATTGCAATATCTTCGTATATATTACGGTGGTCTTTGACTGTGATCCTTCCAATAAGTACGTATTTATGTACCTGATTCTCGAGCCTTGATCCTGCGAGGCTGTTTTCACTGTATAATTCAAAGGGTTCAAAATAATAATTTTTGTCTTGTGTGCCCGTCGATTAACAGCATTCTTCTTCTTATATTTTTGTGTCTTCTACATAGTTTTTCTATTTATATTTATTCGCGATGGAATACAGATAAATATTGATTAGAATCTTACAATTAAACATTTTTTGAAGGTTCCTGTCCTTTAACGCGTTAAAATGTGGAGACCGTGGAACGAAGCAGATGTTCTCCTGTTAGAAGAAAACATGGAAAATAACTCAGGATTGGAGATGGTAGTCGAACCTAATGACAATTTCGAAGACGAACCACTTCAGTAAATAAAAAACGGATCCATTTGTCTTCGAATGCTAAACAAATTAGTTTGAATGTCTACAATTTAATAATAAATTCAGAAGGGGAAGTAGGAGCAGCAACAAAAGCAAAACTAAAAAAAGTTCCGAGGTCAGCTGTAAGAAAAATTGTTGCAAATGAGATAGTCAAGAGGAAATTTAGAGAAGATGCTGGTACTTCACGACACGCAGATCTAATTAGGCGTATAATCAACGACGCTTATAAACCCTAGAAGAATATAATTATATCGCGCTTGTTAGTGTAGGTGTTCTATAAGGGGCTGCAGTTTTGGAGCAATAAACAGTAGGGGTCGGTTGTAAAAGCACTATATTTCTGGTCCAACTATAACATACTTTCGATATAAGAATATGGTTGTACCGTATTCTTAATGTTAGAATGTATAAGTATCCTTGATGTAATAAGTTTGACATCTTTGCTATAAATAAAATACATAAAATATCCAGAATTCACCCCACATTTCACTCAACACAAGATTGATAACCCAAGGAAAGCCGTTTTTAATTACTCGAAATTCATTGAAATGTGTAAAGTTCCTTTTCAGTTATCCATATTTAGTTCAGGAAATGTCCGAACAACCTATACCACTTTTTCAGCAGAGAGAGAACAAAGGCAGATTTGAACCCCAACAACGTCCGCATCGGGCCCATTTCAAATGCGAATTTGATACTGTTAATTATCGATACATCGCTATCGATATTTTAGTTTTGTTTTATAATCTCGAACTCACTGATGTATTCCATTAAAAGTAAATTAACATAACATGGACGTCCAGCTGATAAAATAGACATCTGAAAGGATTTCTATTTTCTATTTACTCTTATATTTTCAAATTTACAACATCGTATAAAAATTGATTTTAAAAGAGGAAATCGTAAATAGAAAAGTTATAAAGGTCTGGGTCTGATGGTGATGTGACAATGCATTAGGGTCAATCATAGTAGGTTTTCTGTATACAACGTTAGTTCTGATTTTTTTGAATAAGAATATCTATAAGAAATACGTCCAGAGAAGCATTTTTCAACTAAGATGAGAAGATCTTATTTAAGATTAATGCAAATATTTCCTTCTGACTAAGCGGGTTTAAGAATTATTTAAGTAGAAGAGATATGTTATTGCATAACTAGGCCTTTAAAAAATAAGGTACACTGCGTTTACAATTTGAAGCTTCTCACCTGGAACCTCAATTCTCCCACGGGGGCTTGGGCGTATCTGATGCCCAAAAACGAGTTATAAAAGCTTCCGTTCCTCGTCTGCTGGGTAACGCCTTTGATTTGTCCATTGGCCGTTTGAACAATCACCTGCTCCCCAACGTATTGGCCACCGGAGTGTGACTAAAATGCCATTTATAAACACGTCCCGCTCATCGACTAAACGAAATAGCATTACCAAAAACGCGAAAATCGCGCAGAGTATTTGGATCCTCGTCATCTCCGCTCCAGTTTCGCGATTCCAAAGTTAGCGGCTAAATGCGGATTCGTAACTTTATCATTATTGTTAATAACAGTCGTTGTGATAAAAAAATTAAGTGTTACTTATGGATAACGGCGTTGATTGGCTTGAATGTGAGTTGGAGGATAACATACGTATCTGTTCTCGATACGTGAACGATTTGACTTCCAAACTTCTTTTTTTCGTCTATGGAGTTAATATGATTCAAAAAGGACAATTCAAATGAAGGTAGGAAAAGAGAGTTGATATATTTCGGAAAGAAGACTAGAAGACAGGCGTGGAAATACTGACAATTTTCGACAATCTCTGGTCTCGTTAGCTATTGTTAAGCTTTGAAGTTAGTATATAATTTAAGCAGAGTTTCTAAATGGCTTTTATTTATGTGATTAACTGAGCATTGAAATAATATGTGTATATTTATATGTATCTGTAATACTTGTTCTGACTGTTTAGAGAAAATTAATTTATTCGAGCAGCTACCAAAAAATTTGATTTATAGAATTTCCCATCTGCAGCAAGAACAGTTAATGATACAATACATCGTAAATAGAAAAAAAGATTCGAAAACTTGCATATTTATCAGCAGTTAAGTATAAAATAAAGGAACCAGTGAAAATGATCAAACTCTTGACTGGAACCTTCGGCACTGCACTAACACACAGTTTTAATCTTCTCCTGAAGATGCCAACTTGGTTGGCGAAACGCGCGTCACGGTTTGTGGTAAAACGCGTTATTGTGTGTCAGTGAAAATTAGTTACCCTCCTTCATGAAAAGAAATCCTCAACTATCAATTGGGTGTGCACAACCAACAAGCCTTTCTCGAGCAAGAAGTTTTAATTCTTCAAATGTTAATTTGAACTTGGATAATGTGTCAAAGGTTGATGTTAATTGTCATCGGATTCGATTCCAGGATCATTTTACCAGAGATGGACTTTTTATAATATACAGTTAATAATACAAAGTTTTACTCTAGCTCGACAATCATTCTTCTCACATTTCCATACAGGTTCCAGATTCTTGTAAAGATAATGACATTATGGCATTGTGGTACTTTCGTTTCCACTCCTTTATTCTTACCAACTCTTGGATCGTTCTATATATAGACCTTTAAAGAAAGGTATTAATACTTCTTGGTACAACTGGATGAAACCTCAGCATTATATAGGTTTATTTTTAATATTAATATCTGACTTATAATCAGTTCATACTACTACTTGAAACCTGATTTTTGTTATATTTTACAAATAAGTCTTATATTCATCATAAATAAAATATGAAAATTATGTTAAAATACTTGATACTTCTCCAGCTACAGCATCACAAAATTAAAACGTTACTATTACACTCATTCCTAAGTTGAAGCACCTTGTAAAGTTTCTGTAAGCTTTCATTACCGAAGTAAAGGTTCTTAAGTATTCCGATCGATGTCGTAGTAAGTATTTTGTTTACACAACCATTTTTAAGTTGCGAGTTAAATAAACTGCGATAAGGAATCGGATAGTACTGAAGTATTTTGTTTACTAAAGACGTTGACGTTTATTTTGCCTTATCTGATGTGATTCCGATGTAATATTTTCTTCGCAAGAAAAAAAAAACAATTATTCTATTGTAGTTTTATTTAGACGAATAAAATCAGTACGTATCGTAAGGACGTATCGCGTAACTATCGTACAGGTACTGCCAGAATGTGATTTCGTAGTTCTTGGGAGCGTCACTCTTCACTTCGAGGTCCTTCCCGATATACAAATACTGGAAAGAATCCGGTTGAACTGTGGGCCAGGTCACATTTTGTAACACCTCGTCTTTCTCCGGTGTCGGATTACTGGAAAAGTTCCAAATTAAGCCATAGTATTATACAAGATCTCCGAATCCAAATACTTTCTAGCCGGTATCTCGCGCACCCTGTATGATAGACAAAAAAGGAAAATTCAAAAATTGTGGCCCTCGAGGTAACCTGAAAAACCACTCAAACCAAACGGCACCGTTTGTCACGGGTTTTCAGTTACGGAGAATATTTTATTTTCAAGAATGACAAGTTTCAGTTGTTCGCTCATAACAATGACACCCTGTACAGTTTTGGGTCGACCGGATATTTGGGTTATTACCTCAAATCTCACGCGTCTGCTGGGTTAAAAATTCTATCAACTGTTCGAATGTTATAAACCTCCAAAAGCTGCCCGAAGGCCCTTTACGGAGACTCAGAGAACAGAGAACAGAAAAAAAGAGCTGGGTAGTTTTACGTGAAATCAAACATGCCGTTAAACAAATTTTCAGACACTTCGTCTTCTATAACTTTCCCAATAGAGCTCACTTCCACCTTGGGAATTAGTATACAGGGCCAGATCAAAAAGTTATCACACCCTATAGCCTTTAATGCACTTTTCCTCAGAAACGAGCAAACAAATGACAGTTTTCCAAAACAAATGCTTGCTTTTATGGAAGACTGTGGATAACAATAATAAACAATTGAAAGTTGGATGTTGCTAGCAAAGAATTGGATACCTTTTGAAGTTTTCAGTACAACGCTTGGCATGGGAAAAGGATAACTTTCAACTTCTTGTTTAATACATTAAAAATGGAGACTTTCGGCGTAAGTTATGAACTCACAGGTATTTTCCAAAGTTAGTCCACAGGGTTATCATTCTGCGTTGAACGTTCTGATCGTCTACTGGGAAATATGTCAAGTTGGTGTTATCGGTGATGTTTTCGTTGTAGTATCTACTGAAGAGGTAGTACAGCTCCTCGCTGTGGGTGACGTTAGCTGATCCTGTAAAATTGAGGTTACTTTTTGACCAGGACAGCGGTGAAACATCTTACCAGGCAGCGTTTGCGAGGGATTATTGCCCATGATTCCGACATAAGCGAATTCGTAAAAGTACGTTGGAGTATAAGTCGACTGCAATTCCGCTTGCTTCACGATGGCCTTGTCGAAGTCGTTTCCGCTGTGGAACTGCGGGAAAAATAAAAAGAATAAGGAATGTGTTTCCCACTGTGGAAAAGGGAACTGGAACTCACGCTGGATTAGAGCAACATTAAGGACTGTAGATTGGGCTATTATGAAGATACAAGTGTAGAATTTTTGGTGCATGAAAGGATCGAAGATGAGAACTTTTTGGACGAGCGTACGTGTCTTAAGAACCTAATGGTAACTTAAACAAAAAGAAAATAACATTTCATTCAGATGGCACGCTATTTGAAACATTACTAATTAAGGATAAAAAAAATATCTAGTCTGCCTCAATCTTCATCGTCCTGGCTTTTGCTCCCATTTGTGGAAGTTAGGTATTAAAGGGATAGACCCTCAAATGTTGTAGTAATAATGCTTTTTTGTTTATTTAGGTGATAATCTTATTAAATTACAACAAAAAAAGACAGTAAATCTAAACAATAAATTCATAGCTGTATATAATTACATTTTTATTCTAACTGTCTAAATCTAGTTCTGCTTCTATATCAGAGTCGCCATTGAGGTTAATTATAATAGGATTTATGTTGTTTTGTGTAGAAATGTAAGAGCCATCAATTTTTATAATGTGTGTTAATTACATTTTTTACCAAATTTATAACACTGGGTCTTTCTGCTCTGACCTTTAGTTTTACTTGGTTCCGCTAACACTCTATAGGGTTAAACATGCAATGATATGGAGGAAGACTTAAAACACTATGCCCAGCTTATTCAGTTAAATTACATCACATTTTTTTAATTGCATTTGAACTTAAGACTTCCTAAAGCCTGTATAGAGGACAATTCCCTAGAAGAGAGAATCACACGAGAGACAATCCATAAAGCCTCCCTCCACCCCAAGTTTAATGGCATCCATTTGAAAACTGCCCTGGCCCATCCTATACCTAAAATACTTTAAAAAACTTGTTCTGCACAGCCTCAATTCGTTATGAATTTCATAAAAAGACTGTTTATCCATACTCCAAGATGGATCGGACATATGAACTGTAACACCAGACCCAAGATGCGGTTATCCTTGCTAATGGCATCCTCAAAGTGCCTCTCAAAACGCTCCTCCGCAATGATATCGAAATCCTTTATTATTTGCACTCTATTCAATACACACCCTTCACATGAGAGATGCGCAATCAACAGCGAATTAATGTCCCTTTGTAGCACTTCACAATCATCAACTGATTGTATACAGCGGTATATTTTTAAATCATCTGCAAAAGGTGAATAGTCTCACTTCAAATGATGATTTATGTCATTCACCAAAAGAAGAAACAAAAAGGGATACAAATGACATTAGTGTAAAGGTAAAGGTTTCAAATTTAACTTACAGCACTCGAACATTAATAGAGAATTAGACTGAAGTAAAATTACCCTGTAATGATTGTTAATTATTCATTGAAGTGAAAGGAATTAAGCAGGATACTATCAGTTTTCCCTGTAAAGGGTTTTAATCTAGAAGCCATATATTTTGCCAGTGAATGTTGTCGAAGAACCAATGCCGGGGGATTTTGTAATAGACGATTTAGCATTCCATCTATAGTGATAAGACTTTAATACAGACTGGTTAGGTGTTTCGTTGCGGTACTTAGAGACATACCATACCTGGATTCCTCTTAACGTGTCGTTCTCAAATCCCACATCCCCTCCGTAAAAGTTTATCAATTCGTATCCGACCGCCCTCAGATCGTCCTGGTTTGAGATGTGCATGTCGAATGGTACCAGGTACGTCGGGTGTTGGTCGTAATCCCGGAATAGATCTGATAGATATTCTGAACGGGGAGACGAAGGGGATGAAAGTCAGCATATTCTTACGGATGCCAGCTTACCGTTGCCTATATTCATTAAAGATTCTTCCGCCACCAGTCCCATCAGGATGGGTACTCTGTTAAATCTGCCGTTTTCGAACGATTCGTACATCAGTTCCGTGAGAAAGGCACCTTCGTGGTCGGCTTCCACCACCGGAGCGTAGAAGAAGCCCTTGGAAATTTCCACATTGCCTGAGTTGCCCTGAAAGTACAGACGCAAGAGTAGGGGAAGTGTGCAACTGGAATTGAAAGGTTTGAAACGTCCATGAAAGCAAATAAAAAGTAAACTAAATTTTAAAAGCGTCCGCGAGAACAGGTGTGTGAGAAAACTGCAAACGTTGTGGGGCTGTGTCTCAAAAAAAGTTTGAATTTTATTACATGCATGTATTTGGGTTATTGAGAGTGGAGAACTCTATTTTGTTGCATTTTTTTCCACTAAAAAGAAAATATACAGGGTGTCGACACCAAGTTCATTTTTTAGATATAATAATTAATACGTACACCGTGTGCCAAATAAAACGATCCATTATACTATCTGGACACCCAGAGGAGATACGAAAAAAAGTTCCGTACATTAGTTTCTTTGACCCTCCTGAAGATTTAAGATATTATAATTTTGTTCATATAGGGTGTCCCAAAAGTGGCATGCATCAACTTTGTTATTTTAAATGGAACACCCGATATATACTGACATTTTTGGACACCTGGGTTAAAATAAAGGTCACTCTCTTAAGAAATTCCTTATTGCTAACAATACAGGGTGTCCATTAATTCTACAAGAATTTATCCGGGTGTTGTCTTGAACCTTGAATATCTCAAAAAGTAAGAAATATTTCAATATAAGATAAATTACAAACTTAATCAGTAGCGTCACCACACAATTTTATATGGATCAATCAAAATATAAAAAAAACACATAACCTCAATTTATGCCTAAACTACGCAAAATTTGAATAGGAATTTCTTAAGTAACCTTTATTAACAAATAAAATATCAAAGTGGATGTCGGAGGGGACACTTTTGGGAAACGCTGTATCAACAAAATTATAATATTTTAAGCCTTCAGTGGATTCCAAGAAACTTTTATTTGGCACATGGTGTCCATATCTCTAAGAATTATTTCCAATTGTGCGACGTAGTTCTTTAGTCACGCGTATTTTTCTAAATGACGAAATATGAAATAAAAAATGCATGTCCGTATGTAACAAAAATTAACTTCCGAACAGTCTTTCTCGAATTAGTGACAAATCTAGTGTGTTAATATCAGTGCCTTACCAATGTAATCGACAGTGCAGCCGATGCCTCATCGATCTTACTGGCATCTACATCTTTCAGGAACGTCAATAAATCACTCGAGTTTCGATTGGTCTCGAACCTGGGATCAATCAATGCCGCAGTCTCGTAGGATATCTCCACTTGTGACCTCTGATATGCCCAGGGACACAGAGCGGAGCCGCTGTCCAAGATAGCCGCTCTGTACAACCCTACGAAATTAGACCGTCATTGAAAAAACTTTTTTGAAAAGTATGACACAAAACCTGCTGACGTGGGACTCAGCAGTTGGTAAGACACTGATGCGGCCCCTGCGCTCTGTCCAAAAATGGTTACTTTGTCGGGATCGCCTCCGAAATACGCGATATTCTCCTGCACCCACTTCAAAGCCATGACCTGATCTTTCAGGCCTAGGTTTCCGGGGATAACCAAATCTCCAGTGGATAGGAACCCTAGAATGCAGGAATTGAGTGGAAAGTCTATAGAAAGAGGTGAATTAACAACCAAACGGTCCCAGACGGTAGTTAATGGAGACAAGAATGACGTCATAGTTCATGAAGAAGTCAGGACCGGTGCCCCCATCATCGATCAGGCCTGATCCTATTACGAAACCCCCGCCGTGAATATAAATCATAACCGGAAGATCTGGCTCGTTGCTCGAAGCTATATCCTAAAGAACCATTAAGCATTGGCCATAAACCATGACAACTTCAGCCGATTTGATTTGCGATGGCACGAACGTGCCTCAGTGTTTTATAATACGACCAAAAATATGTTGCATTTATCTGTCAAAAAGGTAAAAGATTCAACAACTTTTGGAAATATTAAAAATTAAACATTTTAATGAAGACTACAAAATCGATTCGATAGCACAACAAAGCGGACATGAAATCCTGAGATTACCCCGGTATCATTGGATATTTGACCCTACAGAGATGATTTGGCTCAGTTGAAAGCTCATGTAAGAAATAATACTGCACCAAAATTTAGTGATAGTACCATAAACGTAATTCGGAAAGAAGTAGCTAAAATATCAGTACAAAGCTGGTCTAACTGAGAAAAAAGGGAGTTGATCATACAACTAGGTGACGACAGTAGCGATAGTGATGATTTTTAAAGTGACTGTTACTTTATTATTATTAGATTTAATATTTTGTATATTAATAATGTATATTAATAATTTTTACGAGTTTTTTTATGTAGATGTTTCAAGAATTTCTCTGGAATGGTTACGGGTAAGGGTCTTCTCGGCAGGGTGTTCTAGAAGTGGCTGCGGTAGGCAAAATTAATCACGGGGTCGGTTGGAAAAGCAATATATTTTTGCTCGAAGTATACCTGCTCCTACCCACCTACCTGCCAGTGTTCTACCTTTGTCTACGGTTTCATGCAATCGATACAGATAGATTGTTTTCTCGACAAAACAGTCTTTAATTATTATGGACAATGGACGATATCATCCTAGATTTAGTGAAAGTGTACCAAATGCAAAATTGTCAAAAATTACAAAACAAACTTACCGTATACCACAGACAAACTGATCGCTGAAATAGCTCACCAAGATTTAAGATTGCCTCCTTACCATTGTATGATGTGGGCTCAGTGCGAAATATTTTTTAATAAAAATATTGTAAGTGATGTCAGGCACCATGAAACTGCAGCAGTATCTGTTTGAAAGGCAGCTCTCCAAAGAAAAATGGGTCAGTTGTATAACAGAAAATATAATAAAAAATACTGGGAAATGAGAATAAACTTGATATAACGAAGGATCATTTTCTGGAAGTAGCAGTTCCACTTTTGGCTCTGATGATGAAAACGTTTAAACGTAAATACAAACTAACTATGGTTTAGTTGTATATGTAATCTTGAATGATATATTTTGTGGTATTGATTAATTTTTATTGCATGGCATGCAAATTATTATAATTTTTTTACCTACTTATCATATCATTAAGAAAGACCCTGATCTATTATTAAAGCTCGCCTAACGATATACCGTTTTGACAACCTTTAATGGTTTTTAGTATTTAAGGTGTTAGAGGACAAGAACTGTGCACTGTTGTGTTTTAAGACTAAGGAATTTTCTTTGATTAAACATATTAGGTGTTTTTTATAAATCTTCCTAAAACAGTTACTACCTAAAGTAGCTCGATTTAGATAGATTAGATAGGTTGATCTTTTAAATTAAATACACACGTGCAAGTTTAAACTTATTTCCAATTTAATGGTTTAACATAATGACTCTAAAATGGTTTCCTAGAAAAACAATACAAAATCTCTGTAGATAATTGACTTATAATGGATGTTTACTCAGTCTGCTATTGGTTAATTTGTGGGGGTTTGTAAAATCGGAATAGTGAGACGGTTGATAGTGATGATTGTTCTACGAAGAAATGGTTTTTATTACCAAAAAATCGATAAGAGACAAGTTTTGATGGATGTGGTCAAGCTGGAAATGGATTCAAAGATGCCCGTCCTCTCAGTTTAAGAAGAAACAACAGTAAAAAATTCAGTTTTGGGGCAACAGAATTAATTAGAAGTGAAGTAGAAAAAATATCTGCCTCTATTTGGAAAAAATGTGTAGAACATGTATTCGAAGAGGAAAATGTTTATTGAAGTCGACTAGTAACAGAATTAATTATTAATGTGGGGGGGACATTGTTTTATAGCTAAATTTACTCCTTCATTCGTATTTATAATAAACATGGACTAATAATAATGAAACTCGTAAAAACGGTATATTGTTGGGCGAACTATACATAGAAAGATGAACAATCTACTCCATTCTGTCTGGCATTTAATGAAAACTACGCCATCACAAATCGTACCGACTATAGTTAGTTACCTTGGGTGTAAAGACGTTAAGAAACAAGCAGTCTTCGTTTTCCGTTGGTTTATTGAACTGGACTTGATAGCAGATATTCCTTTCTTCGGTGGCATTGTAGACGTCAGTCCAAGGTTCTAGCGGCAGAGGCGGCTGAAATACGCAACTTCTATATTTATTACTTTCGCAAAATCGATGAAATCGTCAAAAACAAATTGTCTGTCCTCTGTTTCCGACTGCACTCCATATAGAAGCGAGCAACTGTAGTTGATGGCACCTTTTTTTTAAACAAACAAACAATTTACAGGGTGCGTCGGTAATTTGCAAAAATCCAAAATCTGCGTTCTTCTTTAAAACAAAATGGGCCATAACTGGATAATAGGCGCTTCAAATTTGCAGCTATCGACTTGATATTTGGCAGGGAAGTAGAAGCCCGTGCCAACATCAAAAATTTTGGAAGTTTCTACTGGAAAAATTCATTCACCAGAAGAAAAAACATGGGAGATCCAGGACTATGGCTTCTACTTCGGGCATTTTTTGGATTATGTACAGGGTGTGGCGATTATTTTGAAAAAATCCAAACGATCCCGAAAATTTACGTTTTTTTGGGTAAAATATTAGCAATAAACAGAGGAAACTCGGATAATTTGGTTTAAACAGTATCGTCAACTGTGTCGAGAGCTAAAATTTTCGTATTTATAGATTCCGTCTATCATAGATAATTTAATTTAATTTTATAATTTATTTATTGACGTTAACAACACTACGGTTTTACACAAGTCAGCAAAAACATTAAGCAAAATCTATATATATATATATATATATATATATATATATATATATATATATATATATATATATATATATATATATATATATATATATATATATATATATATATATATATATATATATATATATATATATATATATATATATATATATATATATATGTATATATATATATATATATATATATATATATATATATATATATATATATATATATAATATATGTATAATTATAAAGGCACCGCGACATAACACAAAAAACGCCCACCATTATTAAAATTGGTAAAAAAGTCATCAAATAGGCCCCATCCAATCTTAATAGAGAATTGTCTCTCCCACAGTTCTATGCCGCTAGAGGCAATAGATTGAATTTCTAGTATTTGCAATTCTTGAGTAGTTAATCAACATATCATTTCTGGCAAACATTAATATCAAGGGGATATTAATCCTGGTTGCTTTTAGTATACTTTAATGCCGAATAAATGGAACAGTTAATATTTGGAGATCTTTAAACTTTGCTCTTACGTCATCCCTAAATTTCAACTGCGTCAGCGCCCTGTTGGCTCGCCTCCAGGAAAACACTCTTTCGGTATGTGAGGATCGACCCCAAACCAGGAGAGCTTCTCACAAAGACCAATAATATGCTGCTCGAACGTCAATTTCTGATCAAGCAGAACCCCAAGACAGTTCACATGTAATGGATTGCGTAAACAAAATATAATTTGTTGTGTTTTTCATTCATTGAGGTTAAGTTTGTTAGCATGAAACCAATCACTAGCTCCAGACTGTGCCCCCTCCATCATGTGCACCAAGTAGTAGTATCACCAAGGTAGTATCATCAGCGAACAATGTACAAACTACGTCAGCAACATACTCAGGGAGATCGTTTATATAGATCAAGAATAGAAGAGGGACCATAATGGATCCTTGGGGTACCCCATGATTGACAATTCTAATTTGTGATGATTTTCCATTCAGGACCACGATCTGGCTCCTGTTGAAAAAACAACTTTGAAGCAATCCAACCGATGAGGGATCCACACCATACCACTGCAATTTACTCAGAAGAACAGGATGCCGGACACAGTCAAACGCTTTCGAAAGATCACTTAGGACTGTGCCGGAGTACTCTGTGCTTTCAAAAGCTGCGTAAACCTGATCAAGAACTCTACTAATCGCTCCACAAGTCGATTTACCACGTCTAAACCCAAACTGGGCCGGAAAACTGTAATCATTCTGGACAACTTCAAGGAGTTGGGAAAAATACCCTTGGATATACACCTATTCGTCAGCTTAGTCAATTATGAAGTCTTTAATGTATTGGATAATATTGATATACATTAGAATTCCTCTTAATAGCAAAAATTTTTATTTTTAGCAAAGTTTGCTGTGACTTTAAGACGCGAAAGAGACTTTATACAGGGTGCGTGCACAATAAAATCAAAGTTTCATAGTTTTCCTCCGAAACAATGAGCTCTTCGAAAACAAGTAGCAGCGAAGCAATATTATAGCACTTACTTTAAACCTCAATGGCCCAACTGGAGGTTGAGCGTAACGGAGGGCTAGAAACTCGTGGAAAGTCGTTCCAGCTCTCGTAACCTTCGTTATACCCTCGACTTTTCCGTTCGGAAGCTCGATGATAATACCATCGGCGTGCTGCAGATATGAAATAGATTTTAAGTGTGAGTTTCATGCACCCTCGAGGTGGTTTTTACTTGATGAAAATCCATTTATCAAAATAAATAAGAACTAAAAGTTCAGATTTTCACGAAATTATATATTTTTAGATCACAATTGTTTCGACAACATCGTATCAAATGTAATATTTACCAACTACCTGCTACTATATATACCGAAAAATGACCATAAAACCTTAATTAATGTTGTGAGAATTTAAGTTCAATAAAGGAGAGGTATTTAAATCTAACTGATCGTTATGCAATACATTCAATTCAATTCAATTAAAAATCCCATCTACTGTTTAAAACTTAAAGCCACACTGCACTGGACTATAAAAAACAATGTACACCTTGATACCGATAAATGTTTTGTGCTTAGTTTTAGTAGCAAGTAAAATTTGAATATAAAATGCAAAGTAATTCTGTTTCATACTACACAAATTTTCAGTAAGTCTGCTCCAGTTGATGCAGTGAAATTATTATTATGATTTTTATTATTATTAAATGTTTTTTATGCTTAGCTTTAGTGGAAAGAAGAAGGAAATAGAATTTGTATATGACATATTATACTACGTTATACTACGTTTTAGGCTACACATATTTTGATTACAGTCTCTTGCTTCAGTTGTTTTAGATACTTATGCTTTTTTTTTTCCCGTAGCGTCACAACCCTTCGTGGGTCTTAGCTGCATCTACGACTCGTCTCCATCTGTCCCTGTCCAACACAACCTCCTTCCAGTTCCGTACTCCCAAGATTTTTACATCCTCTTCGATATTGTCCCTCCATCTGAGCCTTGGTCTTCCTAAGGGTCTCTTTCCTGCTGGGTTTTCTTCTTTACAAGACGTTCATTCGGCGATCTCTGCACGTGTCCAGCCCACCTGAGCCTTTGTGCTTTTATTTCGTTTACTAAACTCGGTCTTTTGTACATGTCGTTAAGCTCCGCATTCGTTCTTATTCGATATTGACCCGTTCTCTCATCTATTGTTGGTCCAAAGATTTTCCGCAACATCCTTCGTTCAAAGCGTCTTAACACTAGTTCGTTCTGCTTTGTCATTGTCCATGTTTCCGAGCCATACATTACGATTGGCTTGATTACTGCCGAATATATCCGTAGTTTTGAGTTCCTAGATATCAGTCGGGACTTAAACAGGTTCTGCAAGGCGAAAAAACATTTATTGCCCTTTTGTATTCTTGCTTTTATTTCGCTGGTGATATCGTTATCCGAAGTTATAACTGCTCCTAGGTACTGAAATTGGTTTACGCATTCAAAATTGTGGGTGTCCATGGTTATGTTCTGTCCTATTCTGCCCCTTCCTGCTCTCCGTCCGGCCCACATATATTTGGTCTTGTCCTCGTTGATCATGAGTCCTACCTTCTTGGTCTCCTTCTCTATATTCATGAACAATTCTTTTGTTTTAATCGTACTGCTTCCTACCGTATCAATGTCATCGGCATATGCCAAAATCAATTCTGGGCCCTTATTTGTAAATATTTCCAAGCCAATATTCGCTTCTTTGATGGCCATGTCCAGCACTATGTTGAAAAGCAATGGTGAAAGTCCATCGCCCTGTTTTAGGCCATTGTTAATGGAGAAAGCCTCGGTGTTGTTCTTTCCTACCCTAACTTTGGCTTTAGAGTTTTCTATGCATATCTTGGTTAGCCTTATGATCTTTTTTGGTACCCCTATGCCTTCCAACGCTTGCCAGACACTTTCCCTGGTGATGCTATCATATGCTTGGCGGAAATCTACGAACAGTTGGTGAACCTCTCTGTTAAACTCCCAGCTTTTCTCTAGGAGCTGTCTTATGGTGAATATTTGATCTGTTGTTGATCTCTTGGGTCGAAACCCGCATTGGTAGTCCCCTAAGTTGTCTTCTGCGTATGGGGATATGCGTCCTCTTAGTACATTTGACAGAACCTTGTATGTTATATTTAGCAGGGTTATTCCTCTATAGTTTTTACAAGCCATCTGGTCTGCTTTCTTATGAATGGGGACGATGGTACCCTCCTTCCACTCCTTTGGTAGGGCTTCTGTTTTCCATATGTTTTTCAACAGCTCTAGTATGGCAGTATCTAGATGTTCCCCTCCATATTTTATGCATTCCGCCGTAATGGAGTCCTCACCCGGGGCCTTGTTATTCTTTAATTGGTTTATTGCCCTTTTAATCTCCTCTAGCGTGGGTTCTGGCACATGCTCCTCCGCACTTTGGTATACCTTCTTCGTGTTTCCAGTTACTGTATCTATGTTTAACAGGTTTTCAAAGAATTGTTTCCATGCTTGCATTACTTCTTTTATATCCGTTATGAGCTCGTTGATTTCATTTCTTAAAATGTTAAAATAAATAAATTAAAATACTTGCCCAAAAGTAAAAACACGAACAAAACAAAAGACACACGTAGATACGTCGGAGCAATGCCATTTCTGGAGAGCTTTGCTCGATAGAAAATTAGACTCGATACTACAATTTAAGTGCCCTTAATCTCCTTATATAATGTGAGTTTTAATGTTAATGTTAGGTTGTTATCAATTCATTAATATAGATTAAAATTTTGTTGTCCGTACTATATCACTCTGTACCTTACACTCGATAAATTTCCTAACCGAGCCCAAGCTATCTCCAATATTATTATTAGAGTTGCCGATAAAACTGACACTTTTATATCATGAATTGCGAAAAAAATCGGCAACTAGCAAAGGAATTAACAGAGTTCTTGGCCCAATATGACGTGAAACAAATCAAATTAACGTATAGCTATAGAATCTTTTTCGCCGAAGGGACCTAAGGAGTAAAAAGACGAGATAAAAAAGAGTATGCAAAAAAAGATAGCGAAGTGTAGAAGATTTGCCAAGAAATATCATTTTGGAGATATCTGCGTAAGTTATCCGCCCTTATTAAACAAAGTTATCCCAGGGGGACTAAATCCCGATATTTTACAAGTTGCAAAACTAGCACTCGTTTTATAAAAAGTTGGTAATGTTGGAGATCCAAAATTATAGACTTGCATCGCTCACTTCGCAAAGGTTTTTGCTGCTTCCATAAAGGCTTACTTCAGATCGTGAAAGTAAAAACTTAATTAAAAACGTGCATAATGGATGTCGATGGAAAATGTATGCTCAAAAGGCACTGGACCAAGCTGCCTGTCACATTCATGAAGCAATTAATAATACATCCGAAATCTTTGGACTTTTCTGCGATATGTCGAAGTCTTTATAAAAATGTTTACAGGAATATTTAAAATTCTCTTAACCTCTTTTGTCCCAGGTATTTGACGCAAAAGGAATTAGAGGCGGCTATGGAGGAGATCGTGATGGCCGAGGACAATAACAATGATAGTCGTAAGTATTATTTGCATTTACTTATTCTTATGTATTGTAGCATAACGATAACATAAATCTACAAGAGTTTGGGGAATCAACTGATATAGTTTGTTCTTCAACGGTCCTGTAATCCATCAACTACTGAATCTGAATGGGACCCGTCAGATGAATGAAACCCCGGAATTCAAAAGAAGACGTATGCTTCCTGCAAACGACTGCTTGATTTTATTTTAAATCTTACGTTGCTTTGGGACTTTTAAAAACTGATAGATCAAGTGCGTTATGAGAATCAATGTCACCTCATGACTGTTCATGCTAATAAAGCCCGAAGGAGATGTAGAACCTGCCACAGCCACACAATTTACTTTTGTAATAAGTGTAATGGTGCGCTCACGCACCATAAAATATCATGCGTTTTTTTTTTTGTATCAAATCAGGTTCTATTTGGAAAACAATCTACTTTTAGTTGTTTTCTGTCGAATTTGAACTTTCTTTTGTATATTTATGAATAAATTATATGTTACATCTTATGTGCCCCAAAACATTATTTAATATTTTTGTATTTTTTTGTATGTTTCGAGTTTTTATTTTTTTCTACACATGTGATGTATTCTTAAGTACAACAAAATAAATAAGGTCAGAGCAAAAAAGGTCGTATAAAAAAGATGGGTGGGTGAAAAAAAAATTAATAAAGGTTCCAATTAAATTTTAACTGATGGAACTAAAACTGTAAAAAATAAAACTCTACAAAAAAGTATAAAAATAGCTAGGGAATTGCATTTTTTGCCTAATATATAGATTTGTCAAGGATATTAAAGAATAGATGATCTACTAATATTGATTATGATGTATTCATTAATTGATAAATTTAATTTCATCTGATTAATTTTATTATATTAATTAATTTTGTTCGATTAAATGGGAAAAATATTACCGATAAGAATCAAATACCTGAAAGGTTTAAATCCTATTTCGTCGAATGCTAGTTCCGGGAATCCTAAAAGAAATCCAATGGACAAAAAGACGAGAGAAAATTAGGATTTTCTTTTCCAAATTGGAGCTCTTGATGAGAACTGCAGTGCTATTTAAACCCGTTAGCCCTATTTTGTTATGAATTTTCAGTTACGGCTGATAATCTACTCCCGAAAAGAACAATTTTGAGGCTCTATTAGATTTTTGTATATAACTGAAACACCCTGTATATCATAAAAAAAATCTTACCGTTTAAATGATTTTATTTTTTGAGCAAGTTTCCTATCCTATTTCGAAGGATAAAGCAATATTTTCATAGTATGGTAAACATTTTTTGGGCAAAAATGTTGAAGCTGAAGTTGACTGGGAATGAAACAATAGCTAATAAAATTCTATTTATTTGTTTTTTTATTAAAACGTATCCAGCGGTTTGACCGCGTATTGGTCGAAAATGTTTTGCCAAAAAACGTAAGAATCGCTCTTCGGATAACCCGACGTCATCACCAGATCCTTTCCGATATTCAGGAATTTAAACTGAGTTGGATCGACGGCCGCCCACTTAACGTTTTGAAGCACTTCGTCATTTCCGGGAGTCGGATTTCTGAAAATATATGCAAATACTATATTAATAAATCCACATTTCAACTTGCTGACGTTTCGCCGATAATCTTGTTGGCCTCTTAACTGAAACTGGCTCTCATTTTAGTCTGTACCTACTGGCTCCTGGTTGAGATTGTTAGATTGCATATAGATTTCTATAGATTCTCGGATTTTTCGTTCCAAGAAGAAGAATTTTATCGAAAACGATTTCGTGATTGTGTTCGGCAACTATTGATGAGTTGATTTGTAGTAGTCTTAAAACTCTTTCATGTTTTTTGAGTCTGGTTGATATTTATCGCCTGGTATGCGTGGAATGCTGTAAATTCCTACTATCCCAAAAGGACAAGAGTTAAATCTGGGTTTGACGTTATATTTCTTAAGAAGTTGTGACATGTGATGACAACAGCCAACAGTAACAGTATTTTAGGACTGCTTTCGGCCTCATTGCTATTGGAAGGTTGTGGTGAAGTGTATTTAGTGATGGAACGCTTAATATTTCCAATGTGCAAATTATTAGACAGAAGAGCAGATGTAAAATGTTTAAATTGTGGAACAAGTGAATTGATAACCCAAGGTTGACCAAGGCTACGTCTATGTTTATGATGAGAATATCTAAGAATGGGAGATTATTTGTTATGTTAGGGCGTATAGTTCTCTTCTTAATAGGCCCCGATAATCATTTACGGTTTACGGCCTGACATAGATGCAGTTCCAGTATCACGATGAAACTTTGTCTTCTTTTAAATATATATCTTAGTAAGCTGCGAAAAAAAAAATTAAACAAGATGTGTGCGCAAATTGATTATAGAGCAGTCATAAAGTTTTTGACAAAAGAAGGGTTAGCACCTAAGCCAAAGCTCTCCTTCGTATTCTGTAGTGAAAGAATGGGCAAAACGTTCTCGAGTGGGGCAGGAGTCCCTCGAAGATGATTCAAGAACTGGTCGACCAGTGGAGGTTATAACGGAAGATATTGTTGCGATTGTCTAAAAGGTGCTATTGAGTGATCGACGTTTAAAGGTCAAGGAAATCTCAGAAATTACTAAGCTTTCTGATACAAGTGTTCGTCGAGTCCTGCATGATCATCATTCGGCTAATCAAAAACTACGCCGTGTCGAGTGTGCGTGTGGGTCGGAACCGGAGCCTGTGATAGAAACTATTGTGACGGGAGATGAAACTATCGAAAAAGAATCAATGGTGTGGCGTCGTAAGGGTGAAGCACCTCCAAGAAAATTCAGAGTCTGTCAGTCAACAAAAAAGGTGATGGCCACGATCTTTTGGGATTGTGAAGGAATTCTTTTGAGAGGCTGTTTTAGCTCATTTTGCCGACAAACCAAAAGAATATTTTTTTAAAGGGATTGAGTTGTTAATAAAAAGATGTAGTAAGTGTATTGAAGTTAAGGGGGATTATTTAGAAAAATAATAAAAAATTGTTACTCCACTTTGTTTCTTTCATATTCAGGCCGGGAAATCTTGACGCTGCCCTCGTATATGACGCGGAACTTAAGCGTTAAGCGTTCGAAAATAGAGTAATTTCAACGAAAGAAGGCTTACTTTTGTCACGTGTAAAGGTAGAATAGCAACGCTTACAAATATTTAACGAAGTTGGACCACAGCGTCATGAAGTAGTAGTGGACGTTCCTGTCCTCTTGCGGAAAATAAGTCAGGTCCGTATTGTCCGGAATTTCCGTACTGTACCACTTGCTGAACATGTAGTTGAGTTCCTCAGCGTGCGTCACATTTCCAGTACCTGAGCGCAGGTCGAGGGTGAAAAAACGATTTTGGAGAGACGAAATTATCTACCTGCCAGTTTATCGTTGTTATTGCCCATCGGACCGCTGTAGGTGAACTCGTAGAAGTAAACAGGGACGTACTGAGACTGCAGCTCGGCTTGTTTGATCGAGGCCTTATCAAAATCGTGCGCGGAATGAAACTGCAATTTATTTCTTTGTTTTTTTTAACACAGACCGGGCAACGGAATGTTGAAAACGCGGGGATCGACATTCGTTAAGTAGCGATAGACAAAATTGGTACCTCAGATTTTAAACAAATATTTCAGATATATTCTGTCATATATATGTCATGCCGAAACTCTTTATATTCTTTCATAATTAAAAAAACTATTAAAGTAAATAAAAAATTAGAAATGCTCTTAAAATTTTCAAAAAGTTTTAGTGTTATATGTATATATATATATATATATATATATATATATATATATATATATATATATATATATATATATATATATATATATATATATATATATATATATATATATATATATATATAGCAAATAAAGTTTGTTTTTTAATTATACAAATTTCAACGACAATGATAAAAAAGACTAAATATTATTAAATCTTTAAACAATAGCACAATTAAATCTATAAGTGTAAAATAAATACTAATTGTTCCGAAATATTTCAATAAATTGTACCATTTAAAAAATCGTTTTTTTTTTATTGATTCCAAGCCATAAAATTTCAGATTCTCGAATGTAGAAAGAAATAAAATGCCTTAAATAAAAAAAAATCACAAGGACCATATTTAATAACAGAAATTCAGGACTTTTTAGCGTCCGTTTTCACATATTTTCAATTAAATGAAAATAAAAATATAAAAATAAACCACTGGGAAAACTATATTTTTCTTTCGCTGTCACCAAATTCAAGAGTATACGGGAAATTGGGTCTAAAGGCATTTTTCCACTTTTTTCTCAACTGCATTGAAACATCATTGAAATTGATATGGTTAGGTTCTAAGTACTCCTTATTCTTTAGAAAACCGTTAATAGTATTTGTCTCTTTTTGTTAAATAGTTCCAAAATATAATTTAATACATTTTTGAAAGATTTTAAATGTGTTCTTAAGCGTTACACATAGTTACACATAGAGACTCAATACCAGCAGAGTCTAGGCCACTAGGAAAGCCCTTTAAAATATGGAAAGAGCTGACAGTCCACATACGACTGCAGGAGGCCGAAGGTCTAATATAAGAAGAAGAAAAAGAAGAAGAAACATATGCAATATCTCAAGAATTTAATTGACAGGATTAGTAATGTTGGCAACACCAACATCAACCGTTATGTCGCTCGAGCTGTACAAAACAATCTTACGTGAATGCCAAGAGCCAAATTATCCTTGAACGTGTCGTTGCCTGCGTAGAAATCTTTAATCAAATGCCCAACCGTATTTTCGGTCGCATAATCCAAATGCAGATCGTGCGGTGTCAAGATTCTCGGCAGATCGTCGTAATCTTGAAATATTTCGTATAGACGATCTGAAAATAATATAAAAAATGGTACACAGTTATTCCTTTTTTTTAACGGAACAGCATTGAATTCAAAAGAATACGACACATTTTGTGTATCTACAAAATAAACAAATGAAAATTCTCCCTAAAACCCTTACATTTCATTCATTTACCCTGCCACAGCTGCATTATTTGTATAATATACAAAGTCGACATAACAATACAACAATACAAACAAACCTATATAACATACAAAAATTTTCAAACACAGACAAGTTTCTTTAAATTATATTCTGAAACAAGCAAATCTCGAGTGTAAATCTTTCTTTAATTGTTTTTTTAATTTCGACTTTCTCTGTATTTATGCATGTATTGTATTTTGTATCTCTACAAAATAAACAAATGAAAATTCTCCCTAAAACTTTCAAGTTTTGCGGGATCACATGTCATAAATTTACCCTGCCACAGATGCATTATTTGTATAAAATACAAAGTCTACATAACAATACAACAATACAAACAGACCTATATAACATAAAAATTTTCAAACAGAAATGTTTCTTTAAATTTTATATTGAAACAAGCAAATCTTAGGTGTAATTTTTTTTTTATTTTTATATTTTTTTGACATTATCTCCTTTTTTATATTTATGCATGTATTGTATTTGTATGTCTACATAATATAAAATACATACAAATGTTACTTTAAATTTGATTTTTTCTCTGATTATTTTTTTTTCTTTTGGACATTCTCTCCTTTTTTAGTATTTGTGTATATATTGCATTTTGTATCTCTACAAAATAAATAAATGAACTGGAATAATGTCTCTTTAATTACCTTCTCAAACATTTGTTTTACTGGATTTTTCTTTTTTTTTCGTTCCTGATATATTTTTTTAGTTTTCTATAATTTATGTAATATTTATATGTTATATATTCATATTAAGTTATTTTGAAGAAATAAAGGCCAACAATTTTCTCTCATTAATCGGGGATTATTTGTACTCCAACATAATTTTGTTTCTTTACCTTACAATTTAAACAAAACGTGGCTTTATAACTGACGATGAAACACAAATGAAAAAAGCTTAGTTCAGATTTTCTTACAATATTAAAAAATATGACAACTTCACAAGATGCACTTCCAATTAAATATTCAACCTTGTGTTGTCTACCTATAGATTTTGATTTAATAAATAACAAACTTCTTCTTAAGCTGTCTTTTTTTCTCCATATCCAATAAAAATTAAAGTTTCTCCAAGTTTCATTTACTGCCCGAAATTTAACAACTTTGCTGGTACTTACCGGTTTGTTTCAAAATTAAATTTCCACCTTTTAGGCTTCTGAATTATGCATGAAATTTGACACTGGACTTAAAAAAAATGGTATTCGATCTAAAGCAAAGGTTCTTGGTATCCACTTTTTGACGCTGCGTTTACTCCTGCGCAAGCAACAATGATGACGGACGAGTGCAGACATTTTTTTGGCTGTGTGTTTTTAGTTCTACGTACCTCCGTTTTCCAACAATCCCAAAGATTCGTCGGAATTGATGCCTATTATGACCGGAACCTTATTGAAATTGCCGCTTTCGAACAACTCGTACATTCTGCCGGATAGAAACGCGTCAGGGTGTTCAATTTCGATGACAGGCGCGTAAAAGAACCCTTTGGAAATTTGAACGTTCGCTGACGTTTCCTAAGGAAAGACAATGTTAATGTAACGCAGTTTCTAGACTAATAAAAAATAAATTTCTTAAGCACACACACACACACACACACACGGAGGCCCATTTAAAATATGGAACTTAGTTGGTAGCGAAACACAAACTCCTTGTAAATAGAGAAATACAATACTATTTTATTTTTGTAGCCTAGCGTTAATTAATTTTGATAACATTTTAATTGGCTGACAAAAATAGGAAATTTTTATATAATTTCAAAGAGTGCCATGACTGACAAATAAAAATATGTTTGTGTTTGACGTATTTGTAAACAACGTCAGAGAAGGATGCAGTTCTCATTGGATTTTTTAAATAGAAATGATGAGAATAGTAATTTTTTGAAAAACATTTTATGGACTGATGAAAGTTCGTTCACTACAAGAAAGGGTTGTAATCCTAGACAAATATACGAAACAAAAACCCAGGGGTACCGATCAATTAATGTATGGTTTGGTGTAATAACTGAGCATATTTTAGGATATTTATAGATCAAAACATAACTGGAGATCATTACTTGCAACTCTTAGAGCACCAACTAAAACAATATATAGAAATATATCAGCGCTTTTTATATGGCAACACAATGTTGTGCAAGTTAAAAATTGTCTTAACATGGATATCCCACGAGTTGAATAGGGAACGGCGAAACTATTAATTGGCCAGACACATAAAACATCAATCAATCAATATAGAAACGTTAGTAAATGCATTATACATTTTACAATTAGAGTGTATGAGAGATGTGTTCAGGAAAATGGTGGTATTTAGAATAGTTAAAGATTTTTTTACTTTAGTTATGTCTCTTCATTTTTTATGTTTTTGTTCTACTTCATTTATAAATAACTATTGTTGTTGCAGTCAGTCAGTTCTTTCAAAACTGACTGAGGAATACCTGTATCTTCATATACTCTAGTAATAAATTTTCCTATTTTTGCCGATTTGTCAAAAACGAATGGACTAAAGTATCAAGCGTGTTACGTCTTTGTAATCGGAATAAGATATTCTATTAAACACACATATAATATACAGGGTGTTCCATTTATTTATTTGTAGTGTTTTGTTCTATATCTCAAAACATAGACAGTAAGTGGCACGCCACTGATATCCTTAAAGAAAATACGAGGCGTACCCATGGCAAGTTTAAAAGAACAACGTGCAGTTGTGAAATTTTGTTTCCTGCTCGGTAAAAGTGCTGCTGCAACTGTTTCAATGTTAAAAACAGCTTATAAAGACGATGCGATGGGAAAAACTCAAGTGTACCAGTGGTTTGTTCGCTTCAAAAATGGCGACGAGTCAATTGATGATCGACCTCGTTCTGGACGTCCATCAACTGCTCGAATCGATGAAAATATTGACAAGATTCGAGAGTTTGTGCTCACAGACCGTCGACAGACAATTGAACAATTATCAAAGATTAATGGGTTGTCTTGGAGCAGCGAATTTTAACCGAAGATTTGAGAATGAAAAGAGTTGCTGCCAAGTTTGTTGCTCGTGTTCTGACTGACATGCAAAAAGAATATCGAATTGAAACATGTCGTGCTTTGAATCAACAGCTTGAGACGGATCCAGATTTTCTTTCAAAGATCGTTACTGGTGACGAGTCATGGTGCTATGGTTACGGTCCAGAAACGAAGCAACAGTCCAGTCAATGAAAGACGTCACTGTCTCCCCGTCCAAAAAAATGTCATCAGGTCAAATCAAACATCAAGACGATGCTGATTTGCTTTTTCGACATCAACGACGTATTTCGTGCAGAGTTCGTTCCACCAGGTGAGACCGTTAATCAATCTTTTTATCTGGAAGTTTTAAGAAGACGGTATTCGACAAAAAAGACCCGATTTGTGGCGGACAGGGGACTGGTTCTTTCACCACGGTAATGCACCTGCACACACAGCTATTTCTGTTAAGCAGTTTTTGGCTAAAAATGGCATGGTGCCTCTACCCCATGCACCTTACTCGCCTGATCTCGCTCCGTGTGACTTCTTCTTATTTCCACGTATGAAAAGGGACATGAAAGGACAGCGATTCGACAACATTGAAGAGGTCAAGAAAAAAACGAGGGATGAGCTGTCGGCTATAGCCAAAGATGAATATAAAAAATGTATTAGTTGTAATGGAGAGTATTTTGAATGGGATAAGGTCGTTCTGTGATTTTCAAAACAACATATAGTTAATTAAAAATGATTCCGGTTTTTTTTGGGTACCCCTCGTAATGACATTTGCATTGATTTATGATCAGATTTGATATCTTAATTTTCTTTTAGTCCGTCGCCTGGTTTTCACTTAAAAGTAAAAAATAATTTTTATTTCAAGAGAAATTAGTGGCGTATCATCCACGTACTCCCCGCACTGGTGTATTTTAAAAAAAATGTGGTACACTAAATATTGCCTACATAGTACGCGTGTGCCAAATGCCATTAAAATTTCTGAAGTGGTATTACAGATATTAAAAAAATATATTTTATTTTCGAAAAATCGAAAAAAGAATGGTTTGTTAATTTAAACCATTTTTCTGTTTGATTCATTTATATATATTTTAAATAGGCCTGTGGTATAGGTAAAAAATTATAGGATTTTTGAAAACCTGCTTTAATAATAAAGAATAGAAAGATAACATTAATTAATTCATATATATTTGAATTTTTTGTTCAATTAGTATATTTTAAAAAATTTTCCACTCCTTAGTCATAAGGCTCATTGAGAAGAAAACTGTGACTGGAAAAGTAGCGAAATTGCGATTTTCTATTGATTTTTTTCCCAAAATACTTTGCTTTTTACTTTTACTTGACTGTTTTTTTTTATTATAAAGAATTGTAGTTATGAAGAGTTAGAGGCACTTGAAAAACAACAAAACGCATATGTGTTCTGTAATATTTAATATACATATTTTAACATCTAATGAGGAAGATTTTATCTAAATATTTAAGAACTACACTTAATTTTTCAAACAATCGGTCATTTTCTATTGAATTTTTGAGTATGCTAATACGCATCTCTTACTTTAGCTCGTATTTTCACCCTTTCTTCAAGAGGGGCATCTTCCCCATAAAAAGTTTCCCTAGCAGCTTAACTGAATATAGGGCTTGTTGAATGGTTGGTGGGAGTCCCAGATTAACTTCTTCATCTTCTTCTTCCTCTTGGTGCTCTTCCTCGCCCTTTCTTGCTTGTTGTAATATGGCTTCCTCTGTCAAATCTGCCGTTGTAGGCAAATCCTGATCTATCTTGCAACTCCTCACTTGTAAACGTAATTGTTGTTTGAATCTGCTTTATCCACTCGCATTGTAGCTGATCATCTTCCATAAGTTCTGCATGATGATAATAGTGCTGCCACCTCTTTCCAAGCTTCACTAATAAAGTTGACTGCATCCAGCATGGAAAATTTGTCTTCGGATCCGATCATTTCCATTAAAATGTCCCGTATCAACTCTAAAGACTTTTCGTTGCGCTCTGGCCCATCGGCTGTCATACACTCGTTGCTTTGGCTGGAAGAAGTGTCAACTCAATATTCCGTAGATTTGGAATATGGGGATGTGCAGGGCAGTTATCTAAGAGAAGTAATATTTTCCTCAACTTTATTTCTGCATCCCACATCAATATCTCCACTCCAAAACTAACCAAATCTTCAGATTTTGGCTTTCTAAGTTTTTTACCAGACCTGCCGCGTCAGTCTGCATGATTTTTTTCTTTGCACTTCCAAATCTTGGATACAGTCGACGTCGTAAGTCCTTATCGACGTCCCACGTCACTTTTCTTTTCTCACCGTTCAATCTCCCGAATTAAAGCAACTTTATTCATCTAGAGACACAATTTTTTGCTTACTCGCCATGCTCGCCGTATTCACTAAGTCAGATGAGAACTGATTGAAACAATAGTGTGCTTTTACATATACCGATAAAGGCATTAACATAATCGCAAGAAAAACACTTAGGACGGCCAGGTTCTCGGTAATTAGATTATTGGGGTAAGGATTTCTGAAAAGGTAAGTCGGCCTACATTCCTTACTTTGTTACCTGATGTGCCCTTTTTTCTTTCGGTGTAGAGTGAGAAATTCGTTATACAGAGTGGATTAATACAACAAATTTTGTTCGTAATACGGAGTTTTACATTATACGGATTTTCGCTATAGGAAGTTTTCACCCACTTACTAAAATTTGGGACAAAACGTAAGACGCTTGATCGATATCAGTCGCCGAAACGTTCTTCATGAACGCCAGCAAATCAGTAGAGTTCCTATTCGTCTCGAACTGTAGATCTATGCGGGCGGCGGTCAAAAACGACAAATCGACTTGATCCCGCTGGTAAGCCCAGGGATCCAGTGCGGTGCCGCTTTCCAATATCGCCCCCCTGAACAAACCCTGCGACTGAGGGCTGAGTAAGTGATAAGACACCGCGGCTGAACCAGCGCTCTGCCCGAATATGGTTACTTTATCCTTATCGCCGCCGAAGTAGCCAATGTTGGATTGGACCCACTTCAAAGCAAGTACCTGGTCCTTCAGTCCTAAATTTCCCGGTATCACTTCGTCACCAGAGGAAAGAAAACCTGAAAGGAGGTTTTTGTAAGGAGTGGTGATTTTGGGCTGGGTTTCATGGACTTACCGAACGGCCCTAACCTATAGTTGAAAGCGACCAAGATGACATTGGAGTCCATGAAGAAATTAGGACCGACTCCACCTTCGATGATGTAACCGGCTCCGCTGATGAAGCCGCCACCGTGGATGAACACCAGCACCGGTATGTCGGCTTCGACATTTGCCTGAAGGTCCTGACAACGCAGGGTAACAAAATTTTGTGTTACCAGTTGAAGTTACCAGCCGACGGCAAGAAAACTCTCGGAGGTTTTGGTAATAACGTATATTTTCAATTTACAATTTAATTATTTAAGCTCGTTTGTTCTATTCAGTATGTTATGAGTGTTAATATTATTAAAAAAATAAAATTTTATTATTAATAGCTATAATAAAATGACATAAATGATAATGAAATTTGTTTTATAATAATATTTTGTGTTATTATTTTAAATTATCACTGATAAAAGCTTCAATGCAGTTCGAGACGCCGGGCAGCGCGGCGCTTCCACGGCGCTCGGCGCCCGGCGCGCCGTCATAAATAAATTCATTTTGTTTAAATGACGAACAGTGAAATTTCCTTCCGGAATCTTAAACTTAAAAGCACGTGACCGATAAAAGAAAACATGATCTTTTTTACCAAGCAATCAGTTAAATTTTCATTTGACCATGGATGCTGAAAATTTCAGAAATTTATCTCTTACAGGTCGACCTCACAGGGTAAGAGACAGATTAGCATAGGTCCGATCACAGAAAAGATTATTATTATTATTATTATTATTATTATCTACAGCACCAATAAAGTTATCAAATTATTAAGTAGTAAAAATAAGTATGTGACGTATTTAATAAGAGTAGGTTAGGTCTTTCAGAAAAAATAATAACATACATGGGGTGTCATTTAAGGAAATCGATTTTTTTTTTATTTAAAATGATCCAAATATAATCGTTTATTTTGATCACGATATAGCATCTAATTGAAATGACGCGTCATATATTTTTATGTCACCTTCGGCTAACGTTGATACCAAACAAATGTGAAAACTAGTATTTTTTTAGAAAAATCTAAATATTGAAAAAAAAATGTTTTTAAATGCTGAGTTGACAAGCATCGCATCGCAGCTGATAACCATTAAAACCTTTTCAAGTAGTTATGGGTTAAATTGGTTTGTTTTGCTTGGCAGTTTTTCAGTAAAAAAAATTGCACTCCACAACAATCTTGAGTATTTCATATTAGATAAACTTTACAATAAACGACATAACATAGTCGGAATTGGACAGTCACTGATTCCCCAACACGTATATATGTAAATATTTTTAACGAATGGTTTGCCCTTAAAACCGCCTATAGCAAACACAAACTGAAAGAAACATCTGAAATACCCAAAACAGCAAATTCCATCCCAACAGTTTTTAACCAATCAAAACGTGTTTCTCGACAGATCACCATGGCAACGGGTCAATTTCAGTTGCGTTGCTATGGAAATCGGTCAAAAGCAGTGTGATAAACTTTTAACCGAATAAAACTTAACCTTTGGTGTGAAAACGTTGATGAACAAGCAATCTTCGTTCTCCTTTTCGCTGTCCTGATTCACTTGGTAACACGTGTGCTTTTCCGCTGTTGCGTCGTAGACACCATTCCATTGTTTTACCGGTCGCGCGAGCTGGGAATTATGATAACAACTTGTATGGTTTTTTTTTTATAATTTTCGCAAGCATTTTACCTCGAAACGCAACTCCTCTATCGGCGGTTCGGCATACCTCATAGCCAGGAAGGAGCTGAACGTTGTTCCAGCTCTACTGGTGCTTGTAGTCCCTTCCACTTTGCCATCCGGAAGGTCTATCACTATCCCAGTGATCAACTTTTTTTTTTTGGTAGAAATAGAAAATTAAAGAGCAGCAATTTTTCTTTTAATGTCACTTACGCATATTTGGTGCATCAGAACTGTCACACACAGCAGTTTAAGAGTCCCCATTTCCACAAAATATGCTAAAAGTAACTATCCAATTCGAATTGTGTTACGTCGCTTATTGTAAAATTTATCTGATATAAAATACTCAAGATTATTGTGAAGTGCTTATTTTATAAAAAAAAATTCAAGCAAAACAAACCAATTTAGCCCGTACCTACTTGAAAATATTATAATGGATATCATCTGCAAAGGAAGGTACTTGGATTCTTGTACTCAGCCAGCGCGATCCCCGGACTTAATTCCTCAATTTTCATTATTTGCAAAATTGCATTTAAAAAACGGAAAAAAGCAATTTTTCTTATAAGTAAAAAAACTTTGCCAAGCGATAACATAAACTTTGTCCAGAAACGGGTTTTTACCTATTTTCTTGGTGAAAAAGAAACATGGTTCCGATTGTTTTGCCGTGGCGGTACCCGGCGCATGCACCATTAACTAATATATAATTGCAGTCAGCTCTAGCGCTCTTTTTACAAAACTTCTAGATTCCTCCTGCGTCGGTTTTTGCTGAGTCGAACTTGCTGATGTTTCGCCAATCATCCTGTTGGCTTCTTCAAGGCTTGACTGAAACTGCCTCGTATTTTACTGTGTAAAACAAACGCGCCATCAAAAAGAGGTAAAAGAATAACTATTTTACATGCTGGCTCTAAAGATGGTTGCATTCCAAATGGACTTTCTCTGTCTGCGACAAATATTAAAGATACTTCCCGGGATTACCATGAAGAAAGACACCACCGCTGATTTATTTGAAAGTTGGTTTAAAAACAAACGAGTTCCAAACATTCCTCCTAATAACGTCATTGTAATGGACAATGCAAGTTGTCACAGTAGACAGTTGACTAAAACCCCTTCCTCATGTGACACAAAAGCAACAATCGAAAACTACATGTATAATAACGACATTTATTTTCACGAAGATTATACCAAAAAGCAATTAATTGAGGTTCTACAAAGCTTGAACCTACCAAAGGAATACGTCTGTGATAATTATGCAAAAAATCTAGGGCATACAGTTTTAAGGCTTCCACCTTACCACTGTATATTTAATCCCATTGAACATGTTTGGCGCCAACTGAAATCTGCCATTCGTCGTAACAATGTTTTTCGCCGTGTTAACTCTTAACTAAAAACCGACGCAGGAGGAATCCAGAAGTTTTGTAAAAAGTATTACAGTGGCCTGTGGAAGTTTCTTTGGAAAACTGTTATATTTGTTAAATACAACTATGTTTTGTTTTGTGAACTGTGGTTCTTTTAGTAGTAAAACTTACTTTTGTTTTATTTTAATTTTAATGGTGTCTAATTATTGCCAAATTATGAGACGTAATACTACAGAGTGCAATAAAATCGCGAAATGTAAAAAAACTAAAAATAATTCAAATAAACATTAACCTTAACTACCACCCCCTGCCGTCATCAAGTACGTCCATTTATTAGTTCATACAATTTATGATATGACGTAACTATCATCTTTCGTAATTTTCAGTATATGTCAACCGCACGAAAAGGGCAATACAAGAAGCTTAAGATCGTGGGGAATAGGTTTTTATTTTTGTCTAAAGTTGGTTATGTTCGTTGTCGTCTGTAATGTAGAATGAAAATCAGAAATAAACTAGAGATTCAGAAGTTTATGTCAGTAAAGCCTCGTGAGGAAAATTTTAGTTTTTGGTGGAATAAAATCGTTTTGGCCCAAGTCTGGTGGGTTTCGGAAAATTTTTTACGTATCTGTATACACCAGTGTATACGTTTAGGTTAGGGATTATTGCTAAAATGTAAATAAAATTTCAATTTCATTTTTTTATTTTAGAATCTACCGATCAGATAAAAAAAAATGCCGTTTGCCGTTGAAATTGATTAAAATTCATTTCTGTAAAATAACTGCACGAGTCAATTGGTTTTTTTCTATTACTAAAATCAAATAGGGTTAATGACAATTAGCGACTCGATTCTTATTTTTTAACAATGGGTATGATCCCCTCTTGCCCAAGTAACATCTCTTCCTCGATTAGGCATAGATCTAATCAATTTCGCATTCTGCAAATCGCCCTCCTGCACTTCGCTAAACACTTGTTTTCGTCGGTCACTAGCAAAAAGGCATATTCTGGTCTCATCTGAGAACAAAACAATGTCCAATCAGATGAGTGCTTATCGATGAGCTGGAGTAAGTTGTTTTTTGGTTAAGTTCTTCTTCTTCTTCTTTTACTTCTGTTGGCCACGATTGCTAGGATCATATGGCCATCGGGTCAGGTTATGTTCCTTCAGTCTTCTTCTCTTTGTCCACTGACTAATAGCCACTCACCCACCCACATCACAAGCCGTTGTAATTCACCTTCTGTCTGTTTCAGGCCACTTAGCAAAGTGTCATATCCATTTATCGAGCAAGAGCTCGTTGGCGAAGTAAACTCTCGATTAAAGAGATAACTTGACGCCTTTTTGCGGTGTAGGATGCATCAAGCTAACACAATTAAACACAATCCAAATGGTTAAAAACGGATAATACTATAATTGCAGTTGCAAAGGCGATTAATTTAAGTCCACAACAAGTTTGTCACTGTCACTACAACTGCGGTATGAACATGTTTCATTTGTTTACATATATAAGATCAGCACTCTTGACAAATTTAAACTCATGAAGTCTGTTCATAGATATAAGACAGTTTTGTTAGGAAAGATACTAAACAATATTTATTTATTTATGTATGTATTTATGTTTAAATCTAAAATAAAATTACAAATTATATTACCTACTCAAATTACTTCAAATTATTCACATAATATATCAGTATCACTATCGCTATCATCGCCTGTTCCAATTATTATTTGTTCTGTATTATTTGCAATACGATTGTTCTGTTTTTTCTATATGTTTAACAGAATTGGCCCAAACTTTGTGGAGGGGTGTTAAAAACTTCGGTTTCTATAAGTTTAAGGACATGGAGTTAACACGGGGAAAAACATTGTTACGACGAATGGCAGATTTCAGTTGCTGCCAAACATGTTCAATGGGATTAAATATACAGTGGTAAGGTGGAAGCCTTAAAACTGTATGTAGGTTCAAGCTTTGTAGAACCTCAATTAATTGCTTTTTTCGTGAAAATAAATCTCGTTATTCTACATGTAGTTTTGGATTGTTGCTTTTGTGTCACATGAGGAAGGGGTTTTAGTTAACTGTCTACTGTGATAACTTGCATTGTCCATTACAATTACGCTATTAGGAGGAATGTTTGGAACTAGTTTGTTTTTAAGCCAAGTTTCAAATAAATCAGCGTGGTAATCCAGAGAGGAATCTTTAATATTTTTCGCAGACAGAGAGAGTCCATTTGGAATGCAACCAGCATGCTTTTTGATGGCGCGTTTGTTTTACACTTATCAGTTGAGTCAACCCAACCCTTTTCCGGGGTATCATAAGTGTCGAGCCAGGTTTCATCCAAGTAAATAATTGACTTTTGTTGTTCTCTGTAAATCCTAATTTTTCTAGATGTTCCAGTCGCCAATTCCGAATTCTAAAAGATTCCATTAAAACTTGACTTTTGCCTGTGCCTTTTTTTAAATCTAAAACCCATGTGTTGAATACACTTCCACATTTAACACCGGTTTCATCTTTTTCAAGCCGCCTAATTAAGATATCTAATGTAAGCACGCTTTGTTCCTCGTATAACTGGTAAATTTTACGCCGTATTATATCTTGATCACTTTCACCTACACTGGAGAAAATGTCAGCATCCCTCCTTTTTTTCCTCGCTGAAATAGAATTATTCACAATTTTCCATACAGTTGATGTTGGAATTTTCGTCAATGTGGCTGTTTCTTCTAAAGATGCTTGCTTACGGGCCCCACGTTCAATGAGAGTCAAATAAACATTGTTTATAACTTCGTTAGTCTCAATAGAATAGTGTTTTCTGCGTTTGGACGGGAGCATCTCCTGAGATACACTAGACTCGCACATATTTTGCATAATTCGCACACGATTCAACACGCTGTATTACGCACGAAATAAGAATGATTACTAATAAACTTAACCTAAGTAGTATACCAAGCCAAAGAATATTAAACACAGGTAGGTATGTAAATTATTTTCAATTACGGACCACAATTTTACCTGAATTTAAATTCCGAAATTTTTTATTTTTTGGTTAGTTTGATGCATAGTTTCTAGAAACAAACTATACTAAAGTAAAAATTTACAGCGGGCCGCACGCAAGTTTAGTATAAGTACTATGTTATTTAAAACCAGCGTAATTCTATAGGATGGAATTACTTTTTGGGAGAGAGGAAATTCTTGGATCTACACTCTACTCGCAACGGCTTCGCCGCTAATCGACCAATTATAATGCGTGACGCGGACTTCCATCGCGAACCACTGTCCCCGCAATAACAGTCGATGTTTTCATTTTTATCTGAACGCGACAGCAGTCGAATAGGAAAGTCATCGCCGTCTCTTTCTAGTCGCGCGGCGCAGAGAAGGACGGAAAGCGCCGAATAAACGAACGGCCACGGCAGGTAAAGAGGAAGTGGTGGGAGAAGCTTCAACGTTCACCTGCGAACCGACTGTGAAAATGACTCTGAACAACTTTACCGACAGTTTGGTTCTGACGGTTACGTGTTTTGGCGTACGCTATAAATGTTTTCGGTCAGTGTGTGAGGGTTTTAAAATGTACTCGTCCGTTTGACGGATTTGAATCGTTCACGTAATAGATACGCCTAACGCGAAGAAACGAAGCGCATCAGTGATGTAAGTATACGCACACGAAAGTTGTTTTCGCGAGCAAAACAATTGCCGCTCGGGTCGTTACGACACCGTCGCGTTTGGCTGATACGTTAAATTGTGAATAATAAGGCGTTCGATGCATTTTAAAATCGCGTTTCGGTTGAGCACAGAAGAGACGCGTGAAATAAAAAAAAACAAATCAGGCATAATCAATCAAACACCACAAGTTAGATAACAATGGCATGAGATAATTGGTAATTCTAGAAATTGAATATCGCGATGTTTTTGGGTAACAACGAGGTTTTGGTTTAACTGTTTGAGGAAAAATAGCCTGTGCTTTGTGTACACTATGTCCAGGGACGGAGTAGCCAAGT